ATACACCCATCACCCCAATCTTTGCCAGACTCTATTGGCTTCCTGTCATTGAACACACTTCAAGATCCTCACTTACATACAAATCCTTTCACACCTAGCACCTCCCTTCCTCTCTGTCTTGCTTCCACCCCACTTCTCCATCTGTCTACTTTGTTCATCTAACACAGGCCTGTTATTTGTACACTAATCCCTCCAGGTCACCATCGGTGACCGTGGTTTCAGACAACTATGCCCCTAAACTCTGGAACTCTCTGCCTCAATCCCTCCATCTCATCCCCACATTATCTATTTTCAAATCCTACCTGAAAACTTACCTCTTCAACCGTGCCTGTGTTCACCTCCCCCTTCTACTCCGCTCAGTGTGCAATTCCACCATTATGCAGAGCTCCGAGACATTTGAAGGGGCTACATAAATGCAAGTTGTTGTAAAGTTTGCTGTTACTCTGCACGTCGAAACAGGCTTAATGTATATTTTGTTGGTTTATTGTGGTGCTCACTTACCTTCCCATTGTAAGAGAATTCCCTTAGTGCAAATTCTCTAAAGGGCAGCTTCCTGTGTAGCAGCCTAACCACTTTGATATGAAGCTTATTTGGGCTTGTGGGTCTGCTGTTAGCAATTAACTATTTTTTTATTCAAATAGTCTGCCAAGGAGATTTGGAGCTTGGGGGAGGGGTGGAGAATTCTGTAACCTCTTCCAGGACATCTTTTGGTGGCTGCCCAGAGTCAAAATCTACAGAACTGTCTAACAGTTTATTTCAGATCAGCATGATTTACATAACCTCAGTGAGACCAGCTCATGCCCCCAGATCAAGATTTCCTTGTGGGTTTCTCTTGGGAGTGTGCAGCTCCAGATCCTCAGCTGGATTTCTTCTGAGGGGTTTTCTGAACATGGGGCTGCTCAGTTCTTCAGATAAAGTAATCGGGTGGGGAATGAATAGGGCCTTAAAATCAGGGAACCTTCTGCTTGGGAGGGTGGAGAAGGTAAGTCTCCAGGAAAATTATCAGCTGCTGATAGACTGATAGCCAGTTTTTAAAGATAGATGGTAGAGATTTCTGGCTTGGAGTGGGGATACAGTATTATTTCATAAAAAAAACATTTGAGGGAATATTTAGGGGGACTGGATACTGAGAGAACAGAGAATAAAGGGAACATTAAAACCACAGGTGCTTCCTGTGAGATTTTATAACCATGTTTTGACATTACAACAACAAGATTCCATTTATAGAGCACCTTTCACGTCGGGAGGACGTCCCAAGGCGCTAAATGAGGAGAGCACTTTATATTGAAAATACTCCCTATAAAGCTGTTTTCCTTAATTTTTCTTGCATTTTCTCATCTTCCCTCCATCTTGCTAATTTCCTCATTCTCTGCTGCATAGTCTGCGTATTTCCCAGCAATCCACTTGGAGAGGTGGGTGAAGAAAGTGGCCTTGCCAGTTAATGCCCTCTGCTGGTTAGTTGGCAGCTCAGTCCAGTTGGCAGGAGCACACTTCCAGGAAAGGCACTTCTTTGGAGCAAGCTTCAACCGTCACTTCCTGGCTAATATCGCACCATATGAAAAGGAAAGGGCGTTGTTTTGTCAAGGGCAGACGTAAGGCAAATATTCTCTAAGTGATAATATCCTTTCCTGGGAATGAGACAACATGGAGCCAAAGCATCCCCAGCAATTAAAAACTCAAGAGAATTAGATCTCACTCGTCCAGTTAACATTCTCACAATCAACACTTAGTCAGAACATCTGTCTGTAATGCTATGGAATACAATTATTTAAGGCTTATAGGAATATTTAAAGATAAGGAATCAACATCAAATTCAACTACAATATAATTAATTTAAATTTTTTTTTTCTCTCTGTCCAACTTCCTCTGTTCTGTAATTGTCTTTGAATGGTGCACGCTGCTGAAATCCTCCAGGATTCCAACTGGCAATCCTCATTGAAGTGTGCCAAAGCCAAACTGACCAAAGGTTGTGGGTTCAGCACTTCCAGCTCACAGCCTAAGCTGAACAGTCCAGTGTTGTATTAACCCTGGTGCCATCCTTCAGCTTAGATCCGTCTACTATTTCAGGTGGATATTAATGATCCCGTGACACTATTTAAAAAGAAAAGTTTCTCTCAGTATCCTGGCCTAATACGCCAGTTAAATTAGTGATACATTTTATAGCTCTTTGTGGGACCCGTTGTGTGCAAATTGGATATTGCTTGGCTACAAATATACAGTCAATACATGACGACAAGTATCCAAAGTGCTGTGAGTTGCTTTCGTTATAGGTACAAAATCAAACGCAATCATTTTTATTTATTATTAGAAGTGCTTTCTTTCAGATGAGACATTAAAAACCTGATTGTTCTTCAAATGGATATTTATAATCCCACGACACTAATGGAAAAGAGAAGTGAGTTTCTCCGTGTCCTAGCCAACAATCTGGATAAAATTGCTAATTTACTTCACGTCTGTTTGCAGGACCTTGCTGTGCACAAAATAGCATGGTTGCCTACCAGAACAGTTATTACATACAAGAATAATTTCTTAGAGATATTAGGCATGGAAGGTGGCAGAAAAATGCAAACTTGTCTACATTTCTAAGAAATTCTCTAATGCTGGAAATAATATGCTGGAGTGGGCTGTCAAAACTGAATAAAAATAAAATTTTCAAAAAACACTTTAAAGTGGTCCCAAAACTCTGAAAAATATCAAATTAAACACATGAACTTTTCTCCACAAGGGACACTCTCGACAATGAGAGGAAATAATTGGTAGTGGACCAAAGGTGCACAGGCTATTTATATCATGTAAAAGAACTCGGAGCACTTTACAGAATGTGAGCAATGAATTTGAATACAGAATTGGAAATGAAGTTGACCCTACGTCTGCGAATGATGTCACCAAGAGGGAGCATGTAGAAGTTGAAGAGAGGAGGACCAACAACAACTTGCATTTTATGTAGTGCCCTTCACGCAAGTTCCAAAGTGCTTGACAGTGACAGAGTCTGATGTTATTAACTGACGTATTTCAGAAAAATGTTTTTTCCAAAGGCACAATAAGACATTTTAAAACACTATACTGTAACATAGTGAACACAATTACTTCTTGCATTTCATAGTCTGAATTAAAAAAAATTACAGGCACAGAATAAAATGATAGGCATCATGCAAATTACAATATCTTTAATGAAAATGATCAGCATTTGATACAAAGAACATCAGTAAGTATGGAAGAAGAAAAGGTCCATCTCCATAGATCGTGGACGTGCAACCTCAATCTTTTGTCGGACATGCCATAATTGAGAGGTCACACTCCAGCTATGTCCACTCCATCATCTCCAAATGGAAATGGAAAAAAAGTAGATTTTGGGTCCAGATTTAATTTTAGAAAATTCCAGGCTGTTCACACAAAATATGTGTGGTCCGAAACCGAGTACCAACTTGCTCCTCTATGATTTTTAGTGACCAATGAGTTCTTAGCCTTCAGCAGGGGAGGAAAAGAGGTTAAGTAAGGTCTCTTTGGGACTGAATTGGCTCCAATGTAACGTAACTATGTGGCAGTCTCAGTACTCCCAAAGACAGGTGGGTCCGCATTACTCCAGGCCACCGTTGATGACACATCAACCAACTTGGTTCATTGGCAGGTCTTAAGAGGGTGAGATCTTAAGAGGGCTGAACGTATTCCCACTCAGTCCCAGATAACTGTGCAAACCAAAGCCTTAAAAGGCAGGGTGGTTCTAGCTGGACAAGCAAGAAGCTTACCTCTGCATTAGTTAGCTTGTGATTTTTCACTGGTTAAACTGCAGTTGTGCCCCAGTGTACATCTATCCTTAAATCCACCTTAAAACCTTTGGTCACCTACACCCTTGCTTGGTGTCCAACCCTGCCTCTGTGAAGCAACACATTATCCTATGTGAAGAATGCTATATAAATACAAGTTGTTGTTGTAAGCAGCTGTCCCTCTGAGGAAAAAGTGCATATTCCATTTCAATCAAACAGAAACCATAGGTATGTATAACGCTAAGTAGTTTGTTTCAGAGACTGTGAAACATATCGTTGGGTTTCTCCCTATGTCGGTGGACTATATATGGCAATATTTTTTTCCTTCCCTTCTTAGGCGTTTTGTTCGACCCTGAGCTGTCCTTTCTCCCTCACATCCGCACCACAACTGGCACCGCCTTCCATCACCTCCGGAATATCGCCAGACTACGGCACTACCTCACCCCTCACGCCGCTGAAACCCTGGTTCACGCCTTTGTCACCTCAAGGCTGGACTATGGGAACTCTCTCCTCGCCGGCCTTCCCGCCACCTCCCTCCACAAGCTGCAGGTCATTCAGAACTCTGCAGCTCATGTACTGTCCCGCACCAGGCTTCGCGATCACATCACTCCCACCCTCGCTCGCCTCCACTGGCTCCCCATCCCCCAGAGGATTGATTTCAAGATCCTCATCCTCACCTACAAGGCCATTCACGGCCTTGCTCCCTCCTACCTCTCCAACCTACTATCCCCCTACCTACCTGCCAGTACCCTCCGTTCCTCTGGCTCCGGTCTGCTCCACGTCCCCCGCCCCAACCGCCCTACCATCGGTGGTCGGGCCTTCAGCCTCTCAGCCCCAGGCTCTGGAACTCCATCCCCCAGTGCCTTCGCCTTGCTTCCTCCTTTCCTCCTTCAAGGCCGGTCTCAAACCTTTCTCTTTGACCGTGCCTTCAGCTCCCCTCTCGACTCTCTTCCTCCTCCTCGCTCCCTCCCTTCCCTCCCTCACCCTGACCATTTCCCCCCTCCTCTCTCCCTCCCTTCCCTCCCCTCACCCTGACCATTTCCCCCCTGCTCGGGTCATGACCCAACTGTGCAGCGCCTTGGGACGTCCTCCTGACGTGAAAGGCGCTCTATAAATGGAATCTTGTTGTTGTTGTTGTTGTTAGATGTTCTGCAGAATTGGACTAGATTATGAGGTGTTTCTCTCTTTCTCGTCCCTTTCTCTCTCTCCCCCTTCCCTTGTGCCAAATGCTTCCTTTTACTTGTAGCTTAGTGGTTAGAGTGCTCGCTTTGTAAGTGAGAGGACCCAGGTTCGATACCTGGGCGGGTAAAGTCAGGGCGAAACCTTAGGCAAGTTTCCTTACTCCACACACACAAGCCTCTGTTTACCTACCAGTAAGTAGGAGCCCGCTTGTTAGTCGATTGGCAGATTGCTTTCCGGGGCCTAATAATCCCTTCTCTCTCTCTGATACACACACTCTCTCTGCCACATTCTCTCTCTAGTTCATGTTTTTAAGAAGCGACATGAATTTTTTTTTATATAAAAAAAATTGCAAATTGACATTTATTTACACAGCACCTCTCATGTCAGAAGGATGCCCCAAGGCACCTGAGCTCTGGGTTGGAGCTGAGTGTGTATGGAGGGGGTTTAGTCACCAGAAACAACTATGTGTAAATGCCTTGCACCTCTGTATCTTGTCCCACTCTCACACTCTCTCTCCACACTCTGAGGTGGGTTCAGTGCACTTGTTCAGTCCAGTCAATTAATGTGCAACCCTGCAACGTAGTGGTTAGAGCATTCGCCTCGCAAGCGAGACGGCCTGGATTCGATTCCCAGGCAGGGCAAAACCTTTGTCAAGTTTCCTTACTCTACACACGTCTCTGTTACCCTAGCAGTAAGTAGGAACCCGCTTGTTAGTCAATTGGCAGATCACTTTTCCGGGGGTAATAATCCCTCAAAAAAATAAAGAATACTAATAATTTGGTCACTCAATCCACCCATGACTGGTTGTGGGACACTGCTCTGCACAATTGACTGCTGTGTTTCACCCACAAAACACAGTCAATCGACTTTACTGTGAAGCACTTTGAGACATCTCAAAGACGTGATAAGGCAATACATCAAATGCCAGGGCTATTACTATTGTTGCAAGCCTCTGTCAATACAATCTTCATGAATTGTAGCCTGCATGTTTTTGGAATACTCTGTCCAAAGTACAAAGTTGTGCAGAAACTGAAAAACAGCACTATGCTCAGTCCATCGGGTCACATTTTCTCAAATACCGTACCATTGACCATGAACGTGGTGGGTGGTGTGGTGGTGGGGGGGGGGTGTGGTGGTGGGGGTGTGGGTGTGGTTGCATGAAAGTGAAACGAACCAATCTGTGCTCTGATTTGACAATTGCTACCGTCCCGCCTCCACCGTTCCCTTTTGACGGACACCACAGGGAGCCAATCACAGCCACCGATTTCGAAATGCGCGCTTATTCTGCGCCAATCAGAAAGAGAAACCGGGATCAAACGAACCAATCCAATGTCGGCGTTTCCGCCCCGACCGTTGCGCCGGTGGGCCGCTCGTGATCGATAAGCTCTCATTGACTTGCCGAGGAGCCAATCACATTTACCTTATCGTGCATTACCACAAACTCGAAGGTAGTTCAACGACAGACAACGAAGAAGCTGTTTTGGAAGTAACAACCGCCAGTGGGCCTGGAGAGGCGCCGAGAGTCGCTCGCTCCCTCCCTCTCTCTCTGAGTTGCAACCCCGAGTTAGTCATTACCGGGTGTGACGGTTTGTCGTTACCCACCCCCCTCCTTCTTTCACCCCCGCCCCCCGCCGTTTCTGACAGCCTCACCTCAGCGACATTGCAGCTGCCACTCCACAAAATGGCTGACCCCGGCCGTTCCCCCCCCACTCTCCCTCTCGGTTGGGGCCACGAGAGGAAAAGACGGCCGCGAAGTCGAGCTCAGCCGCGACCGCGCTCGGGCTCGAGACGTACATATTTAAAACTTAACGACAAATAGTTCCTGTGAGGGGGGAGGTTGTCAGGCAGCTTCTAGACGCTTCTGCGGAACGAAGGCGACTGCAGTTCCCAGGGGGCACCGCGCGCCGTTGCCTGGCGCCCGTTGCCGAGGAAACGGCGCTTTGCTGATTGCCTTCTCGGGGACTGTGAATTGTCCCCAAGGAATCCATTACCCGCCTCAGGAATTGCTCATTCTGTCTCTTTTTGTTTCTTTATTTCTTTTTTTTTTAAGAAAAGAAAAGGACACCGAGAGGTAAAGGGGGTCACTTTTAACCTGTTGTTTCTTTTATTTTTTTCCGGGCCTTCAGCCCCGAGGCTCTGGAACTCCATCCCCCAGTGCCTTCGCCGCCTCCTCCCTCTCCTCCTTCAAGGCCGGTCTCAAGACCTTTCTCTTTGACCGAGCCTTCAGCTCCCCTCTCAACTCTCTACCCCCCTCCTCGCCCCCTCCCCTCCCTCCCCTCACCCTGACCACTTCCCCCCCAATGCTCGGGTCCCGACCCAACTGTCCAGCGCCTTGGGACGTCCTCCCGACGTGAAAGGCGCTCTATAAATGAAATGTTGTTGTGTTGACCACCACGTTGTTTCTTCCGCGTCGGGAGGACGTCCCGACAAGTATCGGCCTCCCCCAACTCCTCCCTTCCGCAGGCCGCTCAGAATTCCGCAGCCCCGCGTCCTCTTCCCGCACCAGGCGGCGTGACCCCATCAGCCCCCACCCCCCCCCCCCCATTCCTCGCCCGACTCCACTGGCTTCCCATCACGCAAGACGATTCAGCTCAAGATTCTGTTCCTCACCTTGAAAGTCTCCATGGTCATCCCCCCACCCCCCCCCCACCCCCGTGACCTCCTAACCCCCTTATCATCCTGCTTGCTCAGCGGGCTCCAGCCTGCTTCATGTCCCACCTCTGCCTCGACCCCCCCCCTTGCCTCCTTCCAGACCCTCTTCAACCATGCTTTCAATCTCCCTGCTTTCCCCCCTGCCCTCCACCCTCACCGATCCCGTCCCCCAGGTCGGGTCCGAAACTTTCTCTGTCCATTGCCTTGGGACGTCCTCCCGACGTGAAATGCGCTATACAAATATCATTTTGTTGTTGTATTTTATTGTTGTATTGTAAAGTGTATTTGTGGGTGAATGCAGCAGCCGTGTTGTGCACAGCAATGTCTCACAAACAGCCATGGAGAGAGTGACGAATTTTATCTGGGGGATTGTTGGCCAGAACCTCTTCTCTTTTCGATTAGTGCCATGGGGCCCTCGTGCCCTCCGTTCCTCCATCGGTGGAGTTCTGTAGCTTAGTGGTTAGAGCACTCGACTCGCAAGCAAGAGGACCTAAACTTAATTCCCAGATAGGAAGTTTCCTTACTCCACACACCTCTGGTTATCTAAGTAGGAACCTGGTTGTTAATTGATTGGCGGATTGCTTTTCTGGGTTTAATAATCCCATCAAAAAAAAGTTTTAAAAAATAATAATTTGGTCACTATCTATGACTGCACGTCGGACACTGCTGTGTGCAATTCACTGCCATGGTTCACCCACAGAATATGTGGTGAATTCGCTTCACAGTATATTCTGAAGCGCTGCGAGACATCTCAAAGACGTGATAAGATGCTACATCAAATGTGAGGATTATTATTATTGTTGGCTGTGCTGTCAGCCACTACGTCCAAGACTCTGGAACACTCTCCCTCAATCGCTCCCCCTGCCCCTTCCTTCAGGTTCACCTTTGTCTTCCACCATGCTTATGGTCCCTCCCCCTGGCTTGGTGTCGTACTCTGCCACCGTTAAGCGCTCTGGGATGCTATCCTCCGTGAGAGCTTTATATAAATGCAAGTTGTTGGGGCTTTAAGGTCCATCTGAACAGGCAGACGGGACCTCAGTTTAACATCTCATCCAGGAAGGCACCTGCAACGATGTTACACACACCCAGCATTGTATTTCAGTGTCATCTTACGCCAGGGTGATCCAACTGGCGTCCTACAGGCTGTATCCACCCCAGGGATGAATTCATCCAGCCCGTAAAGCATTTCCGACTTCAGACTGCCCACTCCCTCCCTTCCTGGAAAACTGTCGGCTCATGGCAGCAGCAGACTGCAGTTATGGGCAGCATATTTCCAGATCCCGTAGCTCAATGTCCTACAGAAGGGAGATTTTCCCCTCTGTCCTTGCCAACTAATCCCAAAATAGCATGTGTCATTTATTTCCTGGCTATTTGTTGTACAACTATTTTACAGTAAAATCCTGAATTGTATTTGAGATGTTTTGTTATAAGGTGCTATATCAAATTATTGTTGTATAATAAAGACTTTATAAAATCTGTTGTCTTGACCGTTTTTTCGGCCAGAGTTGGAAGATTATAGACATCTTCTATAAAAATGGTTATTCTTATAGCTGTTGCTTTGTGAAAATTAACCGCTACATTTGCCTACAAAATACAGTCACCACATTTCACCGTAAAGTCACGTTAAGCATTTTGAGCTGTTGTAGAGTCCTGTAGCATAGTGGTTACTGCGCTCACCTCGCAAGTGAGAGGATCTGGGTTCATTCCCCGGGTGGGACGAAATCTTAGGCAAGTTTCCTCTGTTTACCTAGCAGTTATTGGTCGATCTCTTTCTGGGAGTAATAATCTCTCCAAATAAAAGTGGACACTCAATCCATGACTCTTTGTGGACCATTGCTGTGGGCAATTGGCTGCCGCATTTCGCCCACAAATAGAGTCAATCCATATTCTGTAAAGGACTTTGAGATGTCTCATCAATGTGATAAGGTCTAAGAGGTGTGGAGGCATTTGAGATAAACAAGAATCTTGCGGTCGACCAATTGGTGCTTGGGTTCTAGTGGAGCTTGGCTCAACATCTTGGCCTCAATCACCCTTCCTGGTAACATGTTCCGATTGCTAATTACCTGCTGGGTAAAGAAATACTTCCTGGTGTCTGTTGTGAAATTGCCCTTTGCAATTCTGAACTTGTGTCCTCTTATTCTAACACTGCAGAGTCACATCCAGAATCCATCTAATTCCTTTTTGAGTGAGAATGGTCATGTGTCCCTAGTACAGAACTTGAGACAAATTATAGATCAATAGAAAGAAAAAAAAATAAGAAACTCAGTTTATGGGCTGAAAGCTAACATGATGAAGTAACAATGCCTTGATGACATTTTAAAATCACTGAAATATAATATTGGACTGTTTCTTCTGTGTTCACATTTTGCCTCTTGGTGTAGTTTCTCATACAAAATGGAAGAAGAGGATGATTTGAAGCTTCAATTGGAGCCGATTCCGGAACCGGTATCAGATGCGGTGCCAGTATCAGAGGTTGTGATGTACATGTCACCGTCAGAGACAGTAGTAGAGGAGGTTGATCCTGCAGAGCTGGAGTTAAGAGAATGGTTGAAGAAAATCAAACCACGTATTCCAGCCTTGGAAGTGTAAGTATATTCAACTTTTCTTTCTCAAATTTGTATCTTATTTCCTGAATACTTTACACCCAAGACTAATTTAAGAGAAAGTAACAGAAATATTAAGCACTCTGCATTGTCAGTGTAAGTTCTCACCTCCATTGGTGGTTTTCAGATATTTCTTAATGTTTGGAAAGCCAACATAACATGTTTATGAGGCCCGCTGTTTGCACTATGTACCTCAATCTGCTGCTTTAGCCGCATAACAGGAAAAAAAATTCATGTGCATGGCTGCTTCAGATTCGTCAATAGTGAACTTATTACGGCTGTGTCCCGTGTTTGGTAGCTTAATCCAACTTTGGAAGGAACCAAATTGATGTGTATTAGCTCTCACTGGATAACAATTATCAGAAGATAAAATTGATACGTGTTTATAAAACTAACATAACCAAAGAATATTTTAGTTTATGTTACTTGAACCCTGAATGAATAGTAACTGTTTCAGGCAGAGATAGAACATTTTGTCAAAACCCAAACGATTCCTTTTATTTTTCACAAGTGGTCATTCTTTATGTGTGAACCTGGACATTGATTGTTGGCAGACAATCTTGCTATGGTTTCAGGAGCAAAAGGTCAGAGGCTAGATGAAAAAGATGATTTCACTTGTATAATTCCATGGAATGAAAATTTGGTCTTTGCCAACACTGTTTTTNACACCAATTACCTGTTGATGAAAATTGCATTGGGTTGGAATGTTACATTACACGAAATGTAACTTTGTAGTTCTTCTATGCACTACCCCACCATAAGTTCCTTTTTCAATCTTGCAGAAATCCAAAGTTGCCAAATATCGACACCTCAGGGTACCCGTCATCCTACAGAGAAAACTCTCGCAACGAAGAGATCATGTTGAGATTTGCAGAAAACTTCAACCGACAATATTCCTACCTGTTCCCGGACAGAAAAATTTTACTTCTCAGTCCGCTAAATGAATGTGGCATCAAGGTAGAACCTTATGTAGTTACCTTACCTTGTGTATGTAATAATAAATGATAATAATCCTTGCATTTGATATAGCGCCTTATCACATTGTTGAGACATCTCAAAGCGCTTCACGGAATATATTGTAATGGATTGACTGTATTTTGTGGACGAAACATGGCAGCCAATTGCGCATGGCCATATCCCACAAACAATTTGAATGACCAAATTTTTTAAAAAAACAGGATTTTGTATCAAAACAGGATTTTGTATCAGAACCTAATTGATCCTTTTATTTCATCCAACACCCACTACCAAACTAAGAGTGCTTCCAAACCAATGGGAAGAGGAGGACGTGAAAAGAAGATGGGGAGGGAAGACGAGTCCAGGGCGGGGGAGAGAAGAGACTGGAACAGCTGGGGGAGGAAAGAAGAGATTGGAACAGCTGGGGGAGGAAAGAAGAGGCAGAGCTGGGGGGGCCGGGGAAATAGAGAATCTGTCCCTTCAGATATTGAATTTGCTTTAGCACCATGATCTTGGACATAGATTATGTAGAATATTACAGCACGGAAACAGTCCATTTAGCCCAACTAGTACTCCACACAATCATAGCCTCCTCTTCCAGCAGATAATTACCCACTCATTTCCTTCCTTTTCACCAGCACCTATTCTTCCCCATAGCATATCTTCTCAATTTATTGTCTTAAAGGAGAATTTCTGATTTTCATAACCTTACATAATCCAAGGATTGGAAGATGGACTCAAAAACATTTCTTGGTCACACCTGGATACAGAACCAAGTAACTAGCTATTTGTGGGTGTATGACAGGTAAAGACTGAATTTGACCTGGTTGTGATCCCTTTCTTTCCTCAAGAAACTTGCTACTCGCTACCAATGCCGGACGAATAATCAAATTCCTGGAGGGTGGCTGAATGAGTGGGAGTCTGTGTGGCTATAGGAGAGGAGTGGAGAAGATTGTGGAAAATATATAATAAATAATCCTTGCATTTGATATAGCGCTTTTCACGTCGGGAGGACGTCACAAAGCGCTTCGCAGAACACACTAAAGTGAATTGACTGTATAATTGTGGGCGAACGCAGCAGCCAATTGCGCACAGCATTGTCCCACAAACAGTCGTAGATTGAAAATGACCAATTTTATTATTGTTTTTAGTTTTGGAGGGATTATTATTAGGAGTGTGGAGTAAGGAAACTTGCCCAAGGTTTTGCCCTGACCTGCCTGGAATTGAACTCAGGTCTCTCGCTTGCAAAGCGGGTGCTCTAACCACTGAGCTACAGGACTCCACTTACAGTTAAAAAAAAAGTGATTTTTTGTTTTGTCAACAGAAATTTGTGAGCACCACTATTCGTCCAACACTGCTGACTTATCAGGAGCTCTACGGGTGGTCTGGTTGTGCTCAGTTTGTTGCTGATTATTTTGTGATGGAACCTTTAATTCCTTACGTTGACGTGGTAAGAATTCTTCAAAAATTACTGAAACAGATAGCCTTGCACTGTCAACATCACAACAGCACATTAATTGCACGACTCATACACACTGTACCATTATAGTCTACCTCACCAAGTGCCAATGTTTCGTCAGCTCTTACCACTCATCTCCTGTTAAGCCTGTAAGCCAATGCCCTAAAGGATAGGGTGGTCCCAGCTAGACAAGCAGTGTCCATCCCAAAGGCTCTCTGATTCTCTTCCTTGCTCACCTCGTGCAAAGTTCATCTCAAGATCAACCTCTTTGACTGCACTTTTGTTCATTTTTCCCTTCTGATTCTCCCCCTCCCCCTGAATTATTTTTCTAAGATTTTGTAGAGCAAAGAATTTAGGCAGAATTTAGTCTCTCTTTGGCCCAGATGTGCTGACATGCCAAGCAAAAATGGTTCAGCTGCTCAGTTAGAACTGAATTCAGGAAGCATTTCTTCACACAATGGGTTGTGAAGATGTGGATTGCTCTGCCCCAGAAAGCTGTTGAGGTAGAATCAAGAGAGATGGTTAAAAGAGAGATTGACAGATACTTGGGTAGTAGAGGTATTAAGGGCATGACAAAATGACCATTGGGATTAAAACATCTGCCAAGATTTAATAGATTAGTAGAAGAGGCTCAATGGGCTGAATGCCCTCCTCTGGTTCTTGTTTTCCTCTGTTCTTATGGAGGAACTTGCTGAGCTGATATGGGAAGGCGATTGATTGAGGGATACACGTAGGTACATTCAAATTAAATTGACAAACTTGTAATCATCAAGTCAGACTTTAACCTGTTCTTTCTTGTCTTCTCTGACAGCCACAGTTCTTGTATTCCCCAACCACCTTTTTAAGGCGTCAGAAGGGAAACTGCTTTGATTTCAGCATCATGCTCTGCTCCTTACTGATTGGCACAGGGCACGATGCATACTGTGTCAGCGGCTATGCCATCAAGGAGATATGTATGATGGACGAGTCAAAAGAAATATGTCCACTGCTACAGGAAAAGCCCGAAGTAAGGAGGAAGACGTACGCCAGTGAATAACTGAACAAGTGCCTCGTTATAGCAGCAGATTGCAAGAATTTGTTTTGTTTCTGCAAATTTATCTCCCTTTATTTTTGGTTCCTCCCCCATGGTGTGCTGCTGGTTACTGGCAGGATTCTCCATTGCTAGTTCTGAGTTGCCGATTAATCAATCCATTGTGAGCTTCTGCTTTTTCAATTCCAATGGGTTTTGCAATGTATTTTCTATAATTTCAGACTCATTTATTCCTAAATCTGAAATTATGGAATATGAGAATTCCATCATTCCCATGTGGGATGCACAGTGTGGGAACACTCTGTTGCAAACTGTTGTTGAAACAGAAATTTAAGAAAAAAGAGAATTAGAAGTAATTCATCTTATCTACTCACATGCTTTGGAACTCCATCTTGGAGTCCTTCCAACGTGTTTCCCCCACCCCTCACCTCTTTCAAGGTCCATCTCAACACTTTCCTCTTTGCCTTTGGTCACCTCCCCCACACCCCCACAACACACCCCACCCCAGCCTGATTGGCTCCTACATGAGTGGCAAGCCAGGACTGTCATCCACCTTGGGACCTCCTCATGTGAAAGTGGCCATAAATGTAAATTTGTATTTTATTGTAGATAGATGCTTGAAGAGAAGGAATATGGAAAGCAAGGCAGAAGGGTATTGGTGAGATTAGGTGCCTCATGGACTATTTCGGACAAATTTGATGGCTGAATGTCTGTTCTGAGTTGTAACATTCTACCGATTTTCAAAAAATAAATCTTGGTGATTGTTTTAGGAAGTATACATTTGAACAACCATATGAGTGAAGATTGGAGGGGAAGTGTGTCCCGGTAATTAATTGTTTCTGAAAAGTTCACCGGGTTCAGGGGAGTTAAGGTGGGCGCTGTTCACCAGATATTGCACAGTTTTGGTTACAGACTTGTATAGGGAAATGAAAGTCAGCACAGAGGTGGAACAATTTTAAATATAATATATATTTCCAACCCAAAGGTAAAGCAAAAAATAATTAAACCTCCTTCAAAGAAGTATGCTGTGAAGCCACCCCGAGACCTGAGAAGCAGATTTGAGTTGGGCCAGGAGGCTAAGAAGGTGGCAGACATGAAGGCAGAGGAAGAAAAGAAGAAGCGAGAGCTGGCGGAGAAGTTGGCTGTGAGCCCCATACTTTATAATTCTTCTAACTTTATATTTATTATGTTATTGGAAAATATACATCTTGCAAAAACAATGTAGAGTATTAGAGGCCGCCATGCGATAGCCCTGTGAATATTGTATTTGTGTAATCCCTGTGTAGACTGGGAAAATCCCAGATTCCGCGTCTGTGCCATGTTAGCTGATCTCAACCAAGACAACCAGTTAGGTTACTACAGTTGGTCGCAGCACTCCTGAAATGAGGGTCAGGGGGTAGAACTAGCCAGAGTTCGTTCCCACTCCGAAATGCTATGCCAGTGATCCCTCCTGCCGAAAAGTCCATTCGATATTGGGTGAGAACAGCATTGGATTCAAGTGTGATCACCCCCTAGTCAAATATTCAACTTATGTTCAACGTAGAAGGGTCACTTGGATGAGGTATGGGAGTGTGGCTGGTGCCTGTGAAACTATACCTCCGCTTTCAAAAGAGAGATGATGTGAATCCAACAAGTATTTTGTCAATGTTTTGAAGTTTCTTTATTGGGTGATGTGTACTGCTGAGTGTTGGAGCAGTAACACTAATTATAGAGTGAGAAGGTTGATTGCTGCTCCACTCAGTTCCCTCATGGGGGAATGCTGAACAGAAGGCGCAGTATCATGTAATCAGCGACTGGAACACTTTACCAGGGTGGATGGTAACGGTCTAGATTAGTACAGGGAACAGCTTGATGCTGTAACAAGGAAACAGTATGATTGCACGGAATAAACAAAACAGGCCTTTTTTGTCCATTTTGTTTGTCTGCAGCAGAGACAATCAAGAAGCTGGGCACACATCCTCGTGCCCCCTGGTGGCTACCTTCAGGAAATCTTGCATGTCATTTGGAAATGAGCTAAACAGCTTTCATGGGAGCTTATTGTACAGGGCAGGTGGGTTGAACCGGAGGGTCAATGTAACCCAGAACCAAAAACTTGGATTGAAGTATTGATACTAAATGCTTATTATTTATGTCCAGATTTTTTCTTCTGATTAACTGCTGTATTTGGCTACATAACAATCTTTTCTTTGGTTTTTATGTAAAAATAAACATGTCAAATGCATTATGAAACATAATTATAATTCTGTAATATTAATAATTTTCCTTGCATTTGATATAGCACCTTTCACGTCAGGAGGAGATCTTAATAGGATTTACTGTAGAGTGTAATGGTTGTGTATTTTGTTGGTGAATAACTGGTTAGAAATTAAGTGGAAGTTGTTATATAAGCCAATGTGGCACCTAATCGTTATTAAATTGATTTCTTTTTGACTGCTGATAGATACTTTGACAGAACTATGTACGAATGTTTTAAAGAAATCAATTTAAATTTTTCAGAAGTTCTGAGAAAAGTATTCAGCAGGAAATAATTAAATTAAAAGTATTTATTATTTAATTTTAACACCTCCAGGAAGAAGAAAGAAAATCTCGCGAAATGCTGCATGGCTTGCGGATACACAGCTGGGTCTTAGTGCTAGCAGGGAAGAGGGAGGTGCCTGAAAACTTCTTCATTGATCCTTTCACTGGGAACAGCTACAAAACTACCAATGACCGATTCCTGGGCATTGAAAGTGTCTGGAACCATAAGAATTATTGGGTGAACATGCAGGACTGCAGAAATGGCTGCAAGGTAGTCTCATTTGAGCTTCCCTATCTGAGCTGTACAGTACATCTGGTAAAGAATCAAGTTGTGCTAATTTCTATTTTCTGACTATTGAAGAGCACCAACCACTCCCTGATCAAATATAACATGGATCAGCGTCAGCTATGTATAATAGCTTGGTTCAGGTGGCACCACTCTCACTAAGTCAGAAGGTTGTGGATTCAAGCCCCACTGGGACTTTGAGCTCACATTGTCTAGGTTGACAGTTGAATGCAGTGCGGAGAGTATGCGGCATTGTGGACGTGACATTAAACCGAGATTCCATCTGCTTCAAAGGCTCTATGAGCGTTTGTTGGAGGTCTCGATCAATGGTTCATTAGATTAATTTCCTAGTAAATGTAACACATTATTTCTAGCAAATGTAAAAATTTTTTGGGGGAATGTAACACATTTAAGAGGTAATGCAGGAACTTTTTTTAATTCCTAGGACTTAACTTTTGATCTTGGCGATCCTGTGAAATGGGAGTATGTCCTTATCGACCCTGACATGACAACATTGAACATTCCTGATTCTGATGAATTCCTCGTTCAAGACGAAGATGAAGAAGATGTAAGATCTGATAAATTAATCGCATAGTTACTCCAGTCAGCTCCACTTTGTGCTGCTACCTATCCAAGATAATTCTTTCACTCATCACAGCATCTCTGCAGACAAATCTTTTACCATTTAGAACTCATCATTTTTTACTCCCTATTGAAAAGCTAAATTTCTGGTCCATTTACTGTTTCAGTCGTTTCCTAAATATTAACCTAATTTAAAAGTTTTGTTAGATCTGACAAATGTCTTCTACAAACTTGAGTAGATTATGTCCATAGGGCTGGCTGGCATCAACTCGTTTGGTTACCCCCTCAAGAAATTTCCACCAGTGCCCCTGAGCCAGAGAGGGAATGATCAGGAAGATTTCTATCTGCTCCGGATCACCATTGTGACTCAAAGAATAAGATCATTAGTGAGTTACTGGACGGCTGCCAACAGAGGAAAATAACCAACAAAAGTACACCTTCTGTCTTTCCAAATTGGGAATAGTATGAATGGTTATTAGTCTTTGAACAAAGTGCATTTGGTCTGCAATAATCACCCGCAGAGTCTGCAGAGAGATTCACTTTGATCGCAGTGATTCAGTTTGTTGAAAAAAATTAATTTACGTCTTTGCAACCTGGAGCAGGTAACCTTTGGGATGGAATGAGACACTTTTTGCATAGTTTTAGCAAGAACTCCTACAACACTTTCATTTTAACTCATTGAGTTCCAAAGATGCCAATTTGACACCAATTTCAAAAGGGTATTTGAAAAATACTGGATTCCAAGGGTTAAAACTCAGTGTTTCTCAGGTTTAGTTCAGGATTCACATGGGACTTTATGTTTCAGGAGGAAAAAGAAGAGGAAAAGCCCTTTTACATGCCACCAACATGGGTACAGAAAGTGTACATTTCACCTCAAGGTAAAATGTCATTCTTTACATCCGTGATCTCTGAAAAAAGATAATTCATTAAAAAAAATGTTCTCTTGGAAATAGAGGATTTCAATAGTGCCTTAGACAACAAAATGGCCTCAATGAGCTTTATGTTAATTGTTGTCAAGTATAATAACTAGTTTTTGTAGGAAAATGTTGCAAACAATTTGCGCACAGTAAGGACTCTAAGGTATAAATTATCAATTTATTTGAAGGACATCTACCTTGTCTTCAAACAGTGTCATGGGAGCTTCAAGATCCACCTGGGAGATGGGCTTCAGTTTAACAACTCTCCTGAAAGACGGGCATGGAGCACTGGGGTGTCAGCCCTAGACTATGAGCCCAAGTCCTGAAAAGGGACTTAGACCTTCTGACACAAAGGTTCAATATAGTTCCAACTGAGCCAAGCTGATATGTCAGAGAAGACCTGTCAGATTGAAGTTAATTTACAAAAAAAAACCTCACCCTGCACTGTCTTGCCTTCTGTTTCTTCCTCCTCCTGTACTGTGAAAAGAGTCCGCTCCACTTGGTAAAGATGGGTAACTCTCTCTCTCCCACAGTCAGCCACTCGGGTTACTATCTGCAATGGCAGGAGCCACTTATTTTTAAAATAATAAAGGGATTCAAAAGAGTAGATACAGAGAAACTATTTCTTCTGGTAGGGGAATCCAGAACAAGGGGGCATAATCTTAAATTTAGAGCTAGGCCATTCAGGAGTGAAATTAGGAGGCAGGTTTTCACCCAAAGGGTAGTGGAAATCTGGAACTTTTACCTCCAAAAGGCTACAGATGTTGGATCCATTTACATCTTCAAGACTGAGGTGGCTAGCTATTTGTTAGGGCATTAAGGGATATGGGGCAAGGGTGGGTAATTGGACTAGAGGTACAGATCGGCCATAATCTTATAGAATGGTGGAACAGGCTTGAGGGGCTGAGTGGCCTACTCCTTTTTCTATGATCCGGTAGTTGCTAAGGATGCAGTGGACGAGGAGACATGCTTGCTATATTTCCCCTCAGTTCCAGCACACACTGATGTAAAGGCCGGCATTATTTCCACTCACCATGCTGCGTCCACCCAAACGTCGGCTCCTGGCATTGCCATGGCAGAACGTTCGCCAGGAAGGGAGGGAGCAGAAGTTAGAATGTTGGAAATGGTCTTGGGCCGGATGACAACAATAAGATTATATTTGTACAGCGCATTTCACGTCGGGAGGACGTCCCAAGTACAGCATTTCAGACCTGAGCTGGGGTTGTGAGGGAGGGGAAGGTGGATGGCCGATGGCATGGTCGAAGAAGAGGGTCTTGAGGCGGGACTTGAAAGAGGCTAAGGAGGGGGCGAGGCGGAGTGTCTGGGGATGGAATTCCAGAGGTTGGGGGCAGAGTGGCTGAAGGTTCTCCCGCCAATGGTGGGCCGGGTGCGGCAGGGGACGTGGAGCAGGCCAGAGCCAGCTGAGTGGACGGAACGGGTTGGTAGGATAAAATCACCTGTCGGGCCAGATGCGACCTGCGGGCCGCCTGTTGGATCACGCTAATCTAAGTTGACACTCTGATAAGGCTCTGGGAATATGTTGGCCTTTGGATGAGATGTTAAACTGAGGTCCCATTTGCCTGTTCAATTAGACTTTAAAGAACCCATGGCACTATTCGAAATATGAAGCGAATTTCTCTTGGTGTCCTGGCAAACAATCCCCAAACGAAAATTGGTTGTTCACTTCACTGGCTGTTTTGGGACATTGTTGTGTGCAGGTTGGTTACTGTGTTTACCTATAAAATATACAGTCACTACACTGTATAATATTTCTTGAGATATCCTCCTGGCATACTATATCAAATGCAAGGATTATTATTTTACAAAAATGTATGGATTCTGCTTCAACATTGGTTTGTGACAGGAAAATTGACATTCCAACCATCTTCTGTGCGGAGAAATGTTTTCTGGTTCTCCATTTAATTAGTTTTGTGATTATCTTAAACTTGTGCCGTCTCTTTACAAACTCAATGACCGGTGGAAATTTCTTACATTTATCCTCTTGCATCTTTTCATAATCTTGAATTTCATAATCAGGTCACCCCTTAACAATCTCGACTCAAGTCAAAACAAGCTTTCTAACTGATGTTTATCCACTCTGCAGACGTTGAGAGACGCCACCCTGGTGGAAAGAAGACTATTCTTTACAAGAACGCCAAGTTGGAAAAATTTTCACAGTATTTGATGCCAGACGGGGTGGTGACAAGATTGATTGAATACCAGGACGATGAATGTAAGTAAGATCTCTCTGGTTCTATCCTATTTTAACCCTTTTTATCAAACACTAACCATTTGCTATTCTCAATTTGTTGGTGTGTAACCTACAAGCCTTTTCAAGCTAAAGAATTAAAATTTCTCAATGGTCTTAGCCGATAAAATTGTGATCTTCAGCCTTGATATTCTGGAAGGATGCATGGATAAAGCCAGGGTGACACCCAAATAGCGACATCACTGATAATCAGAGATGGAACAACATTGATATTACATAGAATGTTAGGGGATGGAAACAGACTATTCAACCCAGCTAGCTTATGCTCTACATGAATATCACCCCTCCTAATGCCCTCCCCCATTCCCCTATATTTCCTTCCCCAGATTCAAAATGTTTTTTTGATCACAGATGAAGACCCCAAGAAAGTGAAAGAGTGGTTCAAGAACAGAGCTGATTACGTGGAACTAATTGAACGTGACTTGGTTACCGGAACCATTACAGAGTACTTCAGACCAGGTCGCCACCTAGCAGTTAGAGGTAAGTCTATTGCCAAGAGAAGAAAGAGGTTACGTTTGTGAGAACAGTGTTTTATGAAGTGAGTTAAACTGCTGTCAGACCACAGGGTGATGCTGTTAAACTTTAAGACCTTTTTTCCACTGGAGCAGAGGAGATTGGAGGAATATGATTGAAATAATTCCCTTTAGCTGGGGAATTGGTGACCACAGGTTGCAGTCTCAGGATTGTTAGTGGAGGTTTTAGAGGAGAGATTAGAAAGAATTTCTTCACTCGGGGATTTTAGATCTTGGCATCCATTACCACAAGTGGATGGATTAATGGATAAATTCAAAAGGAACCTGGATGAACATCTGAGCAGTGAAATATTTGAGGTTATTGCGAAAGAGCTGGAAAATGGTATTAATAAAGAGGATAATTTAATAATGCAGGTTGCAGTGGTTGATGGTCTGAACAGTCTCCTATGCTGAACGTTTCCGTTTCTCTGTTGAAGAATAGCCTCAACTTGTATGGTGTGTGTAAGCTGCCTTCCACAACAACCACCAATTGGCTGTTTGGGGGCCATTTTTATTTGCAAATTGACCGCCACATTCAGCTACAAAATACAAAATCACAACACTCAACTGTAAATTCTGTGACGCATTTTAAGAGACGTGATAAGACTCGGATTATTATATGTTGTTACAACAAGAACAACAAAATTATATTTGTATAGCGCCTTTCACGTTGGGAGGACATCCCAAAGTGCTGGAATAATGCATTTCAACAGACTGACCTGGTAAATTTTTGACTTTTTCCCATTCTATGTGCTGGATTAGCTGACACATTCTGTGAGTACTGGCTGCCCTTTGGTGGCTTTTTTCTCCTACATTTTTCCGAGGCGATGAGGCCACTTTTAACTCTCCTGTGGTGCCCTTTTTTCAAGACTATATGTGACTCTGCTCCCCTAACCTCTGGTTCCATCTGAGATCAGCACACTCAGCACAGAGTGGCATTCAAACCTGTGATCTTTTGGTCTGTGTGGCCAAATGCCTCATGGATAGTATGAATGTATTTCTTCATATCTCTACCAGCCCACGCCTTCAGGGTAGCACAGACGCATATTCATTGTGTTTATGTTAAGACAAAAAATAACCTTCATCTGTAATCCAATGAAGTATTCAGGTCTACTCTGCTTCACATTTGTGGCATTGTTTGACCAAAGAATCACAAAATAAACTCAGATGATAAAGACCTTTCAGCCTAGTTAGTCTAATATTTACAGATTCCTCAGCTGTTAAAAAGCACCAGATATAAATAGTTGATATTTAATATATAAAGTTATTTAATATATAATAGTTATCCTTAATATTTAATACCGAGCTTGTTTGGATCCTTGGGCTGATAGAGCTATGAAGAAATAAATGATAGATTTGAAGTGGACGAAGAAGAAAGAACTTGCATTTTTATATTGCCTTGTAGATCAAAACGTCTCAAAGCATTTCGTAAGACTTATTGTGCAGTGTAGTGATACATTTTGCAGGAAACCACAGCAGCCACAGCAGCACCACAAGGTGCCATAATAGCTATGTGGTGATTTTATCTGGAATGTTGACAAGTACACTTCTTTCTTCTTCCCAATCATGTTATAGGATGTCCTGAGTATAGGCAGAAGGAACCTTGGGTTTAACAATAATATAATAATAATCCTTGCATTTGAAATAGCGCTTTTCACGTCTTCTAGACGTCCCAAAGTGCTTCACAGAATATACTGTAAAGTGAATTGACTGTATATTTGTGGGCGAACGTGGCAGCCAATTGCACACAGCAATGTCCCACAAACAGTCATGGATTGAAAATGACCAATTTATTATTGTTTTGTTTTTTTTGGAGGGATTATTATTAGGCTCTGTGTGGAGTAAGGAAACTTGCCCAAGGTTTCGCCCTGACCTGCCTGGAATTGAACTCAGGTCTCTCGCTTGCAAAGCGAGTGCTCTAACCACTGAGCTACAGGACTGCACGATAATGGAAGGTTTAATGGAAGGCAGGCAGTTCTGACAATACAGTGAGTGTTCTTAACTCAGCCAGGTTAACACCTAGTTGCAGAGTTTTTGCAGAAATGGGGATTAGCTAGTAGCATGGTCACAATAGAATTGCGCAGTCCTTTGACCCGTGGCTTACTTACCGCCCCCCTCCTCACAGCACTGTTAAACAACAACAATAACTTGAATTTATATAGTGCCTTTCAATATAGGGCAGCGTCTTGGAGTGCTTAACAGTGGTGGAGCCTGACGCCAAACGGAGGGAGGAGGTGACCATAAGCACGGTCTAAGAGGAAGGTCTTCAGTTGTAATCTAAAAGAGGGGAAGGAACAGGCAAGATGGAGGGATTGAGGGAGAGTGTATTAAATATTAAGGATAACTAGCTTTATATATTAAATATCAGCTATTTATATCTGGTGCTTTTTAACCAAAGCTTTGGGGTGAGGTGGCTGAAAGCCAGTCTCCAATGATGGAGCAGAGGGGATAAGGCACAAGCAGGTGGCCAGAGCCAGCCAAACAGAGGCAACAGGTAGCAGAGTGGGGAGGAAGCAGATCGGAAAGGTATGGAGGTGCCAGGGCGTGAAGGGATTTGCAAACAAGTGAGAGGATCTTGAGGCCATGATCTGTTCTGTGATAGGGAGCCAGTAGAGCCTGTCTAGGACTAAACTACACTAACTCAGAGTTTGTTTCTTACAGAGCACGTTTACAAAAGTCGGGAGCCTGAGACTGAGAGGACAATGGAGTTTTGCGACATGGTTCGGTTCGACGGGTTGATGAACAGAGTGGAAACTCCAATGATGATGGTTGAGACATTCAAAGACAGACCGGATTTCCTGATTTACCGAAAGGTCATATTTGGGAAGCGTCCAAAGAGAGTGGCTCTGCCAGGGGCTATAACTTTGAATAATCGTCCCATTGTGGTACAGTATCCTTTCCCCCTTCTCTTAGTTCCAACTATCCTTAAGATTCATCTTGCAGCATAGTTCCAGAGATGCTGTGAGTGTTCCAGATGTTATTTCTGACGTGAAGGGCGCCCTGGATATCAGTTTGGCTGAGTCAATAATTATCTCACTCTGGATCAGAAGGCTACACTTCAAAGCCCCATATTGAGACTTGGCTGACACTCGCTGTACTAGGAGTGCACTGCATTGTTGGAGGTTCTATCCTTTGGGACATTAACTTAAGAACCCATCTGCCTGTTCAGGTGGATGTTCCAAACTCTCATACAATAATTCAAAAAGAGAAGGGTGTTTCTCCCAGTGTCCCAGCCAACAATCTCCTGCATAAATGGCTTGTTTGCCTCACTTGCCTTCAGAAATACAGTCGCTATATTTTAAAGTGCTATTAAAAAAACAAGTCCTTCTTCTTTTAGACTATTGTGGAACGTTTTTCCAGAAACCGAAAGAAGCTGGCCATTGAAGATGTGGCTGAACAAATGTTCTTGATCTCTGAGGAGCATATCCAGCTCAGGTACCATCGAGACGATGACCGGATCACAGCAGTGAAGCGAGAATTTATTGTGCCACCAAACTTTTTGGAAAAGGAAGACCTGGATATCAGTATGAAACAAATTACAGTTACCTTCGAGGTAGGATGGCAGCGTGTGTGCAGAGTACATGAATGACACATGATCAGAATTTAACACCAATTCCTGTACTGATGCTGCCATTGGGTTCAGCTGGAACCTCCATAATGGTAACCACATAACTCTTCAGACCATACAGTTGTGACCCTGGGCACAGCTGATGAGGTAGGTTTTCAGATGGCATTTAAAGATAGATAAATAATAAAAATAATCCTTGCATTTAATATAGTGCCAGAGTAAAGTCCAAAAGCAGTAATGAACAGTAATAGAATAACGCTTGCATTTGACATAGCACCTTATCATGTTGTTGAGACATCTCATAAAGTGATTCACAGGATATAACAACAACGAATTGCATTTCCATAGCGCCTTTCAGTTGGGAGGATGCCCCAACAAGCTGGAAATACTGTAAATTGATTGGACTGTGCATTCTGTGGGCGATTGCTGCAGCCAATTACGATTTTTTTAGATGGAGGGGTTGGGGGGGGAGATGGAGGGATAGAAGACGGGAGTTCCAGCAAATGGAGGTGTAGTTTCTGAAGTATCGGCCATCATGGTGGGATGGAGCAGTGAGGGATGTACAGCAAGCCCAAGTTTCCACACAGAGTGAAAAAATGGGATTAGAAAAGATCAATGATACAGAGAGGTGCTAGGGCATGCAGGAATTTCTGGATGAGTGTGAAGATCTTGAAATTGAGCCTTTGGGAAATGGGTAATCAGTGGAGCCTTGCAAGGACTGGGATCAGGAGCATACACAGCTTGGTGTGGGTGAGGATGGTAGAAAAAGATTGTTCAGTTTCCCCAACAAATGGGGCTTTGACGCACAGGGTTGCAGACATGTCTGCATCTCTAGCTATCATTGGTGAACTATCAGTGTTGCCTTGGATTACTGCAGGTCTGTTTTCTTGGAGCCAGAGTGATTCTCAGAGAGACTGTATCCTACCTTCTTCCAACAACAAGATTTCATTTATAGAGTGCCTTTCACATCGGGAGGACGTCCCAAGGCGCTGGAAAGTTGGGTGAGGACCCGAGCAGGGGGGAAATAGTCAGGGTGAGGGGAGGGAAGGGAGCGAGCGAGGAGGGGGTAGAGATCAAGAGGGGAGCTGAAGGCATGGTCAAAGAGGAAGGTCTTGAGACCGGCCTTGAAGGAGGAAAGGGAGGAAGCAAGGCGAAGGCCTGGGGGATGGAGTTCCAGAGCTTCCCTCTCTGAAATGAGGAGCTTTAGGACAAATTGTGTTGATTTTTGCAACTTCAAAACACTGAGTCTGCCCACTGGGATTCAAACCCAGGTCCTCGATTTTCAATTCAACCAAAATTTCTGGACTGGGGATGCACTGCAATTGTCAAGTTCTCAGGTTATTTTGTGCCCTGCAGGTTGATCCACTGAAGAAGCCAAGTAAGAACGTGGTGTTGTACCAAATGCTGGTTGAGCTGCTGAAAACTCAAGCCAAATCCATGCAAAGCGTCCGAGACTCTGAGCATGAGGTACAACTGAAGTGTGTGTTTATTTCAATTTTGACAAGAAGCTTTGAGATTCCAGATTATCCTGTAAACATCTACTTAGAAGCAGTTTTCTGCATAGAATGAGGATCTTTGGCGTACTGTGGCTGCCTGTTTTTCCAAATCATCTTTGAATTATTAATCCCACTTTTCATCTCTTTATTTGTTATCCTTAATGATTTTGATAGCCTGTATTTGCTTACGTGACTTCAGTCATTGCACTTCAAACCATAGGTATGTGAGAAGAGGAAAGTCTTCAGATGCAATCTGAAAATGGTTAAAGAGGGGCAAGGGAGTTGGGATTGAGGCAGAGAGTGCCAGAGATTTGGGGTATCCTGCTGAAAGCACGGCTACTGATGGAGCAGAGGGGTCAGAGATGCACAAAAGGCCGTAGCAAATGGGCGGGTACAGAAGTGGGGTATGAGCAGGCTGGGGAGGTCGGGAGGTGCTAGGGAGTGAAGTGATTTGTAGATGTTGAGGATCGTAAAATTGGTCGATTCTGTGGCAAGCAGCCAATGGAGCCTGGCAAGGACAGGGAGGTGGGGGGTTTGTTATGGGTGAGGAAACAAATGGAGGAGTTCTAAATTAATTGACATGGTGAATGGTGGAGCTGAGGAGAACCAGCTAGGTGACCCTATAACCCAGTGACCTCTCTTTTTCCCTCGCCAACCCACTGCACTAGTGTGCCTTGTCACTTCGCAAGCTACATGGTAACTCATCGCTCATTGTCACGACCTAACAGTTGTGATGAATGAATGATGAATTCAACCACTATGCCCCAAATCTCTGGAACATCAATCCTTACTTCAATCTTTGTCTTGCTCCCGCTTTGCCTGTCTCTAAATTACACCTGAAGACTTTCCTTTTCGACTGTGCCTTCCGTAACCTCTCCTACCTTTCCAGCTTGGTGTCAAACCCACACGGCTGTTGAGCATTCCGAGACCCTATTCGCAGGAAAGGCGCTGTATAAGTTGTTGTTGTGGTTCCACCTCAAATTCAGACTTGATTGTTCTAATTATTTTTTAAGGTCCGTCACATTCTCCATGAGAGAATAATGGAGGACGAGGCAAATGAACTGACCATCTCAGTCTATGACACAGAGAGAAATGAAAAAGCTAAGAAACACAGGGAAGAAGAGGTGAGCCATTGTAAATTTCTGCTACCTGCTCTTTCATACAGCTGGAACTCCAAATATCTCCAAATATTCCTAGCTGAACACATACCCTGAAAGCTATACTGTTACTATTATAAATTGATAATTGAAGTGGTACCAAGGAGTAACAACATGCTGATCTGATGCTGTTTCTGCAGTTTCTGTCTTCTTGTGTAGGCCTTCATGACATCCTCCTGACATGAAAGTTGACGTAAAACAAATGTAAAAGAATGAATTTGTTGTTGTAGGCGCGGTTTGAGGCAGACCAACGGAGACGGCGAGCAGAGCTGGAGCTTGATTACTTGGCGCCCTTCCTCGCCAGGATTGGAGAACCTGAAACACTTACGAAACAGGAAACCCTTAAGCTACGGGAGGACTGCCTGTCAGACATGAAACAAAGGCTGATTGACAAGGCCAACCTGATCCAGGGCCGCTTTGAGAAGGTATAGAGTCACCTGGCTGAATGTTAGCTCGGGAACATAATAAATGAGATAGATAATAATTATAATAAAAGATAATAGAGGAATGAAGTATCTGAGCATGGGGTGAAGTGAAGCTATCTATTAAAAACAAATTATTCCCATTTGAGTATCCTAAGATGAGTAGAGGAGCAAAGAGATCTGGGGATTCAGATCCACAAATCTCTAAAAATTAATAGTAATAATAATAATCCTTGCATTTGTTATAGTGCATTACCACGCAGTTGAGACGTCTCAAACACTTTGCAGAATATATTATAAAGTGAATTGACTGTGTAACTTGTGGGCAAAACGCAATAAAATAAAAATGAAATAGCCACACAGGTAGATAAAGTCATTAAAAAGGGCAATGGGGTTTTGGGCTTTATATGCAGAGGGAGAGCATATAAATGTGAGGAGGGAATGTAGAATTTATGTAGAATCTTGGTTAGACCCCATTTGGCTACTGTGTCCAATTCTTGGGGCATCTGTAACCAGGGGACACAAGTGTAAGACAGTGACTAAGAGGGTCTAGAAGAGAATTTAAGAGGAACATCTTCATAGTGAGAAAGGGTGAAGCTCATTCCTTGGATTGGGTGAAGCTTGTACCAGAACATTAAAAATCAGATAGAAAAGGCCTATTTGGCCTTTGAAAATGTGTCCCCCACAATGGCTCTTTACTGTTTTATTGTCTCTGTTTTAGGAGGCTCTAGACTTGCAGAATAAGCAGCAATGGTACCAGCAAAACCAGATTTCGATGACAAAAGAAGATGAAGAGTCCTACCTGATGTACTGCTCCCAGGCCATGTTCCGCATCCATATCCTCGAACTGCGTCTTAACAGGTAACACCTCTCGCTTTTTCTTTGCTCTCTGGAGATTTGCTGTTATCACTCATATTTTCTCTTCCACTGGTCCCATTATCAAGTCACCATTATATCTGTGTGAACCTTGACAATGGATGTCAACCAAAGGGGTTATTATAGAACCCGATCCTGTCCATACATAAGCACTTTCCAGCAGACGGGCTCCAGGTTCTGATTAGAAATCCGGGTGCTATGGTCAATCGTCATGACCAATGCCAGCCTGGCTGAGATCAGCTAACTCGGTATTAATGGGGACATCGATCTAACGGGGACATCGATCTGGGGCAGCCTTTCTGATTCAGCTGCTAACTGAATAAAATTGCTGAGGCAATAGGGGGGGAAGATAAAATGATTACATTTATATGTTGCACTTTTATGTATTATAATTATACATCACTGAACATATGAAATTTAACATTTGCTGTACATCCCCAGCAAAAGATGACATCCCTCTCATTTTATAAAATCTGTTTTATGTAGCGCTGGGGGAGTAGGCCATTTTTTGGATGAATTATTAAGCCAAGGTCGCATCTGCACATTCAGGTGGACATTGAAGATCATGCAGCGCTATTCAAAAAGAGGGAGTTTCTCCCAGTGTTGTGGGCAATGATCCTACAGATAAAACATTTCTGTGATCCTTTATGAGACATTTTGATGTATCAAATGTAGGAATTATTGTCCTCGAAGTAGGGAGAGGAAGGAACACATACCTCTTACTTCTGAAGCATATTACAAGGTTTGATCCACAGTCAGTATTGCTAAATGAATAATATTTTAAAAGATGTCAACTCAATGCCCTGACTGTCTATAGACCTAATTTGTCAAAATGATGAAAATGATTAGGATGGCAGCTCTCCTGACCATTTGCATGAACTGGACCCAGACTGTCCCAAACTCATTGCAGTGGGCATAGAAAGGAGAACTTAATCTCCTCAGTTCTGTGCTGGGAACCAAAGTAACTGAAATGAAAGGCCGATGTCCAATCCATTTGAAAATCCAGTCCTGCCCCAAACTTCAAAAGTCGAAATAAGTCACATTTAAATAAGATTTAAATAAGATCATTTTTTATGTTATATTATCAATGGCTAAGTTTAAAAAAAAAACTCCTCTTGTACTGAGGTTTTATTCATCTCAAAGCATTGAGTTTGATACCATAACTCTGATGCATTTGACAGGCACAAGGAGAATGCTCCATTGATGTACTTAGCCCTGGAAGATAAGCTTCGCAGGGACGTGCGTTTGGCCAAACTATTAAGAAACTGTTGAACGAGTTCAGCCACACCTTAACTGCTTTACAGTTTTAGCAAAACTTTTCGACCTGATGAGTATACATTCAAAATGAATAACAAAACATTATTAATATGTAGATTGGAACAGTTTTGCAGCTTTGAATTTTGTATTTCTGTACACTGGAATTTCATAGCGTAAGTGTTGAATGTTAGCTGCAAACTTTGCATGAATGCTGTCCATATGTCAATTATTTCTTGTTCATTTCAACCTCCACATATTGCTGTCACCCAGACAAAAGTCAATACGCATGATATATTGGTGGACTGGCACAAAGAAATCCACACACATTTCCCCTGTGACTAAAGGAATGTCACCCAATGGCAACATTAGCAGGATTTGGGTTATTTTTCTTTCCTAAGCAAATCGCACAAATTCTAGATTTATTTTGTATTTATAAACATTCCTTTCCTATAAATTAGTGCCTTTGGTAGTTTACAGATCTGTTATTCCTGTAATAACCTTATAAAAATGTTTTGAGAGATTTACAGTGTTGTACATTTGTTTAGTCATCATGTTTTGGCCTCACAGCCACAATGACAGAGCCAAAGTATAACAGAGAAGTGAGGTAGGTCAGCAAGGCAGGAATACCTGAACTCAGCTGCAGCTTGGTCTCGTTCCCAAGGCCTCTCAAGTGAATATGTGGATTTAGAAGTGTTGAGTGAGTCTCAACTTGTAATATAATTTATAATAATCCGTGCACTCTCTCTACCAAGTCAGAAAGTCACTACACTTTAGTGTCCTGTGAAGCGCTTTGAGATGACCTCCTGACGTGAAAGGCGATGTCAGATGTATAGATTGTTATTAAAAAAAATGTGGTTACTCAATCCACGATGTCGCTGTGTGCAATTGGCTGCTGCATTTAGCCCACAAAACAGTCACTACACTTTACAGTATATTCTGTTAAGTGCTTTGAGATGTCTCAATGACATAAGGTGCTATATCAAATGTAAGAATTATTATTATAACCTGCATCTACAATAGTTACAGAAGGCTCTGAAGCACCAGGTTGGTATTGCCATTTATTTTCCAAATACAACGTGAATAAAACAAAATGGTGGGAGAAAGAGCTAATTAAGAGATTTGAATTAAAGATAGGAGTTACAAACATTATTATTCAATCATGGTGCAATATTACAGTGAATAGCCCATTTTATTTCTTCTTGGTGAAGATAATCAGAATCGAAGTACACAATTTTTCTCACCATGAAGAGTAAGAAGGTTATTTCTCCCATGTCCGGTCCACGTATTTACACCTTATATACAGTTTAAAGCATTTAGTTTAGTTCAGACTGCTCCACCTCCACGAGTTGCTTAGATTCTTCCACCAGCTGCCTCCATTCATCCAGCTCTTTCTGGAATAAGTCACTGTCTTGCATCATTTCCTCACTCTCTTCTTTCACCGTTTGCCACATCCTCCTCAGCTCCTATTTATACAAAGTAAAAAAAGATTCAGCATTTGCAGCAGTGACTCAGCCCTGAGGTGAAATACTGTTGTCCAATAAAAACAATCCTTGTGTTTTGTACAGCAGGTCAGGAGGGCATCAAAAGTGCTTCAGTGGTTTTACAGTATAGTGACTGTTTATTTTGTAGTGTATTTTAAGTGGGGTTTACATAACATGTAGGAGCAGGAATAGGCCCTTCGAGCCTACCCCACCATTCAATCATGGCTGATCTTCTAATCTAACTCCAGCTAATAACCTAACCCTGCTTTATCCCCATATCCCTTAATCCCTTTTGCAATAAGAAATCTATCTATCTCAGCCTTAAATATGTTCAAGGACTGAGGGTCAACAGTCCTTTGGGGGTAGTGAGTTCCATACATTCACCACCCTTGGAGTGAAGAAGTTCTTCCTCAACTTAGTGCGAAAGGGCTGACCTCTGATTTAAGGTTGTGACCCCTGGTTTTAGTTTCTCCAACCAGGGGAAACAATCTCCCACTATCATGCCCTTTGATGATCTTATAGGTTTCTCTAATATGATGCAATGCTTAGTGTAAAGGTATGTGTGGTTTGAATGCAGTATTATTAGTGTTCATGTGAGTGGGGTTTATAAAACAGTGTTATAAGTAGAGGTTATACAATGCACCCTGGTTACTGTAATGGTTCATAGAATGAAGTGTATGTATCATGTAGTGTTATTAGTGTACAGGCAAACAAAGCTTATATAATGCAAGGATACATGGGTTTATGTAATGTAATTAGCGTACAGATAAGTTGTGTTTAAATGATGCTCAGTTTATACCTATATTCATTAAACAAATATGAAAGATCAGATAACTGGAAAAGGCTTTGCAATGGGATCTTTAAAGTACTTTAATACAAACTCTCCTACCTGCAACTTCTCCCTCTTCTCAGCCATTTTCAACATTTTCAGTTCCTCTTGGAGATTTTCCACATGCACCTGAAGCAGATACAGATCAAGGTGGAGGGTAGAAACAGGTATTGGTGTATTTCCTGTGAAGCTTTCCTGAACTGGTTTCCAAGTCCATACCTCACAGAACAGAATGTCATAGCACAGAGAAAACCATTTCATACCATCAATCTGCAGACTTCTCCACAATAAACCACCTCATCTAATCTTACTTTCCTGTTCCCCCCACCTTTTCAGTTCCAGTGAAAAAAAAGTGAAACTTCAGGTCACTCTTCATAACTAAAAATCCTCATCCCTGGCATCCTGAACTGGAGTTTGTCACACAGAAAGAAAGCATCGTCTTACCATGGTCTCTCTTCGACATTTATCCTTCTGCTCTAAATTCTCAACGACTTTATTGGCTGAAACTAAAAGAAAACAAAACATACAAGTAAGCAGGAATGTTCAGCATTTGCACTTTTGTGACATTTCAAAACCAGATGCAGTCAATTACACAATGAGGTTGTCTTGGGCACCAAAGCTCAAGTCTTTTCAAAACAGTGAAAAACAGAGCACATCTGAGGTGGAGCCTCACCTTGTAGCCTCACCTACAAGGCCATTCATGGCCTTGCTCCCTCCTACCTCTCCGACCTACTATCCCCCTACTTACCTGCCCGTACCCTCCGTTCCTCTGGCTCCGGTCTGCTCCACATCCCCCGCCCCAACCGCCCTACCATCGGTGGTCGGGCCTTCAGCCTCTCAGCCCCGAGGCTCTGGAACTCTATCCCCCAGTGCCTTCGCCGCTTCCTTCCTTTCCTCCTTCAAGGCCAGTCTCAAGACCTTTCTCTTTGACCGTGCCTTCAGCTCCCCTCTCGACTCTCTACCCCCTCCTCGCTCCCTCCCTTCCCTCCCCTCACACTGACCATTTCCCCCTTGCTCGGGTCCTGACCCAACTGTACAGCGCCTTGGGACATACTCCCGACATGAAATGCGCTCAATAAATGGAATCTTGTTGTTGTTGTTAAGTATACAGGTGATGGAAATCCTTTCGTTTCCTGTCAGTCCCATCCTATCAATCCTATTCTACGCAAACTCTCTACTTGTCGGCCTCCGCAATGCCTACCTCCACAGGCTGCAGATCATCCAGAACTTTTCCTTTCCGGCACCAGGCTCTGCGCCCCTATCACACCCATCCTCACCCGGCTCCACTGGCTCCCCATCATTCTGAGGATACAGTTCAGGATCCTGGTCCTCACCTTCAAAGCCCTCCACTGCCTTGCTCTTGCCTACATCTGTGACCTCCTAACCCCCTACCAACCTGCCCACTCCCTCCACTCAGTGGGCTCCGGCTTGCTTCACCCCCACCACCTTGCCTGCCCCACCATTGGTGGGCAGGCCTTCAGCCTCTCTGCCCCCACCCTCTGGAACTCCATCCCAGTCCCCCTCTAAGATCCTCCTCTTCGACCATGGCTTCAGTCACCCTGCTACCCTAACCTCCCCCACTCCTGATCCCAACCACCAGCTTGGTTGCGGGTCCCTGACTGTCCAGCGCCTTGGGACGTCCTCCTGACAATAAAGGTGCTGTACAGATGTAATTTGTTGAATCTTGGGCACCAAGAACAATTGTGAGGCAGTTTGGGCGTGCTGCACCACCGTGGCACCCCCCCAATCTGTGCAGAGCCCCTGCACACCGACCACGACTGTGAATGGGGCATTTTCACCCACGTGTTAAACTGCCCCTCATCATTTTATAACCGTTATCAGGTCTCCTCTCAACCTCTATTCTGGGAAAAACAGCTCAATTCCTCCAGTCTCTCTTTGCAATTGACCCCCCCACATCCCTTGTATCATCTTAGTGAATCTGTATGGCTTTGACAACTAACCAATAGCGTGCTGCCCAAAACTGAACAAATCTCCACAACTGCAGCCTTTGGAGTCGGATTGTTTGGAGTCGGATTGCTTTTTTTAAAAAAGTGACACTTCCCGCAGCCCCCCCCCCCCCCCAAGTCATTGGCAGATTTCTTCACTTTAACAGGCAACAAAGTGATTACATTTATAAAGCACCTTTCATGTCAAGAGGATATTTCAAATTACTTACTAGGATCAATCAGGTTGCTCTCCAGTACAACCATGCAGAACTGCAGCTTCTTGCTCAGAACTTCCTTCTGACACTCCAGATCCTCAGCCTTACTCAGAAGCTTCTCTCTCTCATCCTGTGAATGACAAGGAGGGTTCACAAATAGATCAATGTATGTTAGGCATTGACATTCTCTGATTCTAGGAAAATCCACTACAAAAATTTCGATGATTCTATGATGACTCACTTTAGGCACATAGTTTGCAGAATGCAATTGCACGTAATAATTAATAGATCTAATATTTTGGATGAGACATTAAAGTGAGGCCCATCTGCCTGTTCTGGTGGATGTTATAGATCCCATAAGACAATTCAGGAAGAGAAGGGAGTTTCTCCAAGGCAAAGGTCCTCCAGATGTATTGGCCAATCACTCAGGCTGTTTGTTGGTCCATGCTATGCATAAAAAAGCTAAAGTCATTACACTCGTCAGTAATCCACGTACTTCCCCATCACACTCCAGCACCTCCCTATCTCCTACCACGTTCCATTGTTGCCCCCATCTGCTTGGTTAACGAGGGTGCGCTGCACCATCCCCCATCTTAACCTTAACCTCACAAACATCAGTGGTCAAGCTTTTCAATTCTACAATAATAATCCTTGCATTTGATATAGTGCCTTATCACAATGTTAAAACGTCTCAAGGAGTTTCACAGAATATATTGTAAAACAGATTGAATGTATTTTGTGGGCAACTTGAACCTCCTCATTCTCACTCTCTCTCTTTGTCATAAAATCTACCTCTTTGGCCATCTCCCCCCACTCAGAGTTCAACTGTGCCATTTTAAAGCACTGCCAAGTTGTAAAGCAGTGCAAGATGCATCGATGTGCAAATAATCCTTTTGTTTAATATATTGGTACAAATAATCTTTACTTTGACTTGCGGTCAACTTGGACGAGTTTTTTTTCATTACAAGCATGCAAAATACATTATACATAAGCTTATGCCAACTGAGCCAAGGAGTGGGCAAAGGAGTTGAATACATAAAGGTGAAGTAGGGAGGAACAGTCAATTTGTTGCAGTGATGTCCCACAAACAGCCATGAAATGAATGACCAATTTTAGCTGGGGAATTGTTCAACTTGACACCTTTTCTTTTCCAAGTGTCATAACATTCACTTGAACAGACAGAACCTCGGTTTACCCAACTTAGAATAAAGCTCACTTCTTTTTCCATCAAACTCTGCTGCAGTTGATGCTGGGCCACTTCTAGGAGCTGCACCTGATCTCTCAGCTCTGCTTCAGCTACTTTCAGTGCCCTGTAACTACAGAAAACAACAGATTTCAATCTTTGTACTTACTGCAGGAAAAAGGCAACTATCAGATTTATTTAATACAGTAGAAAGCCTGATATCCACATTAACTAGGAACAACCCAAAGCTATTGTGGATAACCGCGCATTCTTCTGACTTTGATTGTCTCACCAACCTGGATGAGATCTCTCCCACCTTGCAATTTTGCAGTCGTGCTCTTGGATAAATCATGCATCTGGTAACATCACACCCATGCATGCAATAAAAATTTGCAGTCATGTCAGTGATTCGTGTAAACTGCACATCAATAGCTGAAGACTTACTGTTCCATATTAGCACGGGTCATCCTGGAACCAGCATACATTTTCAACCTAAAAAAGGAGACAGTTATTGACATATTTGAAATATTAATCTATTTGCAAAATATATTTCACCATCATCTGCCTCCCCATGCCCATTGCTGGAAGATACAGGTCCATGTATAAAGAGGGGTTCAGCTACACGATCAAACAGCCAATACTCAGCACTTTGTCTGAAACAAAATAGCTGAGTTATTGGGACAACGGTCAACATCTGAAACTGTTCCCTAACACGATTCAACATGGAGGGAAAATGATTTCCACTGGCGGGTGGGTCGGTGACCTGAGGACACAGCTTTAAAATAGTTGTTAAAAAAAAACAGAGGGGAGGTGAGGAAATAATTTTTCACAACGAGTTGTTCGGATCTGGACTGCATTGCCAGAAAGGGTGGTGGAAGCCGATTTTATAACAACTTTTAAGAGAGAAGTAGATCATTATTTGGAGAGGGCAAGTTTGCAGGGCTGTGGGGAGAGAGCGGGGGAGTGGGACTGAATTGGATAGCTCTTTTCAAAGAGCTGGTACAGACACGATGGGTCGAATGGCCTCCTTCTGTGCTGTATAATTCTATGAGAGGAAAAGAAAAACCTTTTGTGATTAGAAATATCAACTCAAGACTGGTAAGCAAGAGTATCCGGGTTCGATTCCCGGGTGGGGCGAAACACTGGGCAAGTTTCCTTACTCCACACGCCTATTTCCCTAGCAGTAAGTAGGAACCCGGTTGTTAGTCGATTGGCGGATAGCTATCCGGGGGTAATAATCCCTTCCGAAAAATAAAATTGGTTACTCAATCCAAGACCGTGGGACACTGCTGTGCACAATTGGCAGCCGGGTTTAGCCCAAAAGATATAGTCAATTCCCTTTCCTTTTTTATATTCTATGAAGCGCTTTGAAATGTTCCGAAGACGTGATAGGCGCTACATCAAAATGCAAGGATTATTATTGAGTAACCAGAAAATGTCACATGTATAAATTTGAGAATTGGTTGTCAGCACAGCAGCCGCGGGAAAATACTGAAAAAAGTTGTTTAAAAAATAGATCTGATGGAGTGGACACAGATAAACGAGCATAAATCTCTTGGAGGCTAACAACAATGGAGTCCTGTAGCTCAGTAGTTAGAGCACTCGCCTTGCAAGTGAGAGACCTGAGTTCAATTCCAGGCAGAGGGCGAAACCTTGGGCAAGTTTCCTTACTCCACACGCCTAATAATAATCCCTCCAAAAACCAAAACAATAATAAATTGGTCATTTTCAATCTACGACTGTTTGTGGGACATTGCTGTGCGCAATTGGCTGCCGCGTTCGCCCACAAATATACAGTCAATTCACTTTACAGTGTGTTCTGTGAAGCGCTTTGGGACGTCCTCCCGACGTGAAAAGCGCTATATCAAATGCAAGGATTATTATTATTATTAATGTGAAGTGGACATAGAAAGCACAGCTGATATCAGAGGTTTAAAGAGGTAAGAGAATTCAGGTGCACATGGAGCTGAGTCAGTTATAAACAGACAAACAAACATCATTGCTCAATACTCAGCATCACTAATAGATCGCCACTATACTGACTTCTTGTAATCGTTGGGGGAGAAAGAGAAAAGTATCTGGGTGTACAGAAAAAAAGCATCATCGCTAGGAAGAGAAAGTGAACCAGGGGTACAGGGAAGCTTAAGAGTGGAACAGCAGCATTAATTCCCCCACCCCCTCTCCATTCACTGGTTTGTATTAATCAGATGGACAATCTGAATATTGAGGTATGATTAGTGTAGATGTCACCTTTTATTTTGAACAAGGCTCTGTTGCGTTGAAGATGCTTCAAAAGGCTTCTGTGAAAAATTAAATGTCTGTGGCAAATCCTTATTGAATTCGGGCACTACTGGGTTCGCAGGATGATTTTTGTTTGTCAAAGATCCCAGGGTCCGGCTTTCTGTTGAAAAGGAGATATTACCAACAATAGATTTGTTAATTAGGAATTTAAGAAAATATTATGTGTTAGAATTCTGACAAAAAAAAGCTCTGCTTGCAAGTCAGATATAGGCAGGAAAAAAGACAGAACAAATTACATTTGTATAGCACCTTTCACATCGGGACAACATCCCAAGGTGCTGGACAGTTAGGGATTTGGATAGAGCTGGGGTTGGGATCAGGAGGGGTAGAAGGCAGGGTAGGAGGGTGACGGTTGCAGAGGAGGGTCTTAAGACAGACCTTGAAGGAAGCAAGGCAGGAAATGAGGCGAAGGGACTGCGGGATGGAGTTCCAAAAAGTGGAGGCAGAGAGGCTGAAGGCCCCACCCGTCCCCAAATCTCACAAACATTAGGAAGTAAACCAAAGGCAACCTAGTATGAATTAGGTTAATGTCTTGGATGAAGAAGTTTAGCTAATGAGAGGTTATGAAAACTTTATATTAGAGTATATATTTGGTTACTTCCCCAAAGAGGTTAAGGAATGATCTGAATTGAAATGTTTAAGGGAGCTTAGCTAGATAAGCAGCAATTCTTTACTCCAAAGTGTCAAAAGAAGGGGACGTAGATTTATAATCAGCATTTAACTAGTTTGAAGAGAAAATATTTCTTCACACAGTGGCAATGAGATTGTGGAAGGAACTGCTCCAGAAGGCTGTAAATGCATAATTGATTGCGGATAGCAACAGATAAATACTGGGGAATAAAGTGTGTGAAAGATACGGTGAAAGGCAGAGAAATAGGATCAATAGATCTGCCAGAATCTAATAAAACAGTGGAACAGCCCCAAAGGCCTCCTCCAAATCCTAAATTATCAAATTATAGAAATGTTAGAAACTGCTTATAATTATAATTCTCCTAGTTTAAATTATCCAGAATTCTGAACAACCCCTCCAAGTTTCTATTATATCGGTACCTCACACTTTGAATTCCTACTTGCATGTGAGTTTACCTTGTCTAGGTATCTTGGCCTCCTGGGGCGGTACAGCAGCACTCGCGTCCCTCGGTTGTTTTGTGGGTAATCTGGATTTCTGCATCTCTCCAGCCAGATACAGCGCTATACAAATACAACATGGTGAAATATGAGGGGGCATGTCAACTGATATACACTCATACAACATTACTTCTTTCAACCTCAGCTGTTGTGCTTTAGCAGGCTGGCCTTCACCTTAACCTCACTTTGTGTTCAACCCCCAGGTGTAGTCTTTTGATTAAACTGACCTCTCATATGTCTGTTAAAGACTTCAGGTGCTCACTAACGATCCGGTGATACCTTGAAAGTTTGTTATCCCAGTGTCCTGGCCATTCACCTAATGTTTGTGGAAGCTTGCTTGCTTCCACAAAATGGTTGCCACATTTCCATACAATTGCACTTGACAGTAATTATTGTACACGATTTAAAGATGCATTTCAATAGGATAAATTGGTTTGAAATGCAAGTGCTGTACTCGTACCCATTATGCTTTGAATGTCAGTTACTACTTGACCGTGGAGGTGGGAGGAACAGTGTCAGAGCGGAATTCAACCCATCCCCACTCCAGGAGACACCGGAAGAGTAATCTGGAGCACTGCAATCTCAACACCAACTAAATACTGTACAGCATTACAGTGTATATAATACGTAGCCGGTGTCACGCAATGTGCATTGACCCAAGACAACATGCAACCCCATAAAGAGCCATAAAAAAAGCACCCGAGAATCACGGCAATTACCTACCCTATTAAAAACACGGCCCGGAAATACAGTTTACTGCGGTTTACAGAAAAAGTCCGTGAAGCGGGTCTGAGACAAAATTAATTCCTTCAACACGATAACACGTTGGGTCACTCAATCCCAGGACTGTGACCGTTTGCGGGACAGCGGCGGCGGCGGCCGCTGCTGCTTCGCCCACAAAATATTACAGTCGATTCACTTCACAGTGAATTGACAGTGCATTCTGTGAAGCGCTTTGAGACGTCTCGAAGACGCGACGAGGCGCTACATCAAATGCAAAGATTATTGTGATGATGATGATGGCGGCGGCGGTGGTGATGGTGATGATGATGAGAAAGCACCGATAATCGAATGCAAGGAATCAACGAGGCGATCGATGGCTGTGGGTGGAAAGGAACTCACGGCGTTTATGAACACAACAATCGCAGGTCTGTGCCTTACCTGATTTTCGAGAGATATATATATATATATAGAGAGAGAGAGAGAGAAGATAAGGTCAGTTGCGGGGGCTCGGGGGCAGTTTGACTGTGCGGCCGACGGGTTGCCCTGTAATGGCGGCTCCGCGCAGTTTGAATCTGGCGGCTCCCGCGCGCCCGCCCGCGCGTGACATCACTGGACGGCCAAACAACCCCGCGCGCGAGAGGCCGCTTTCACAACCGTTTCTTTCTCCTCGCTTTTTTTTTTCCTTTCCCCCCCCCCCCCCCCGGTAATTCTCGTTTCTCCGCCTGGGGACTTCGAAGACCCCCGTTCGTCGGCCCGACATTATAATCGCTGTTTTTAATTTTTTTTAAGCCGCAAATGCGGAGGAGTGAGAGGAGGGAGTGAGGAGGGCGGCGGTTTGCCAGTGCGCGTGCGCGGTCGGCCGGCGTCAGAGTGACGGTTGGTGTTTGAATCGGCGGCGGCGGCGCGCGGAGAGCCGAGAGGAGACTGACAAACAGACATACAAACACATACAGCGGCGACACTGAGGAGGAGAGGGAGAGGGGAGAACAGCGGCGACACTGTGAGGAGAGGGGAGGAGAGGGGAGAACAGCGGCGGAGAGGGGTGTGAGGAGAGCCTGAGGTAACAGCCCTGTTCTCTTCCCCCCCCCCTCCTTTCCCGCTCCCTTGCTTTCCCCAGACCTCTCGCTGTCTGTATCTCTCTTGCAAATGTCTGCCCCCCCCCCCTCTCTCTCTCTCCCTCCCGCCCTTCGCCCCCTCACTCTCTCCCGCCCTTCGCCCCCCACTCTCTCCCGCCCTTCGCCCCCCACTCTCTCCCGCCCTTCGCCCCCCCCCCACTCTCTTCCTCTGGACTCCTGTGGCGTTAAGCTTTTTCTGCTCATTTCGGTACTCGCTGACAATTTTTTTAAAAAACAAACAAACCGTTGGCCGCGACGCCGTCTCGTTTTTACGTGGACTTGTCTTTTAAAAAACGTTTTGACGTGAAGTGACGTGTCTGGTGTAGTGACTGTGCAGCCGAAGGCAGCTGCCAGTGGCCCTGCGAGCAGCAAGGACATGAACGACGTCAACAACAACTTGCACGTAGACAGCGCCCTCCACGCAGGGTAGCGCCTCAGAGCGCTTAACAATGGCGGAGCCTGAGTCCTGGCCGTGTGGGGTGTGGGAGGTGGGGGTCACCACGGTCCAAGAGGAAAGTTTCAGACGGGACTTGAAAGAGGGGTGTGGGGGGGCGGGGGACAAGGCGGAGGGATCGAGGGAGAGAGTTCCAAATTTTTGGGGGTGCAACGGCTGAAAGCGCGACCTCCGATGGTGGGGCGGAGGTTGCGAGGGATGATCGGGAGGTCGACGGCCAATAAATTACATTTGTATAACGCCCTTCGCGTCGGGAGGATGTCGCAAGTTGCTGTGCAGTCAGGGCTTGGACCCGGGGTTTGGGGTCAGGAGGTGGGGGGGCGGGTGGAGTGCAGGCAGGGTAGGGAAGGGTGACCGAAGGCACGGCCGAAGAGGAGGGTCTTGAAGGAGGCAAGGGGACGGAGGAAGGCGAAGTGACTGTGGGATGGAGTTCCAAAGGGTGGGGTCAGAGAGGCAGAAGGCCTGACTGCCGATGGAGTGGCGGACCAGGGACATGGAGGGTTGTACAGGTCTGTGTGGAGTTGACAGGTTACAGACGGGTAGGGGGGGAATATGGGGAGCCAATGGAGCTGAGTGATGATGGGTGTGATAGGTTCACTGAGCTTGTTGGGAGAGGACACAAGCTGCAGAGTTCTGAATGATCTGCAGCTTGTGGAGAGAACAATTAAAAGGACTGACAAGAAGGCAGTTAGCGTAGGCGAGCCTGGATGTAATGAATGTATGGATAAGGGTTTTGCCGGCCCCAAGGGGAGAGGCTGTTGCGGAGATGGGGGAAGGCAGACTGGGTCATGAAATGGATGTTGGGTTTAAAGGTCAGTAGAGGGTCAAACAAACCCAAGGTTCTGTGCTGGCTCAATGAGGTGTAGAGAGTATCCATGGATGAGAGGCTGTCAGCACCCAAGGTGTGGAGATGCTGACGGGAGACGAACAGGAGGTTCTTGTTGACATTCAACTGGAGAGTGTTAGCTCTCATCCAGGGCTTGCTTCTGACAGACACTGCCCAGACAGCAGTGGTCCTGGAACGAGGGTGGAGGCAGACAAAGTGGTGTCATTCGCATACGTGTAGGGGTTTATGCACTCCGGGACGCTACCTAGCATGAAGGGCGCTATATAAATGTAAGTTGTTGTTGAGTTGGCCCCATGTCAACAGCAACAACTTGCATTTATATAACTCCCTCCACGCCGGATGGTGTCTCAGAACGCTTCACAGTAACGGATCCCGGGGCCGAGCCCGGGGGAGGAAGGTGAGCAAAGGCGCGGTCAAAAAGAAAGAAAGCGGAGACCTGAAAATAGGAAGATAGGGGGTGAGGTGAAGAGATTTCCAGAGCCTCGAGGCATAGTGGCTGAAGGCATGGCCGACGAGGGTGGAGTCTCCGGGGACAAGGAGGAGGCCACACCTGTCTAGGGATGATGTCCTCAAAGGCAGCATGTAGATATTGAAGAGGGGAGGACCAAGGACCGAGCCCTGAGGAACACTGCAGGAGATGTTGCGTCAGGCTCCATTGCTGTTATGCCCACCAAGTGCTATCCTATGTGAAGGGACTATATAAATAAATGCAAGTTGTTGTTCTTGCTTTTGTTAATAAATTATTAAAAATGGGAGGGAGTTTCTCTTGGTGTCCTGGCCAACAATCTAGATCCTTATAGTCATTCATGTCATGGCTGTTTGTGGATGTTCCTGTGTGCAAATTGTCTACTACGTTTGTCTACGAAATACAGTTGTTATTTAACAGTAAATCCTGGGCAGTGCTCTGAGACTTCAATTATGTGGTAACATGCTTTAAGTGCAAGGACTACTGTTATAGTGTTGTAGTGGTGCGGATCCCTGACTGTCCAGGGCCTTGGGATGCCCTCCTGATGTGAAAGGCGTTATACAAATGTCATTTGTTGTTGTTGTAGAATCTTTAACTCCCAACTAAGCACATGAGACCTCAGTTTAAAGTTTCATGTGAAAGACAGAAATTTTAATGATGTGCATTTTGATGTAGAAATAGGAAGTCTTGCGCTCCAAGATGCCATCTGGCTTAAAGAGCACTATATAAATGCAATTTGCTGTTGTATCTTGCATTTGATATAGCAACTTATCACGTTTTTGAGACGTTTCAAAGCGCTTCACAGAATTTACTGCAAAGTGAATTGACTTTTTTTTGGGTGAAACGCTATGGAAATGGAGGTAATGCAAAGATTAAAATATACTCAATTTATTTCACAGTATATTTCTGTAAAGCACTTTGAGACGTCTCAATGACGTGATAAGGCACTATACCAAATGCAAGGATTATTATTTTTAGAATGTTTGAAGAGATTGTGTTATAGATGCGCTTGGCCTGAGGAAGAAAGTTTAGATTTGCATGATGGAGATGTATGAATATTCTATAGTTTGGGAATTAATAATGTCTGTTGTACTTGGTATACCGCCTTTCACATTAGGAGGACATCTCAGAGCACTTGACTTACTTTACTGTGAAGTGTAAATATCCATGCAGAACTATATATAGATGGAATCAAGTACATATATTTCTGTGTAGTCCAGAGGGATGGACCTTTTTGGTTTCTGTGGTTGTATATGCTCTAAACGTGAGTGTTTACCTGGGATTATGTTGGTCATCAAGAATATCTCCAACATCCTGCAGAAACTTACCTGAGGTTCTGGTGGCAAGCTTTAGATAAACCATGTTTTTGTCCCCTAATGTACCTTATTTTTGTTTCTTTGCAGTTTTTTTGTTGTGGTGGAACCATGAATGAAAACACTGTAACTTCAGATGAAAAGTAAGTACCTTTTGACAAAATACAAGGATTATCAATAAGCATCTGTGTAAACTCAAAGGCCCGATGTAGGCTTCAACCCTCATCTATTCGCTCAAAGGAAAGAGTGTTACCAACAGCCAGGCTGACATGATTCATGAGCTCAAACTCCGAGGTCCCTGCTCATATCCTGTGGGAGAACGGCCCACAGGATATTCTGTAAAGTGCGGTGACTGTTTTGTAGGTGGACGCAGTTGCCAATGTGCGCACAGCCGTGGAGCGAGCGTCTAATTTTCTTATTTTAAGAATTGTTAGCCAGGTTAACTGGAGAAACGCCCTTTTCTTGTTGAATAATGCTAGGGGATCTTTAACGTCCACCTGAACAAGCAGATAGGCCTTAGTCTAACCTCTCATTTGAAGTATATGTCCAGCAATGCAGCACATGCCCACCACTGTGTTGGAGGGTCACCTTAGACTGTATGAGTTCCTAGTCCTGATGTGGGCCTGGAACCCACAACCTTCTGTCTCAGAGGTGAGAGTGCCACCAACTGGAGATTGTTGTGTCTGAGTCCATCTTTCGTTTTCACTCTGCATTAAGCATGTTGGTTATGATGCACTATTGGCAAAACTATATGCATTTTGACGCATTAACTTATGATATTCAGTATTATTACACAGACTACACAAATGTGGTTAAATATGTTTACTGCCAATTTTCTCTCCGTTTCCTCTCTTGACAGAAAAAAAGGGAAACGATTGTTTCTGTCTTGAAGGGGTATAACTTTTTTCACGGTTTTGTGAAAGCGGTGGGGAGAGGGGGAGATGCCCTCATTTGAATGACACTTTATGTATGAATATTGAGCCTTTACTGTGCGTATTGGCAATTATTCAACCACAGCTGACGCTAAACCCATCCTCATTTGACATCCCAAACGTGGATATTAATTGATTGATACAACTATTTTAACTAAGTATGGTGAGCAGACTTCATTGGAACCCAGACTAAACCATTTTTTTTCTGTTCTTTTCAGTGCTGATATCAATGAAGAAAAATGCAAGAGAAGACAGTCGGGTGTAAGTCTTATTCTTTTTAAATTCTTTCCTTTTTCTTACACAGGCTAACCAGCCACTTGCCACCAGACTTACAGACAGAATAGTGGGGAGTACACTGGGAAAAAAAACCTGGCTGTACTACTTTTTTCAAAAACGTGCAATCTTTTTATAAAGTTTATAAATATATTGATATAAAGTAAAAATTGTAAAGCTACTTTTAGAGAACTATTCTAGAAAACGAGAAAGTACGAAAAATTTCAATTGCTCCAGCTGAGATTAAAAATCAATGAAACCTGAATATTGATTTCCAGCAGCAATTTGAAATGAAATGATTATAATTGCTGATTATAAGTGAATAAAACACATTTATCACACTGTAATAATTCCTATATTTGATATAGCGCCTTATCATGTCAAGTGACCCATTCTTTAATCAGCAGCAAGAGTCCTACTTAACCAATTGCTGATGAACCTGCAGCGTACCCCAAGGCTCCATCCTTGGCCCCCTTTTCCCTATTTAAAGGCTACCTCTCGTCGATGTCATCTGCAGACAAAAGGTCGAGCAGATGACGCCCGAATCTACTTCTGCTAGATCACATTGCCAGCCTTTGACTGTATCTCATGCCCCTGAAACCTTCATCCACAGTTTCGTCACCTCCCGCCTCGATTATTCCAATTCTCTTGTTGGCCTCTCCAGCTCTACTATCTACCAAATTTAATTAATTTGAAACTCTGCTGCCCATATACTCACCTGCACAAACCCCAATCACTTTCCAGGCCTTTCGGAGCATGCCTGAAGACCATCCTTTTCGACTGCCTATGGTCATATCCCCCCCTCCTCCTAGCTCGGCGTCAGACTTAATCATTGTTAAGTGCTCCGGTATATTACCCCTGCCCAAAGGATACTATATAAATTGAAGTTGTTGTAGCCAAGGCACCTGGAGAACAACAACTTGCATTTATATAGTGCTCTTCACCCAGGTATCGTCATGGAGCGCTTAACAAGCAGAGGTGAGCTGTAAAATGAAAGGTGGGTGGGGGAGGTGACTGAAAGCATGGTGGAAGAGGAAAGTCTTCAGATGTGGTTTGAAGATGGACAGAGAGGGGGCAAGGCAGAGAGATTGAGGAAAAGAGTTTCTAATATTTGGGGTATAGTGGCTGAAAGCACGGCTGCCATTTGTGGAGCGGAGGGGATATGAAGCAGACTAGTACCAGCTCAGTGAAGGCGGTGAGTAGAGGAGTGGGAAATGAGCAGATCAGAGAGGTAGGGAGATGCCAGGGCATGGAGACGATCTCTGAGAGTTAACCAGCTAGCCAGAGTGACATCTGGAAAACTTCTTACTTGATTTGTGCTTATAATCTATGAACTGTTGAAAATCATTCTTTTTTTTAAAAGATTTTGAAAGCATACAGAAGCCCCCTGAGAACTTTGAACGAAACAGATATCACTCAACGGGTAATGCAATTTGTTTTTCATATGTGCAATATTTTAGTTAAAGAAATTACAGCTATCTTCCCAAAAGGAAAAAGCTGAAACATGTCTGGAGCACATTTGTTGATGAACAATCTCTTTTTGGGTAGGAGAGAGTTGGACAGAATGAGCTGTATATACACAGCCTTAATTAAGTATGTGAATAAAGTTGCAGATTGACAGTGCATGACATTGGGGATCACAAAGTGTATATTGATGTTGTTTTGCAAATGAACCAACTGCTAAGTTTCCTTCTGCTTATCAAGCTGAGATTTTCTTTCTAATGTCTTAGAATGAGTCGTTGCTTCCCAGCTTCACTCTTTCCTTTCCTGTGACTCCTTGTATATATACCTCTCCAATCTGATTTTGGTGCTGTGCATAGTACAGAGGTAGGTCATTCTGCCCATTTGTGGTCAGGGCTCTCTATAGATCTCTGCACTGCCTTTGACACTTCGACCACTCTATTCTCTGCTGCCTCTCCTCAGATCCATGGTTCTGTCCTTGCTTGGTTTCATTCTTACCTTTCCCATTGTCTCCAATTTAGTCGATTTTCAATGGGTGTATAAAACAAAATTAATCGCATGATCTGTAATGTGCTTACTTTTCCTTTTGTTCCTCTTTGAGATTGAACTACCAGTGAAACCTCGCAAGAGTTTACGGAGAGTCAGCTTTGCAAACACCGAAGAAGTCAAGTAAGTGATGGAAACTGATATGCCTTGTGTGCACCACCTACTGGAGCTCAGTAGTTCTGAGACTCCAGATAAAACGACTTCAATGCTGTTTTGGGAACAATGCTACGTGCAAATTGGCTGCAGCATTCATCTACAAATACACTACCACTGCACTTCACAGTGAAGTCCTTTGAGATGTAAATGACATAAGGTGTTATAAATGTAATTTTGTTGTTTTTCTATCATATGTCCAGAAGGATTATTATTCCTGTATAAAATAAGCTTTTCTTCCGACATCTTTCCTTCCCCCACCTATCGAGCTATCTGCAATATACAATACCATCCTGTTATTTTTTGGGATCAGCCAGACCTGGTCCAGGATATAACGTTGTTGGAGATGATGATTGCTGTACTTATAATGACATTCCACAAAACATAGGACCTGCATATCCGCATTTCCACTTATTTAGTGGAGTCGCGCTACTGGTTTTATATAAAAAATTCCGTGCATGCACTGTTTAATGTACTTGTACTTGTGCAGCTAAATGCTTCAGGCCCACCGGAACTTGCTCATTCCTCCTTTCTCTCACTTCTCTTGCCCCCACCTCTTTCCCCATCATCCCATCCCGAGACTCTCTATTGCTGCCTCCTTGAGTTGTGTACTCTCTTCATTTGAGATTTATTTGCATCCCTAGTAATCTTGTGATATGCACACAACTGGAATTTTTTTTTGCAGCCCCATATTCATTTCTATATTCAAATAAATACACATGCAAATAAGAAGTGTTCTGCTGTATTCATAACTGATTGCAAATCTCTATCATGTTATGTTTTTACTTTTTCATAATTTTTCTTTCCAGGGAGTTTGTGACTGAAAAAATGCTTATCAAAATGCAAGATCTTCAACATGGTAACTATAAAATCAAATTTATATTGGTTGCCATGTGCAAATTGAAAAAAATGTCCCAATTAGCCTATGTTGACTTGTTGTATGTGGACTAATTCTTTGAAAAGGAAGCTCGTTGAGAAATTGCCTCCTAAACCTGAATATAGTGTTCTCTGTATGAAGATTTGAACAGAACTTTGACCTTCTCATCTGTATTATACAGTCTTGATGTAATTTTTTATTTTTAGGAGGAGATGTACCAACAGAACAATTGCAGGATTTGTTAATAAGGTAAATTATTATTTTAATCCATGTAGATTAGGCAATTTTAAGAGTTGCTTCATTGTGACAGTTCATCCATTCAGTTGGAAAGCATTGGGAAAAAATACCAGTACAAAGTAATCCCTTTCGAAGTCTGTTCTGCCCAGAAAATATTCTCAGAATTCCCTTTACTTTTTCAATTTCCTTTACTTTTCCTTATACAGCTATTGCTTTAAGGTATTAAGATCATCAGAGTGCTGTATTGAGCAACTGCAATGTTGATAATCGATCAGTTTGAGATTCTTGATTTGGAACCAAGGCAGGATTTTTAGGTTTACTGGCGACTAGGAATGTTTCCCTGCTCTGATTTTCCTGAAAATCTTCTATCGAGAAGATCCTATCTGCTTTCCATGAATAATAATAATAATAATCCTTGCATTTGATATAGCGCTTTTCACGTCAGGAAGATGTCCCAAAGCGCTTCACAGAACACACTGTAAAGTGAATTGACTGTATATTTGTGGGCGAACGCGGCAGCCAATTGCGCACAGCAATATCCTACAAACAGTCGTAGATTGAAAATGACCAGTTTATTATTTTATTTTTTTTGGAAGGATTATTATTAGGTGTGTGGAGTAAGGAAACTTGCCCAAGGTTTCGCCCTGCCTGGAATTGAACTCCGGTCTCTCACTTGCAAAGCGAGTGCTCTAATCACTGAGCTACAGGACTCCACATGAAACTCTTGAGATGACTGTTGATCAACATCTCCATGTAGTCCAATGAGATGCTAATTGATTCACATGTGATTGAAAATTTATTTTCTTTCTCCTACAGAAATGAGATGCCACTAAATACAGACAGTAGCATTCCTGGTGAGTGTAAGGAAATTTACTTTGAGTGATTCCTGTGTATGTTGTAATGAAACATTTGCTTGTTCCCACTCCTGATTGTTTGCAATGAGCTTGACAAAGGTCTGTGTATGTGGTTAGCAAGTGAGGACCATATAAGACCTGCTTGCGAGTTAACTTATGGGAAAATAGCATGTTTCAAAACCTGAACTTTAATTGGGATCTATCTCTGAGCATTGCTCAAAGAGGTCATGAGATGAAAGGTTATGCACTTTTATAACCTGTGAAGTATCTTTCTCCCTGAGTAATTTCTTAGTCCATCAAAAACATTTCAAGTAAAACCAATGTGCCAATTAAACATTTTTCACTTTGCATTCCTCTCCTTACACTTTGAGATCCACAGAAGGTTGAACATAATTTTGTTCACCATCTCAGAAGATTTAGGTCCTCCTAACATCAATGTAGTGGATGGCTGATGCTGTTCTTTCATCTGTTTTATTGCGTCCATCACTGCTCTCTACATCTTTCCGTGATCCCTTGGAAAACTGTCAAGTTAATCTGTTAGCAAACTTTGAGATGAGTTTGTATCTTGTGTTCTTTGCATAGTTGTTCAAACTTTGACATGTTGGGGAATGTGGATTCAATGGATTAGTTCTGTACACTTTTGGATAGTTTCTGAAGGATTGCATGGTAGGACAGGGAAGGTTCAAATGAATAATGGCCATATACAATATTACATTTCTAAAGCGCCTTTCATGTCGGGAGAATTTGCCAAGGCACTGAACTGTCAGGGATTAGAACCCAAGGGTGGTGGGGTGGGGGGTTGGGATCAAGGAGTGTTGAGAGCGGAGAGAAAAGGAGGTGGCCGAAGGCACTGTTGAAGGGAACGGTCTTGAGGCATGCTTTGAAGGAGGCAAGGGAGGGAACGAGGTAAAGGGAATGTAGGATGGAGTTCCAGGGGGTGGGGACAGAGAAGCTGAAGGCCTGATCGCCAGTGGTGCGGAGGGCCGGGTGGGGTATATGGAACAGGCCGGAGCCTGCTGAATGGAGGAAGCGGACAAGTTGATAAGGGGTTAGCAGGTAGGAGGGAGTAAGGCCGTGGATGGCCTTGAAGATGAGGATGAGAATTTTGAACTTGATCCTCTGAGGAATGGGAAGCCAGTGGAGCCGCAAGAGTGGGTATGATGGCGTCACTGAGCCTGGTGCGGGAGAAGACACGAGCTGCAGAATTCTGGATGATCTTCAGCTTGTGGAGGGAAGAGTTGGGAAGGTTGACAAACATAGTCGAGCCTGGATATAATTAAGGCATGTATGAAGGCATATTCTTTCTACCCAAAGGTATGGATGCATTGCTTCATGCGCCTATCCAAACCATTGACCAGGAATCTGAGGTAAGAAATTGTTAAACTTTGCTACAAGACAATCTAATATAGTTGTTGTGTGACTGCTTCTTCCTGTGAAAGTTTTAAAAAAAAAAAAAAAAAAAATTTATTCATGGGTGTTTTATAAGGATACTGACCCACTTGAGCACTCAGCATGGAAGTTTTTTTTATATACCCCTCTCAACCTACCCATGAACTCTCACCTTCATATTAATGACTGAATCCAATTTTTATCCTACAACTTATTTAGTATTTAAACTGATAACGAAGTATCAAGTTAAAAAAAAATTCCTTTTAAATTACAATTTAAGTGAAAACCTATTCAGTAGTTTAACTAGCGAGCTCTCAGCAAAAGATGGTTTTTTTTAATAACTTATTAAAGATTATTTGAGTTAATAATTTCATCCTGTGTATCTACTGGAGATATTTAGAGTAGAATTTGTAGTCATCATAATAATAATCCATGCATTTGATATAGCATGTTATTGAGATGTCTCAGAGTACTTCAAGATATTTTGCAAAGTGCATTAACTGTATTTTGTGGGCCAAACGCAGCAGCTAGTTGCGCACAACAATGTCCCACAATCAGCCATAGAGTGAATGATCAGTTTTGTTTAGGGGATTGTTGTCCAGGACACTGGGAGAAACTCCCTCTTTTCAAATAGTGCCATAGGATTTTGAGCGTATTACATGGCCAGAATGAAACATTTTGTTTACAATGAAGGACCAAAGGATTTTTAGCTCCACAATAATGTGTGTACCATGGAAATGCTTATGTCTCAAAATCTAGGTTGAAAAAAATTGTTTTGAGATGTTCTTCATAATCATCGGATGGTTAGGCAATGGGGTAAAGCTAAAGGTGATTCTACAGAATCTGTATCATCCCAACATTTTAAGGCTTGTTTTAAGTGAAGCAAATCTTTTAATGTGTGTTGCTCATTATCTTTTTGTTGAGTCACATCTTGTTTAAGACTCTCATGAATACTTCCAACACTCTTACCATGGAGTGATGAAATGTGGAGATTTGCCAATCATTCCAACAATTCGAGGACCAATTGTTACTATAAATCTTATAGAAATAACTGAATTTGTTTTGAGTTGTGAAAAGATTCTAAAACAAATTCTCCACTTTGTTTCTTGTTTAATGGTATTTGTGTCCTCTACATTCAAACAGTTACGTGAACAAGAAAGTCAAGTCCTCATTTCTAGTCTCGGAATCCGAAAAGACGATCTTGATATAGTTGGATGTTCCAAATCAAAAGTTACATCTGTGCTTCAGAGGAAAATTGATTTTCATTCTTTCTTGGCTGGATTGAATTCTGCAGAAGGAACATGTACTCCCATTTCACACGAAGAAAGGAAGCAGTGCAGAGATCAGGGCTTTGAACTAAAAGTTATTCCTGAAACTCAAAAGAAAGTTGATTTTAAGTCGTTCTTGGACAGCATAAAGAATAGCAAACCAGATGAAAAGGCAGTGACAATGTCCTCCATCTTTGAGCAGCAGGCATCTAACCTAAAGGGAATTGGTGTTTCATCAGTTTGTGGAATGGGTGAAAGCCTGGAGAGAACCAGTCACATTGTCAGTGGGGCACAAACCAACTCTACCCACTTTCTGAAACCAATGTTTTTACATGAACAAGATGATGTGGAGTTTACCAGGAGCCATACAGTTGCCGTTGACCATTTCACCTTGGAAAATGCTATGGCTACTCATTCAGTAGAGTATAGTAAAGCAAATAGACTGAATAGTGGTGGGGATGTCCTTACTAATTTTCCAAATAAAACTATGGTATTTTCTGGAGAGAAATGTATGGACATGACCAGAAGTAACACGTTACCTGTTAATGCCAAAGGTATAGCTCAAGTAACTGCTCAGGCTGAGCTAACATCTAAAGCGCCTCCAATAATTTACAGACACATGCCATCTTTGACTAGTGCTGAGCTGAGGAAATTCCCAGGTGATGGTGATGCTACTGATCAAATGAAAAGCTACATTGGAGTAACAGGTTGTAAAGCTGGACAGTTGGGCAGTTCATTTTTGTCGCCTTTAGTTGCCAACCCAGTCCCTAAATCAACATCTTTTTCATTCCCTCATGATCAGACCATGGTATATTCAGAAGCAAATGATATGGACATGACCAAAAGCCATACAGTTGTTATTGATGGCAAAAGCCTGGGACGAATAACAAATACACTGATATTTTCAGAACAATCAAATTGTATGGATTTAACCAAAAGCCACATGACTGCTATTGACAGTAAACACATTGGACAACTGACAAATAGTGCATCAAGTTCACAAAAATTGACCTCCAGGCCAAGTGGTCATTGGTCAAATGCGTCATTCTTTACCAGTGATAAAACTATAGTCTCTTCAGAAAAAGAAAATGACATGAACATGACCAAAAGCCATACAGTTGCCATTGAAAATAAAACCTTTGAGCAAGTAACAAATCACACTTTAGGTTCAACGGTAGTGAAATCTGGCCAAAATTGTCTTAGGTCCTTTCTGGAGTCCATTCATAATGATCGAGAAATCATCTTTTCAGAAGAACCTATGGATATAACTAAAAGCCATACGGTTGCTATTGATTGGAAGAGCCTTGGACAAACAAATGAGGTACTTGGTTCAACTAAAAGAACAACTAGACCGTGGTCCATTCTGCAATCCTGTCACAGTGATAAAACCATTGTCTTTTCAGAAGAAGAAAATGATATGGATATCACCAAAAGCCATACAATTGCTATTGCCAGTAAAACTCTTGAACAAATAACAAATGGGATGCCAGGTTCTAAAGTAATGACTTGTGGACAAAGTGGTCCTTGGCCAATTCTGCAATCTTTTCACAATTATCAGAGTGATAAAACTATGCTCTTTTCAGAGGAAGCAAATGATATGGATATGACCAAAAGCCTTACAGTTGCTATTGATGATAAAAGCTTTGAACAAATAACCAATGGAGTGACAGGCTCAAAAGTATTGACATCTGAACAAAGTGGTCCACGGTCCATTCGACAATTCTGCTCTGGTGACAGAACCGTGTGCTTTTCACAAGAAGTAAATAATATGGACATGACCAAAAGTCATACAGTTGTTATTGATGACAAAAGCCTTGGACATGGGACAACCGGTCCAAGGTCCATTCTACAAGCTTGCCCTGCGAACAGAACAATGGTCTTTGCAGAAGAAACAAATGATATGGACATGACTAAAAGTCATACAGTTGTAATTGATGATAAAAGCCTTGGACATGATAGAAAAGGGACAACTGGTCTAAGGTCCATTCTGCAACCTTGCCCTGGGAACAGATCAATGATCTTTTCAGAAGAAACAAATAATATGGACATGACCAAGAGTCATACAGTTGTTATTGATGATAAAAACCTTAGACAAGGTACAACTGGTCCAAGGTCCATTCTACAAACTTGCCCTGGGAATAGAACAATGGTCTTTTCAGAAGAAACAAATGATATGGACATGACCAAGAGTCATACAGTTGTTATTGATGATAAAAGCCTTGGACATGATAGAAAAGGGACAACTGGTCCAAGGTCCATTCTACAATCTTGCCCTGGGAACAGAACAATGGTCTTTTCAGAAGAAACAAATGATATGGACATGACTAAAAGTCATACAGTTGTAATTGATGATAAAAGCCTTGGACATGATAGAAAAGGGACAGCTGGTCTATGGTCCATTCTGCATCCTTGCCCTGGGAACAGAACAATGGTCTTTTCAGAAGAAACAAATGATATGGACATGACCAAGAGTCATACAGTTGTTATTGATGATAAAAGCCTTAGACAAGGTACAACTGGTCCAAGGTCCATTCTACAATCTTGCCCTGGGAACAGAACAATGGTCTTTTCAGAAGAAACAAATGATATGGACATGACTAAAAGTCATACAGTTGTAATTGATGATAAAAGCCTTGGACATGATAGAAAAGGTACACCTGGTCTAAGGTCCATTCTACAATCTTGCCCTGGGAACAGAACAATGATCTTTTCAGAAGAAACAAATAATATGGACATGACCAAGAGTCATACAGTTGTTATTGATGATAAAAGCCTTAGACAAGGTACAACTGGTCCAAGGTCCATTCTACGATCTTGCCCTGGGAACAGAACAATAGTCTTTTCAGAAGAAACAAATGATATGGACATGACTAAGAGTCATACAGTTGTTATTGATGATAAAAGCCTTAGACAAGGTACAACTGGTCCAAGGTCCATTCTACGATCTTGCCCTGGGAACAGAACAATGGTCTTTTCAGAAGAAACAAATGATATGGACATGACCAAAAGTCATACAGTTACTATTGATAGTCGGGTTACAAAGGTAACCCCTCCAACGAGGCCAGATTTATCTGGGCCAACCTCCACAGGCTATCAGTACGAACTAATCCAGACAATGATACAGATTTTGGAAAAAGTCAGAGTTACAGCACAAGTTCAAATGTACATCACATGATCAGAACATCAACAATTGGAAGAGCAAATAGTATTGGGACCACTTTGAATTTAATTCCTACTGCTGGCATGGATGTTTCTCCTACAGTCACCACTGACATTAAATATCAGTCTCTGTCAGGCTCCGATGAGGCAAATACACATAGAAGTTCTCAATCTCCACATCCTCCTTGTCCTGGTGAGAAGACTATATTCTTTACAGAAGTACAGGGTGATATGGATGTTACCAAAAGCCATATAACGGCCATTGATCAAAACAACGTTGCATCCATGCTAAATAACCAAAATCCATCTCTGGTAACAATTGGATCAATGGGAACGTATGCATTATCATTTCCTATGGATAGAACTATGATGTATTCAGAACAGGACAACATGGATCTGACTCAAAGCTGCACTGTAGTCATCAATGATAAGAATGACACAAGTACGACTATTCATACTGTGCCTATTCAAATTGAACACACTGTTTGTAATAGTGTTGCCGAAGTGTCTAAATTGTCGCTGAAAAAAGACAAAGACTCGATGTTTACTAGCAAACCTGGTGACCTGGTTCCTTTCTGTAGTTCAACCACTACTGTTAAAACTAACCATTTATATAATGCAGTCGGTCAGCCAGTCCATGGATGTAATAATTCCACTCCTTGTGCCGAGAGCATGACAATTGACATCTCTCAAAAGGCAATTACTGAAGCTGATACAAAGCATGAAGTTTGTTCACAATTTGTATTTGGGGAATGTAAGAACATGTATCAGAAAGAAATGAAACAACCAGTGCAATATGTTGAGAAAGTTATGGCCCCAATTGTAAAGAGGAAGAGCAGTAACAATGATCTGAATATTCAGCAGGAATGGACTCCATGTGATCAGATCGGAGAGGCGGTTTCCAATAGGTCTGTTATGTCCAATGTCAGTAACAATGAATCCAAATGCTTTGCTGATGGTGGAACAGCTGAGCCTATATGTTCATCTAATAGAAGTTTGGGTTCTGAAGAATGCAGCAAGCCAAGTCTTGTTCATTTTATATCAACACTTCAGAGATTAAACACAATTGATGGAACCTGTGATGTTGAAATGGAAAAGACTCCCACAGCATTAGAAAGGTCTCAGGCCAATGAAAAAAATGCTGTTGATTGCCAGACAAGGAAGACAAATGCATCATCGTCCTTAGTACAAAGTACATTTGTTCCGGAAACCTTTAAATCCAAAATTACTTCTCTAGGGATCTTCCCTGCTAAATTGCACAGTCGACAAAACGTATACGGAGCTGTAACTTCTGATCATAAGGGTGAAAAAAAGGGATCATCAGAGCAACCTGTTCCAAGTTCACCTTTGAGTGCTCTCTGCAGTCCAAAAAGACCTGAAGAAGAGCTGAATGCATTTACATCTAACATTGAGCTACCAGGACTTCCAGATGTGGAAATGCCCCTTCAAATGGAGAGTGACATGTCAGATGGTGACCTGATAAAATCCTCTCAAAGTTTTAAGGCCGCTGAAGTGCACCCCGCCGTGTTCTCTAACCAATCTGTCAAGCATGAAACTTTGACTGCAAATGAACACGATGATATTGTTTTTAGTGTTAAAGACCGTCTTGGAATTACTGCAGTTGTTAATACAGTTGAACAAAGCCTGTGCCAAAAGCGAAGACGGGTTGAGGGGGAAAGTGAAGACGCCTGTAATGAAAGAAAAATGAGAAAGAGTGTGGGGCATGAAGGCGCTGAATCATCATCACAAAAGGTAAGTGAGACTGGAATATCTTAATGCAATGTGCACCAGAACCATCTGAAGTACAGCATAGAATGTAGTAATGGGATGTGCAATTAGGCTTGAGGCTTTCATTACATATCCAGAAGAAAGGTGGAAATCTACCCAATGTGCCTCAAGCCCCCCCCTTATCAGTTCAGTTTCCTTCCATTTAGCCAGCTGCTACAACAATTTTACTTTTTTAAAGTGTTGGGAGGACATCGTAAAATGCTTCAGAGGTGACTGGAAAGCTGAGTTGGGGATGGGGGAGGTGAGGAAGGTTGGGGCTGTGGGGCAAGGTAACCATTTGTGCAGCAAAATGAAAGGTCTTAAGGTGAGCATTTAAGGTTGGGAGGGAGGAGTGAAGCAGAGAGATTATGGGGTGGATTTCCAGACAGTTAGGGTAGAATATTGGAAAGCTTATCGACCGATTGTGTAGCAGACTGGCTAGCATACATGAAGCAGGCTTGTGTTTGTTGATCAGAGGGATGGTAGGGGTGCAGGTAGGGAGAAGGTTTGGAGCGATTTGAACGCGAATCTACATCCATCTCTTCCCCTGGAATCAACTGACAATTTGTGACAGAGGAGCATAAATATAAAGCCTAACAGGAAGTTTAGGAGGAACTTCTTTACCCAGAAGGTGGTGTGAATGTGGAACTCGTTGCCGGAAGCTGTGGCTGAAAGGATCAACGTATTCAAGAAATTTGATGCATAGATGTGGCAGTAGGAAGAGGATTATGAGGCTCGTGTTTAGTGTAAGCACCACCAATAGCTTGCATTTATATAGCGCATTCACTGCAGGAAATGCTTCTGTATGTGAAACAAATCGCATGGTGGAATCAATATTTCCAAATGTGGCAGTTGCTGTTCTTAACTTCATTAAGTTACATTACCAGTAACAGTCTGTGAAGATGAATATTCATTCTCAAAAACTCATTCAAATCTACATTGATCCAGGCTAGATTGAATGCACTCTATTGTCTATTGAGCGTGATTTGACATGTACACTAAGTTTGGATCATGTGATTGACATGTGGTTGTGCTGTTCTGAAAGTATTTTTTCTTGTAGGTGAGCAGTACACCCACAGTACAGTGGGGAGGGTTGGCGAATGGAATCTTGGAGGAGAACATGCACAGTCTGTTGATAAAGAGCATGGACTGTACCTCCAATAACAACTCCTTAGATTCGATTAAAGGGGACGGAGATGGAATCTCTGCGCATACCAGCAGTAAGTGTTGACTTAGCAATTATTGAATTTGTGCGTAAAATATTTAGCCTTGAGAAACTTTCAGCGGTTGGGAGGAAATAGTTTAACAATCTTTAGGATTTCAATTCATTCTCCGTTTATGTCTAAATAGCATTATTAAATGTTCGGTGCTTTACATGTTTGTGTTTGACTCGAGTATTTTTCTGTGGACACAAGGGGTGAAACGTTTTTTTTAATGAATGTGTCTGTGATAATTATCATTATGAATCTGTTATGAAGCATCATATTTTTCCATCTGTGCCGAAGGACCATTAATAGCTTCCCTATGTTGTCGCAATGGAAACACCTGAAGCCAGTTCCAAGACATTGAGATTGACAAATTTAAGGAAGTGTTTTGTGATGATATTTCTATTTTAGTACCTGCAGAACTTAAGTTTAATGTACTGACTCTAAAGTTAATTTGATGAAAATGGTTTGAAGCCGTTTATTATGGTACATAGTTCAAGGCTGGAGTCTCCAGACACATGACTGCCTTTGAATAGTTTTTTTTAACCATCGTTTTTTGATTCCATGAAAAGACTATCATTCTGCAGACTATAGCAAAGGTGTGAACTAGTTTTAAGAAGACTGCTTACAATTAGTATGTAAGACTCAATATAGCTTCTGCTGTATGCAAAGAGATCAGGGAGACCTGGACACTGAATAGAGATGATGGCAAATGCTGGTCATTTTCCATATCAAGTCCTGTATATTGGATCCATGGACCTTTCAGCTCAATTACAGATAGAGTATAGGGACAATCAAATTGCATGGTCTCTAGGAACAATATGGGCACAAGTGCAAAATTCCAGCATCAACAGGTAGCTGAAAGGTACAGTCTGGTCCTCCATAGTCTTGCTGACTTCAGGCTTCAGAACTGCCTTCAATTCGTGGAGACCTGTAGCTCAGTGGTTAGAACACTCGCCTTGCAAAAGAGACACGTGGGTTCAATTCCAGGCAGGGCGAAACCTTTGGCAAGTTTCCTTACTCCACACAGAGCCTAATAATAATCCCTCCAAAACAAAACAATAATAAATTGGTCATTTTCAATCCACAACTGTTTGTGGGACATTGCTGTGCGCAAATGGCTGCTGTGTTTCGCCCACAAATATACGGTCAATTCACTTTACAGTCTATTCTGTGAAGCGTTTTGAGACGTTGAGAAGACGTAAAAAGCGCTATATCAAATGCAAGGATTATTATTATAATGCACATTGTTGACTCATTCTTTTAAACACACTGATTTAACCACTATCACTGCATTATGTTTTTGCATTTTAAATTTGGTTTCATTTCTAAGAATTTGTTGGTAGTCTTGCTACCTTCCTTGGTTGTATGGGGCTCTGTAAAATAGTTAACTACATTGAAGCCCAGTTGGAGATGCTGATAGATTACTGTGTCAGTGTGGTCACAACCTGTGTGGAGTGTTGAAAAATGAGATTGCTGTTATAAAATTCAAATGTATCAACATTTTTGAAGCTCCATTGTATAATTTCTACAATTTATATCCCTAGACCAGAGGTGTAACCAGAGTACAAATCTATTCATGCTGGAAAAGTCTGAGCTCCATCAGGTATGGCTATTTCATATTAAGATTGTTCGTATTGGCTATGAATCCATTATGTTGGCTCTGTTAATTTGTTTTCACTTCCACCTTCTTTTCACACTGATTATAATATCCCAACAGCTTTTATAATGCTGAACCTGTAATACCCTGATGTGCAATGAAGGGGAGTGGAGCATAAGCTATTGCTAGACACAGATGGTGTTCTGCTGTACTTGACCAAGTGAAGCACAATGCTACTGATGAAACTTTTGCACCTCTTCAATCAATACCTGGAACACTGTTCCACTACAAAAGTTCTGGCAGCCTCCATTCACCCATTCCATTTCCACCACCAAAAAGAAATCTTCCCAACTGGGTCCAGATCCATCTCATAGGAGCTTAAAATCAAACCTGACACTTGCCTTCAGGATTCTGCTGGATTCCCTGGGATCCACTGGAAAATTGTTACTCCCATAACTGAATCGTTGAGGCTCTACTTGCACATCTATTTTGACGGCATCTTGCTTCCATGACCATACATAACAGTGAAAGCTCTCTTGTTATCTATCCATATATCACAACAAACTTCAAACCATTTATTTGACAATTAGATCCAGTAACTACAATGTTTCGTACACACTGCTGACCATGTCGATGGTCCCTATCACCTGTTCAGTCGCAGATACAACTTTCCTTGCCTAATATCTTTATATTTACAAAAGTGGGCTATGTAATTTCACTAAATGTAAAAATCTAGCACATTTAAAAATGAATAACTGGAAGGAATCCAAAATCTATAGAATTGCTGAAACTGATCAAGGGTGTTGTCTTCTCTATAATGGGTATATGATTGCTGAAAAATGAATTGACACTTAAGAGATTCCTATATTAAATTCAGTTTGTAGGCAAGATGACCTAAAGAATAACTTTTTCTTTCAGAAATTGATGGATGGCAGCATCACTGTCAGCGAATTCTTCAAACTCTTGCAGATTCCGATTCATGTGCAGAAGCCTCGTCAAAGCATACTACCAACCACTGTAAGGATGCAGCTGTAGATATGTTCAGGCTTTGGATGCTTTCAGTAAATTGGTGTACTGCAGTGTTTGCCTTAGCTTAGCAATGAGTGCATTATCTGGCAATCTTCCTGCTACTTCTCCAGCTAGGCCCACCCTGGCATTTAGGGCTCTGGCTTGTGTGGTTAACAAGAGCCAAATGGTAAGAATCGACACTCCCAGTCTTCCTCCATGTCCTGCCGATGAGTCAGCCTGGCTGACCTGTCATCATTGTTCTGTGGACCGCTGAGCTCTGGAAGCGGACTACTGAAACAGCTGGAGAGGGTTGACCCATTCCGAAGTGAAATATATTAGGTTGGAGCCAGTTCAATCGCTCGTATCTCTTTCCTCACTCTACCCCCCTCTTCCCCCAACCATTTTATCAAATAAACTATTTCTTCCAATTGGGTAAGAGAAATGTCATTTCTTCATTACTTTTATACAGTAACCTGGAATATAAACAAGAGTTATTGATAGTGAACACAGTGACCTTGTGCTCTTCACAGCCTTAAGGTGGAGGTGGAAGTTGAGTTGAGTTGTCGGTGGGGGGAGGGAGAAGAGAGCTTAATTATAATAATCATAGTTAATAATAATTAGTTTATAAGTACAAACATTCCACTTAGATAGTCAAAAACTTGCAGAGACTACCAACCTATTATTATAGCAATGTTACTATATATTGTATTACAACTGCTTGTATTGGTTTTTGACAAACGATTGAGATATTCCAGGATACTGACTAATTATTGAACTATTTTGTTTGACTTTGTTCAGTGTGAAACAGATAAGTCTTCAGCACTTGAAGAGTGGTTGGCAATAAAGTTTATTCATCGACCAAAACTGAGAATCTATGAAGAGGACATTGCAAGTCTTTCAACAGTCCTAAATGAGTAAGGCCTTTTAATGTTGATGTGCTTTTTTTAAAAAAAAGTGCTTTTCTGAGCAATATGAGATTTTATTCCATGGGTGAAGGAAATCTTCCAGTTACCTGTAGAATGCTGAATTAATTACACTGATAAATGGTACGGAGTGTCAAAAAATATAATTGACTTTTCATTTTCTCCCATTATTCATGTACAAATTATGAGAAGAGCTCAGAGTTCTGTATTTTCATTGTTAACATCCATTAGTCTGGTATTACTGATACCCTCACATAATCTGGTGGTGCTGAGCTATAGGGCAACTCAGTTATAGCATGATCATCTGGGATCAATATCTCAGACACTGCGTAAAAAGAGAATCTGGAAAAAATGGTTGATTTCCTAGTCAGATTGCTGAAGTCATATTGTTACTGAAATGATGTTAATGGGGCTTCCTGTGACATCAGTGCTGATATGGAAGTCGAACGTCTTTAGTGTGGGAAGTCAGCCAGACCCTGTCAGGAGTATACCACACGCCAGCAGCCATGTGTCCACAAGCACCTGCTTTGAAATCTGACTTGCACTCTAGTGAGGTGTTGCTTTGTGGTACGGAAGTTGTATGTTGAAGGTGGCAGATCAGAGCTGGACCAGACCTAATATACTTGGGTCTGAAATTCTGGTCAGCAGTTTATGTAATAATAATAATAATCCATAATAATAATAATAATAATCCTTGCATTTGATATAGCGCTTTTCACGTCGGAAGGACGTCCCAAAGCGCTTCACAGAACACACTGTAAAGTGAATTGACTGTATATTTTTGGTTTCTGATGGTTGCAAAACGTCCTGGTTTCCTTTCCTTTACAGGCTAAAAGACCAGCTGTTGAATCTTGATAAACGCTTGTCTGAAGTGAACTTGAGCCTATGGACAGATGTGAAAGAAATGACAGAAGATGAGGTAATAGAATTGACGTAGTAAGATTGTCATCTCCAAGTTATTGGGGCTTTTTTTNAAATGGTATAGAATGTCCAGTTTTGTTCACTTCATTTTAGAAAGGATGTCAGAGCTAAAAGGAAATGTCAGGAGATTTTATTAGGATGCTACCAGAGGTGAGCAGTTTGACCAATGAGCAGTGACTGGAGGAACTGGGCCTATTTTCTGGAAATGAAAAGTTGAAGGCAGATCTGTTGGTGTTTTTAAAATTGAGGAGTTTTGATAGTAGAGAGAAATTATTTCCAGTTGTCTGAGTCAGCAACCAGAGGGCATCAGTTTAAGAGTTGCCAAAGGTTTATTTTAACAGAGGATTGTTAGGATGTGAAATAATCTACAGGGAGCAGAGGAGGCAAGAACCATATTATGTTTCAATAGGGAACCAGATGGGTATCTTGAAGAGTAATTTGTAGAGTGAAATACAGTGGGATGCATAGAACTCAGTTTGGTTCGGATGTTCTTAAGCATGGTGATGGTTTCCACATATGTCAAGCATCCATCTGACTAAAAAAAAAAGACATCTAGCTGAACCTCCAAATTTGTTCCAATCAACATTTGAGAGAGGGTCTTGAGAAAATTAACTTTTGCTGACTTTTTTTTCCTTACAGCTGCTTCAGCTTCGTTCTTGCCTGAATACCAAAAAAGCCACCTTTGTAAAAGATACCAAATTGATTTGCCATGAACAAAAGGTTCATCTGTATTCAGCACAATTGAATGCACTGAAGGTGAGTGTCATGTTTGGTAAGCTTGGTGTTACTTTTCTACTTCTGGAACAAGTCCAAATGAAAGGTAGGGATGGAATTTTTAACCAAATACTACATATAATAAAGCACATCAATTACTAACTGAGCAAAAATGTACATTCGTGTTCTCCCAAAATTAGGTCTGGTTGAGTCCTATAGGTGGAGCATTGCAGAGCACCTGACCTGTGTTACACTGATTCTTCAGCAACAACAAAATTACATTTCTATAGCGCCTTTCACATCAGGAGGATGTCCCAAAGCGCTGGACAATCAGTGTTTCAGACCCGAGCTGGGGGTAGGCAGGGGGGGAAAGGAGGGTGACCGAAGGCACGATCGAAGAGGAAACTGGTCTTGAAGGAGGCAAGGGAGAGGGTGAGTGGAGTAGCTGAAGGCCCGCCCGCCAATGGTGGGGTGGCCGAGGCGGGGGACGTGAAGCAGGTTGGCGCCTGCGGAGTGAGTGGGCAGGTTGGTAAGGGTTTAGGAGGTTGCAGAGGTAGGTGGGAGCAAGGCCATGGAGAGCTTTGAAAGTGAGGACAAGGATCTTGAACTGTGATGGGAAGCCAGTAGAGTCAGGCGAGGATGGGGGTGATAGGGTCATGAAGCCTGGTGCGAGAGAACACGGGCTGCAGAGTTCTGGATGATTTGGCACCCCATGGAGGGAGAAGTTGGGAGGCTGACAAGTGGGGAGTTTGCGTAGTTGAGCCTGGATGTTATGAATGTATGTATGAAGGCCTGCGGTGTGAGACAGTGGCGGAGTCAGGTGATATTGTGGAGGAAGAGGGAGTGGGTCATGGCACAGACATGGGCTAGAAAGGACAGTTGAGGGTCAAACAAGAGGCCAAAGCTCCGGACTGTAAGGTAGAGTGGGCATCCTTGGATGGTGATGCTGTCATGTCAGCGCCTGAGGTGTGGAGTCGCTGACGGGAGCCAATCAGGATGGCCATAGTCTTAAAGTTGGGTCTCATCGAGGACTTGATGTCAGACAGATATTCTGTCAGGACAGCAGTAGTTCTGGAGTCTAGGGTGGAGGCAGAGAGATAGAGTTGGGTGTCATCCGCATGTATGTGAAAGTTGACCCCATGTCTGCGGATGATGTCACCAAGAGGGACCATATAGATATTGAAGAGGAGGGGATCAAAGCAGAGCCTTGAGGAACGCCGCACGAGATGGAACAGGGGCTAGAGGAGATGCCGTTTGTGGAAATGAAGTGGAGACAGTGTGAGAGTTGGATCTGAACCATTGAAGGACGGAACCATGAAGGTTGAGAGAGATTCAGAAATGCTGTTTGCCCCAATGCAAAAGAAGATCCCACCCTCCTTCATCATCAAAATAGGCGATTGCTGGATAATGTCCCTCTAGGAGTTACTGACTTAAAAAGTATGGATAATAGAATTGGTATCTCAAATATTGAATATAAAAATAGAGAGGTTATTTTGAACATTGTATTGGCCACAATTGCAGTAATGTATTCAATTTTAGTGCTCTGCTACAGGAATTCTGTTGTACAGATTGAGAGGGTGTGGTTGGAGATTCACTTGAATGATCCTGGTTATGCGAACATGTGTAAAGGAGAAAAACTGGTTAAATTGGAAGAAGCTTTCCACTAGTTGGGGAATCGGTGGTAAGGGGACATTGTTTCAAGATTGTTAGCACAACAAACGAGAGTGGTTAGAAGAATTTTTTTCACTAGGAGGTTGATGGGGTATGGAATTCATTCCCATAAATTGAGATTGAATCAAAAGATTCATTCAGAGGGAAATTCGATATTTACCTACAAAGTAAATACACTGAGGAAGATGGGTAAAGAATTTGAAAGCTGGATAAGTTTTTGTTTTTAAAAACGTGATTTTAGAAGGTATAAATTACTGGCTTATGTTCTTGCATGTATAAAATTTCCGATTAACATAAATTTGGACAGAATTCCTGCCTGTCCTTTGTGACAGCAATAATGTGGAATTTTAAATATGTTCTTCACCACATTGAATGCATGTGAAAGTTCAAAATTTCACCTGTACCACGGCATTATCTGTGCTCTGCAATGCACAAAGATCTTGTGTTGTTTCCAGCTTTCCTGGCAATTCAAGTATTGCTTTCTATGATTTTAGGCACAACGTCTGCAGATTAGGAAACATATGGATTCCTTAGATGAAGTGCTTGGCAAGATGGAGGAATGCCTTGTTTCACTTGACCTCAGTGAGTATCTTCCTCCTGTATAGTTCTAGATCATTTCTTTCCCCTTTACTACTCTTGATAGGTAGGACACAAAATACTTGCACAGCATTTGAAAGGATCTAAACACAAGTGTACTTTACTTATTCACTCTACTGAAAACACCCTTCACGTAGGATAGTGTCTTGGAGCGCTTAATAAGGACAAGTCAAGGGTATATGTTAGGGTATAACTTTAAAATCAGAACTAAGACTGTTAGATCCGAGGATAGGAAGTATTTTTTACACATGGTGAGTTGTGCAGATGTGGAACCCTCTGTCCCAAAATGCTGTAGAGCTGGAATCCATAGGGATGTTTAAATGAGAGCGAGTGACAGACTTGGGTAGTGGCAGTATTAAGGGGTATGGCAAAACGACAGGTACAATATTTGCTTACGGAGTAAACTGTCACTATATTTCAAGATAATGCATCCAACAAAAAGCATTTGCCTGAACATTAGTCTTGAAATATTTTGTGCTTCAGCATTTACAATGGATCTGCACTGTTATACAATAGAAGCTGTGCAATTAATTTTCTCATATTGGATATAGCAAATTTAGATGTTTTGGATGACTGTACTGTGGATGGTAACCCGGAGCTGACTGAACTGGAGCAGGCTGTAAACACGAAGAAAGAGGGTGAGAAGCTTGTCGTTTAATTTGATGATTGAGATTTAATATTTGAAAGGATGACTACTTTTAGTTCTAACCATGCTGGCTGAATAAATGCAAATGTTGCCAAACTAATTTTCCTTTCATTTGATTTTAAAATAATTTTTATTTCATAACCACAGTACAGTACCTCCAACAGTGATGCAACTGAGTGCTCTCCATGATTATGGGGCCTCGAGTCAGCAGCCTAGGCTGACAATTGAGTGCAAAGCTTTGGAACTGGAGTTTGGAAGTGGAGTCCTGTAGCTCAGTGGTTAGAGCACTCGCCTGGCAAGGGAGAGACCTGAGTTCAATTCCAGGCAGGGCGAAACCTTGGGCAAGTTTCCTTACTCCACACGCCTAATAATAATCCCTCCAAAAGCAATAATAAAAATTGGTCATTTTCAATCTACGACTGTTTGTGGGACATTGCTGTGCGCAATTGGCTGCCGCGTTCGCCCAGAAATATGCAGTCAATTCACTTTACAGTGTGTTCTGTGAAGCGCTTTGGGACGTCCTCCTGACGTGAAAAGAGCTATATCAAATGCAAGGATTATTATAACTGCTGCATTGTTGCAGGTTATAATAGTTGATTGTTAAACCAAACTAACACTTGCGATATTTTCCCCCAACGTGAAAGGTGTCGTATAAGTGTAAACTGTTATTGAAAAAGGGTGGTTTGATTTTTTTCATATGCTTTATACTTGATTTTTAGACTTTATCTTTATTTTCTTCTCCAGATTTAAAGAAGCTTCAGACTGAGCAATGTGATTTAGAAAGGTATTACTTTTATTTTAATGACATCATGATTATCTATGTATTTTATTTGTCGCTTTTTTTCTTGACATTTTCTCAGGAGCGAAGGGGAGTGCAGATCCCTCCATAATATTAGATCAGAATCTTGGATAGGGAGGGGGTTTCCTAATAATTCCCAATAATTAATTGTTACTTGATCACTTTGAACATTTAATTGCAGTAAATGTTGATTCATAAAATGTATTGATTCAGTTTAATATCTTGTTCAAGGATGACGCTTCAGATAATCTGTTAGTGTATTGCAATGATGACCAAGAGTAATCAGGAACAAACAATGGTTTTGCTTTTCTAGTCAACTGACCAAAGCTGTTGCTCGAAAAGAATTCATGCAGGAAAAGAACTCCAGCTTTATCGATCACACAAAGGATTTACGGGAGTAAGTACTCAAGCACACCTTCTACTGTGGAAGCAGATGGATATGTTTTATAACAGTGCTGTTTTAGGACCATTGCACCAAACCACGGTATAGTGAGGTGTCGATTCACTTTACATAGGGAGTTTCAAGTTTGACGTTACTGTGCATGAGGGTGATGCAGAATAAGGGTTCCACCAGTAGTCTAATCTGTTGGCAAAAAAGTGATCCCATTTGTACCAAACCACCTTTGAACCTCACAGCAGACTTTTTTAAACAGAACTGTGAAATAATGAATTCATCTGTATTCAGATGAATTAGTTACTTTGTTAATCCCTCAAGTGTCTATGCACTTTGATATCTGAACACCTGTTATCACTCACTAGCATCCTTTTTTTAAATTTGCGAGCTCAATACTGATTTCATACACTACTGCTGATGAAAGCTCTAACCTTTAGATGTGTACCATCGGTTACCTTGCTAGAGAGTTAGTATTCAATATTTTCCAGTGTGACTAATTAATATTCCTACTTTTTTTTATTCTGAGAGTCCTGTCTGCGTATGAATTGTAATGGAATTGTGTTCTGATCCAAATAGTGTAATGCTAGTTTCCAGTAGGTAGTAATAGTATAGTTGGTGTGATATATCACGCATCAAACTGGGTGTCAGCCAGGCATAGTTGGTAGCTCTTGCCCAAAAGTTGTGGATTCAAGGCTATGTCAGGATTTTGAGCTCATGTTCTAGGCTGACACTCCAATGCAGTACTGGAGAGTGCTGCATTGTCAGAGGTGCCAATCTTTGGTTGAGGCGTTCTGTTTGCCTGTTCATATGGACGCTAAAGATTCTACTGCACTATTTGCTGCTAAATTCACCTTCTTTTCTCACCCAGTCCTTGATCGGTGTCCAGCAAAATCTCTGTGAAGCACTTTGAGATGTTGTCCTATTTGAAAGACTGTTTATAAATGCAAAATATTAATCGCTTGATGATTTTGATAAAAATGGAATTTGACTAAAATATACAAGACTCTGTGGAACACCTGGAAAGGAGTTCATTTGTCTTTTTGTAATTATTGGGTAGTCTGGGTCAATGATGATACATTTATTATACTATTTAACCATTATTTCCAGGCAGGGCGAAACCTTGGGCAAGTTTCCTTACTCCACACGCCTAATAATAATCCCTCCAAAAACAAAAACAATAATAAATTGGTCATTTTCAATCTACGATTTTGTGGGACACTGCTGTGCACAATTGGCTGCCGCGTTCACCCACAAATATACAGTCAATTCACTTTACAGTGTGTTCTGTGAAGCGCTTGGGATGTCCTCCCGACGTGAAAAGCGCTATATCAAATGCAAGGATTATTATTATTATATTATGAATTCTCACAATCTCAATGTATTGATTGGTTTCTCTGTTCAGGCTGTTAGAGTGGGAACTATACATCTGGCAGGAAGACATGGCCGTTTACCAATTCCTGTGGGAGACTCTCGAACTTCATGTGAAGTTTGAAGAGGCTAAAGGTGAGGTTCTTGCTTTCATTGTGTCAAGTTTTGAAAATTGAATGGATAAATAGCATTTTACATCCACAGAGTAACTTGTTTTATATGTACTACATCAAGAAACATCCAGAGACTTCATATTGCTGTGTAAATCCTAGGTTAGGGTATACACATCACTTCAATTGATATTTAATCCTTTATTTGATTCTTTCAATTCTACTAATCAAACACAGCCCTCAAAGTGCTAACCTGAGCTTTCCACTTTCAATCTGAAAGCAACTTTGAAGGTCGAATCTGCAATAGCCCCAAATGGGATTTGCTGTGAAAATTGATTTGTGGCATAACTGCCAAATACATATCTCAAGTCAGCAAAGGGCAAACAAATATAGGGCTGATGAGCAAGATGGCTGCCTGATTCCCACAGATGTTTTGCCCACTGGCCTTTTCTCAATCTTTGTTACTTGGAATTTTGGTAAACCAGAAATTGCAATTAATGCAACAAATCAGGTTTTCAAATATTCCAAATTAAAGATGACATACAGTGCAAAAATCTGTTCCATATTTGCCTTTGTCCACAGTATTAAAATGTGAGAGCTAGCCAAGCTGAACTGGTAGGCACGGTTGCAATTTTCACATATGGCCGAGTGTGCGCACTTGAGCACATTGACACAATTCTGTTGTGGATTTCTTTGAAAACGAATCCATACAGCTGTGCTGTCAGTATACCTATTTGGTATTATTTATTCAGGCAGTTATTTGAGGAGGGCCAACAAAAGACAACTGAGTTCTGTTGCTATAATTAGAGTGGATCAAAAAATGTTTTACAATTTTTAAAAGCATTTCTGTCTTTGATTTTCTTTTAACTAAGTTGGTATTTGCATTCCCTTTTTAAAATGTAGATGGTCTTTCCTCTGGTAAGAAGTGCAGGAGAATCAATGATCTTTACCTTGTATCTGAGTTGGACGGTGAGTGTCTAAACCAAAAATAAACACAATAAAGGTGGATTCTAAGAAGGTCTACTTCAGATAATTACATAGATTGTAACATTGTAAGTGGCATTGTATTGTACAATAGCCCAGCCTTTAATGCCATGTTATCACTGCCATGAAGGACTCTGACTCCTATAGATTGGATGACAAACATTCTAATCCTGTAATGTGATGCTGTTCAGATTGAATATGATTCCAATACTTGAATTTTTTCCTTTTTTCAGAGGAGGAAGCACCTTCTTACACCAAGCTTGTTCATAAGCTGGTTATGATGGCTTGGAAGAATAGATCCTGGATCAGCACTTGCACAAATGAATCACAGCTCCCCATGGTATGAATGAAGAAAGGATTTTTGTGGCACCCTATCATGTTAGAATGACTCAGAGCACTTTTTAGTAATTAGGGTAACGTATGGTGACCATTTTTATAGGTAAATGCATAGCTATTTGACATACAGCAAAGTCTTACAAACTGCTATGAGGTAACTAGTCAAACTTTTTTTGAATTAGGTCACAGGAGATGGGGCCTCAGTTTAATGTCTCATCTGAAGTACCCCATTTCAAATAATACACCTCTTCCCCCAGGACTGCACTGGAGTCTCAGCTTAGCCTCTGAGCTCAAGTTCAAGTGTGGGATTTAAACCATCTGACCATGACCCGAGAGTGCTACCCACTAAGCTAATATATTTTTAAAATCTATAATAAAATTACAATTCCTTGAGGAAAAGAACATTGTTTGTCTCCATGAAGAGCGATAGACACTTTTCCAAGATTTTGAGTACACACTCAAATTCTGCAGGGTCTTTGCTGTTTTTGGATCCTTTTCCGTGCTGACACTCCAATACAGCAGCAGTGGGCGGGGTTGACAAAGGTGCTGTCCTTTGAATGAGATGTTAAACTTGGGTACTGTTTGCCTTTTCAGGTGGATGTTAAAGATGCCATGACCCCACTATTCCAAGAGTAGGAGTTTCTCTGTCCTGGCCAATATTTCCCCAAAATAAAATTGGTCACTCACTCCATTACTATATGCAGGTTGCCTGTCACATTCACACACAAATACAATCACACCACTTTATAGTAAATCCCGTGAAGAACTTTGAGACATCTTGACGTGAAAGGTGCTATAGCAAATGCAAGGCTTATGTTTATTATTATTTATAATTATTCATGCAACGCTGTCAGCCTGGCTTAGTTGGCATATAAACAAGTTATTATTGTTATAGAAATGTAATTATTTATTTCCATGGTTACATTCTAAATGGCAGCACTGATAACAAAACTCGTCATTCCATTCTCCTGTTGCTCACTATATTCTTTAATATTTATCCTCTTTCTAATTTATGGGCCCTGCTTCAACTTCAGTTTGTGGTGGAACTATCCTCAATGGACAGGGATGTGTGTCTAAACCGTGGGTAGGAAGGAAAGCGGAAGAAATGCTGAGTTTTTCTGCTCACTCAAAAGCTCGCAAGGAGTTTCTGGTGTCTTGTGAGAGCTCAAACCTCCTCTTGTTTGATATCAATGAACAACTCTTGGGTGGTGGAGGTGGGGGGGAAGTAAAGCAGAGCCTCCTTGGAGTTGAGCTGGTAATGTGCTTGGCCACAGAATTTCAGAATCGCCAACCTGCGTTGAATTCTCTGAAATTAGGTATGCAAGGTGTATTCCTCTTGGGGAATAGTGCATTTTTCATTCCAATCACAGGGAAATGCAAATAATGTATTACAAATTTCCATTTGTACATGGCATGCATTTGTGGAACAGTTTCTGGTTTGGCTACTCTTAAGCATAGTGATGCATTTCAACATGTCAGGTGCCCGGCTGTCCAAGAAAACAACTGTTGTGGCAGGGAATTCCAACCACCTTCTGTGTAAAGTATTAATTCTCAATCACAAGGGGAAAAAATTATGGCTAATGATGTGTCCAAGTGGATTTAAACTTCCTGTCAGTAGATAGTGGCAGCTGTGGTCAAGTCTTCTATCATAGTGAGGATGTCAGGTTGCTGAAAAGGTTAGAATATGTTTTGGACCAGTATTAACTTTTCTTCAAAAGCACATTATTGAATCAATCTTTCAATAATTAAAGATAGGTAGAGCTTGGCCATGAGCTGCACCTGAACCACAAAGAGTCCATAATCAACATTATAGTCATTGGCTTGGTGATCTGGAGATGTATCAAAACGAATGTCTTCCAGCCTTGTAGAGTGGGTTGAAACCTGTGGTGTATTGAATATATTTGTGGTCCATATTTCCATGATGTGTGTTGCAGCTCTTACTTGATGTCTCGCTGGAGGTGAGCCGATGTAGGTTGCTCGGTGAGGAACTGGAATTCCTGAAAACCTGGGGTGCAAAATTTGATATTCTGAGGACTGACATTGAACACACTGAGTAAGTGGAATTTGTTTGGTGGCATGAAGGGCACTATATCAATGTAACTTGTTGGTGGTGGGAGGGCAAGAATTTCTTTCTATCTTAAAGTTGAGACAATGTTGTCCCCTCTCCATTCACACACTGCAGCTCAATAAAGCCCATGTGGGTGTGATCGTTTCTTCCAACCAATTTCCTGTGGATCACACATTTTTATACTTCGCTGCCTCTTGGGTTACATTTGCTACTCTGTATGTTAAGTGTTCACTAAATTGGATTCAGGAAGAGAAGTTCTAGTCATTTTGAAACAGCAGGCAAGAACATTGGCAACATTTATATAAAAAAGCACTATTTTGGCTTGGGTTCAGAGATCTGAAATTGGTTATGGTCCTAGTCTTAACAACACCTCCGCCTTTAAAATTTCAGATCTTGAAAATGTTGGAAGATCCTTGAATTCAATCTGGTTTGAATCTGTTTTTCTCCAGTTTAGTATTCTGATCAACTGTTAATTTGTGATCCTCTTAATTTCTTGCAGTGTGAAGTGTCTTTTCTCAAGTTATTATGCTTTGTCGAAGTTTGAAGTTACATTTCATCTAACACCAGGTTATCCATCCCTCCCTCTGAGCTTCACGTTTAATTCACGCTTTGGAAATATCTGGTGAGTTCATATATTACACAGAATTTTCTAATCAGATTCTCAGAAAAGGGATTGTTAACTAGTTTACAGTGGGAATGTCATAATTAGTCATAATTAGACTGTTTGTGGGATATTGCTGTGCGCAATTGGCTGCCGCGTTCGCCCACAAATATACAGTCAATTCACTTTACAGTGTATTCTGTGAAGCGCTTTGGGACGTCCTCCCGACGTGAAAAGCGCTATATCAAATGCAAGGATTATTATTATTATGTGGGGTTGAGGGAAGAAAAGAGGAAACCAATTATTGATGTCAGCAGCAACTAAAAATGTTGGGGCACCATCCAATTGCTGACAGATTGTTTAGTCTGAAAGCTCCTCTAGTAATTGGTGAGCTGTAAGTGAATACTGTGAGGTTAGCCAAAAGGGAATAAAGTGGTAAAATGTAGAGTTATAGTACCAGACTTCTGTCAGTAGATTTACATAGTTTGTCTTCCAGTTCCAATGCTGTGGGGCTGTACAGCACTGAAACCAACTGTATGGTACAGCATTCTCAAATAAAACAAAGTCTGGAAATTATCTAGTCAGAACTTTAAAATCGTAACTTTCCAACTTGTAGCTGAAACAAATGAATCTATCGAAAAGAAACTTTGTGTACAGGAGAGAAAGCTGTGTCTCTGAATTTGTTTCTATGATGTCGTAAAATATACAGTCAATTCATTTTACAGTATATTCTGTGAAGTGCTTTGAGATGGCTCAACAATGTGATAAGGTCTTGTATCAAATGCAAGTATTATTAAGTCGATAGCTCTTATATTAAAAATACTCCACTATAATTCTGGTTAAATCTACAACTTAGCAATGCAGGCTTACTGCTGACTTTTACAGACCCATCCAGTTTGCAATATATGGGGCAATACTGTGTAGAATTTGGCTGCCTACAATTATGCCACAACTAAACTTTGCAGAAAAAAACTAGTGCTTTGAGTCATTTTCAAATGAAGTGTGCTATCAAATGCAATATTTATGAATTTTTAAAAAAACTTCATAGGAAGGTAAGGAAAATCCACAGAAACATTTATTGATTAAAAAAGGAAATAACAATCCTTGCCTTTGCAACAGTCATTGACATGCTTTGGATTGATGGTGGGGGATGTGGGAAAGAAAGACAGCTGGAGTCCGTGATAGGAAATGTAAGGCTCAGGGAGAAACGCGTTTGGAATGGACTGGAAGAAAAAAAACTGTTTGAAGAACTGTGGAGAAAACTGAGTCTTCAGGTCAGAGCCAATGTGATGGAAAAGAAACTGAGAGAAAGAAATGCAGTTTGCAGGCAGAAGAGTGGGTAGAATAATGTAAGTGGTTGTGGGATTTAATATGGATGCAGCGGAAAGCTCCTGACTGATGCAGGGATAAGTTCTGGGATAAATGGGAAGGGTCACCGCAGCAATATTCTCCCCTTCCCATCCCCATTTACAAAATTTTTTTTTTTTTGGTCAGCCGGGGTTCTGACACTTGCAGAAACCTATCACAGTATATTCTGTGAAGCGCTTTGGGACGTCCTCCCGACGTGAAAAGCGCTATATCAAATGCAAGGATTATTATTATTATTATCACCATGCTTGAGTTTGCAAACCAAACTGAGATTTCCATGAATCCCACCTCCACGTGGAAATCCCAGAGATAGATTGTTGGGATGGAATGTGCACTCTCTCCCTGGAGGGACGCATCCTGTTTACCTAATTCCAGAAAGTAATAGGCGTAGGTTGACAGTAGCCAAGGCTTGGGGACCTCATAGTGTCTGTAGGAGAACTGCCAGAGTCCAACCAGCTAAAAACACATAGCTTGCCTTGTTATTGCTGTCTGGCACACTTTCCTGCGCTTGCCCACCCTACTCATTAGGGCTTTATCTTGCAGGGTTAACAGGATTTGAGTGGGATTTACAAAATTCTTTAACATCAATAAATCCCACTCCAAGAGGAGCTATTTAAGGCCAATGGATGACATAATAAGTCTCAAGGACTGAATTTGCAACAGCATTGAATTCAGTTTTGTGAACATGTTGATAGCAGTGTTAGTTAAGGGGAGCTTTGCTTTGTTAAAAACTCAGCAGATGAATTCAACAATAATGGGGGTCTGCAGATGATAGATTAGAGTAATCTAGGTGTAAATAAATTGGTTTTATTAATGACAGCTGTGCTTTTTTTACTTTTTAATAAAGATGTGGTTTTATTTTTAGTGATCAACACATTAATGAAGTTATAGGAACAGCAAAACCAGGACATGAGTACCTGACGAGGATAGTGAAGACCATCTTCTCAACACTGCTCACCATGCCAGGAGCTCAGCAATTCCGACAGGCAGTTTCCTAATTGGATTATTGAAGACGAACCACTCAAGTCAATTGCAAAATCAGGGATTTGATCCAATCGTCATTCTTTAAGTTTAAAACCTTTCACTGAGACAAAACTAGATATGGCTGCCGATGTGAATACGTACCAGGCTGAGAAGGTTTCTCTCTGAGATAAATTTTGCACCCTCCCGATTTGGTTGCTAGTTGGTGCAAAAGATTTTCTTGTAAGACTGAGGATGAAGCATATTATTGAGACAAAGTAGAGGAAGGTTTACACTCAGGCTTTTCAGTACCTGACCTCAAAGTGCTCGGTTGTTCTGCTGGGTGACGGACTGCAAAACTTCCAGCGCTGATTTTTTTTTAGTACGAATCAAATCTGTTTCACTGAACACGCTTCTTGTAGGTCTTCTTCAGTTTCATTAAGACTGCAAATAGTTTAGTATGTTATTTGTATGATTTTTCCACTGTTGAAATTAAAGAATTTCTATCACATAGTTTAGTGGAGTCTTTCATTGATGACTCACCTTCATTGTCACTGGAGGAGTTGAGCTGGAGGCTAGAAGTATGTTTTTCATGCAAAGAGCTATTGTAAGGTCAAATCTTTTGCCCATGAATGGCCCAACAAAAATCCAATTCCAAAAGGGAATTGGATAAATAGATGTAGAGAAACAATGTATAGTGGAATGCAACTTAACTATACATCTGCTTAACTGAATTGTGACTATGATGCTGAAGTGAAATTGGGCAGTGATTATAGGCGATTGTTTTTGGTACCCGGTGTGTGATTTGTTTCCCTGCAATCCAGGTAAGTACAGCATTAAGTTCCCACAGACAGACATGCTATTCACATTGTTTTTATATTCACAATAGGGCCAGTACCTATATTGGGTTCTCCAATGACGATGTAGTATTGGAAAAAGAAGTGAATTTGCAAAGATGGCTCCAGCGAAGAAGCCAGCATCAGAATGAGATTGATGGTTGGATGGCTTCCTGTGCTGCCATTCTATCACATTGTGGAGTCCTGCAGCTCAGTGGTTAAAGCACTCGCCTCGCAAGCCAGAGACCTGGGTTCGATTCCCGGCAGAGCGGAACGTTGGGCAAGTTTCCTTGCTCCACACGCCTGTTTAGCTAGCTGTAAGTAGGAATCCGGTTGTTAGTTGATAAGCGAATTTTTCCGGGGTAATAATTTCTTCCAATAAAAAATAATAAATTGGTCACTCAATCCCTGACTTTGTGGGACACTGCTGTGCCCAATTGGCTGCCACGTTTCGCCCACCTTACAGTATATTCTGTGAAGAAGTTTGAGATGTCTCAAAGACGTGATAAGGCACTATATCAAATGCAAGTATTATTATTAATGATGTATTAGAAGCCAGGTAAATAACTGCTTCCCAACACTGTTTAAATTTTAGCTTCAAACATTTTAGTAAATAATTTAATTTTGAAGGTTCAACACTCCACTCTGAAAATTCAGTCCTGCTTCATCCATTAATGGGCAATCCACTTAGCCCCCATTCTCTGGAATTCTGAGTGTCAGCTTAGTGCAGTGGTAGCGCTTTCGCCTCTGAGTTAGAGGGTTGTGGGTTCAAGTCCTATGTCGAGACTTGAACTCACATAATCTTAGATGACGCTCCAATGCAATGCTGGGGGTGTGGTGGCTACATTGTTGGAGGTGCAATCCTTCAGATGAGACGGTAAACCAAGGCTGGCTGTTAGGTGGAAATTAAAGATCCCATGGCACTATTTGAAAAGAGAAGGGAGTTTCTCCCAGTGTCTTGGCCAACAATTCCCCAAATAAAATTGGTGACTCACATTGTTATTTGTGGGAGATTGCTGTGTAATTGTGCTGCAGCGTTTGCCGATAAAACACACAGTCACTCCATTTAACAGTATATCCTGTGAAGTGCTTTGAGACGTGCTGCCCTGATGAGGCGCTATACCAAATGCAAGGATTATTATTTTATAGCTCTCCCTGAATCCCTCCACCTTACACCCTTCCTCTCTGCTTTCAAAGCTAGTGTAAAACCTCTTTAACTGAGTCTTCTCTTTCCCCACTCCCCCCTATGATCTTGTTGGATATGTTACTATTTTGAGTAAGTCCATATTTATGGTAAAGAAAGTTGATTTGGATTTTATATTGGAAATTTAAATTCTGCATGTTTGTGGTGAGTAGGGTTATAGTCCTGACCAGCAGAGGGAGCCTGTAAACCACTTTTTTCTGTCTTGATGATTTGCGACTTTTGAAGGCACAGAAAGGGTAAAGAACCTCATCCACACTGTTGAAGCCACAGTGGTGAGATTTTCTACACCCCAATTCCCACACATAGTTCGTTAATGTTTATATTATATTGTGTGTCATAATTATATGCTCGGTGACTCTGTGCTTCCACCCAATAGCAACCCCGTCCTCATCTGGCTTCATTGGCTCCACTTCCTCCAGGTTGAGTTTAAGATCCTCGTCTTCACTTTCAAAACCCTCAGAGTATAAACAACACAGTTGGATTAAGTGGCCTGTTTCTGTCCTGTTTCATCCTACGTAACGCTATACAAGTAAGTGTGACAGCCCGGCTCTAGTGTCCATCTGAACTTGGTTTAATGACTCATCCGAAGGGCAACACCTCCGACAATGTAATACTCCCTAGCACTGCATTGGAGTATCGACCTAGACTATGAGCTCAAAGTCCCGACATGGGACTTGAACCCACATCCTTCTGATTCAAGAAAAGGGAATCAACATCTAGGACTGGTTAATGGGTAGGGTTGTGGAGGCCAGGATACTGGAACACAACACCACAAAACAATATATATTACAATATCACAATTATAACAGCAAAAGGATAGAGCGGGAAGATGTTACAGCCCTAAGAGACACAAAGGGGATTGAAAAAGCGCATGAACAGGCAACCGTAAACATATCAAACCTTGGGCAAGTTTCCTTACTCCACATATCTGATAATAATCCCTCAAGAAAAAACCCAATAATAAATTGGTCACTTCAATCCTCGTCTGTTTGTGGGACACTGCTGTGCACAATTGTTTGCCACGTTTTGCCAACAAATATACAGTCAATTCACTTTACAGTGTATTCTGTGAAGTGCGTTGAGACACTAGGGGATGTGATAAGGCGCTAAATCAAAAGTATTATTATACTTCCTGGCAATTTTTTAATATACTTGTATGTTGGAGGGACACTAACAATCTGCCCCCAACATCCAGCAAACATTATTTGAAGTCCAGGATTTTTAATGTAACTAAGGCCCAGGTTGTTGATAGCTGAAGGGGCTGAAAACCAAGAAATCTCCACGATGGATGAACTGTTCCTGACGGTACTTAAAGAGACAAGTACTGCAAATTTGATGATGTAATAGGATTGTCCAATTATAACCACACATTGTCTAAATGACTACATCTTGCAACAAGAAGAATTTCTTGCTCAAATTGCTCTTTAGACCATTAAAAAAATGCAATGAAAAAAGACTATTCAGTTCATCAACTACACTCCTTTCACAGCCACACAAAACTTACTCATCACTCAATTCACTTACCTTCTTGCATTCGTCTGTCAAATAGGTTTGTATTGATACCTCAAATTAAGAGGTAATTGACCACAAACAGCAGAATATTTATCTAACCCCACACGTCCAGCACACAACCCTCGTACTCTCCCTCCACAAGTAATATCACCTCACCCTCTGCTTACCTAGCAGCCCGCAAACCATTGACCTGCACATTTCTTCTGTTCATGCATCAAATACCTTCACTTTGCACCTTCTCTTTCTCTTCAAAATCCCTAATCATCCTTTGAATACCTTCTCTTTTTGACTAATGACATGGAATCCGTAATGTCTGTAATAATGTGATAACCACTTGATCAGGCAGATTTATCAGATTGGTCAGGGCAAAACGTTGGGCAAGTTTCCTTACTCCACATACACACACACGCCTCTGTTTACCTAGCAGTAAGTACGAACCTGATTGTTAGTCACTTGGTGGACCACTTTCCAGCGGTAATAATTCCTTAAATAAAAACCAATAAATTGGTCACTTCAATCTCTGACTGTTTGTGGGACACTGCTGTGCGCAATTGGCTGCCGCTTTTTGCCCACAAAATATGCAGTCACTACACTTTATGGAGTGCTTTGAGAGGTCTCAAAGACGTGATAAGGTACTGTATCAAATGCCAGGATTATTATATTAATATTTAACGTTGAATGTGAAAGACAGCACCTCAGACAATACTGTGCTGGATTTAAAGCTGGAACCTTACTTATTTCGGGCTAGTTTACATTCGTTCAAATTTCTTTTCTTTGACACCAAAACAAGGTTTTAGAGAGCAGTAATGTTGATTTGCCAGGTATTTTGCATTGCCTTGCCAATTGTGCTTATTTGAAAAGCATTACCAGAGTTGGATTAGCCTCTACATGAGGGACTAGATAGCAGAAACCCATCTGTTTCATAGTATTGCTTAAATGACCCGCTGTGCTGGATAGTTCACTGGACAATTATAATAGTACTCTTTATTGTGGTTGAGGATTTCTGCCAATTAGATGTTTCTATAGTGCAAGAACTTAAGTGACATAATTTACCAAAGACATGTAAAGACAAAGGAGATGAGAGAAAGGAATAGATATTGTGACCCAAGACAGAAAGAGCAATAATGAAGAAGGAAGTGAAACCAAGACACAGTGAGAAGAAATAAAGAGAATGGAAAGAAACCACAGAAAAATCAAGGAAACTGCAGTCAGGTCATAAGAGAGCAGACACAAAGTAAAAGAACAATGAGATGCTAAAAGGAAACAGAAAGGGGGCACAAAAAGACACATTTTCTGGACAGGACTTTGAGGTATTTCAACGTTATAGGCACTAAATTAAATGCAAATAATATTATTTTTACTGTTTGCCATGTTGGACTTGGACTGGACAAGTTCTGTTGACAGGGATAGTTGAAGTAGATGAGTTGGGGAGAAGCTAATTACTTAGGAAAAACTCTGGGCTATTAACTTCTCTGAGCTTGAATTTTTGAAGGAACTGGCTAACTTTCTTGTGGCAAGTCTTCAATTTACTGTTATGGGTTGCTCAGTACCTGACCTTCAGCAAATATGGTGTTGAACAAATCTGCCTCACTTATTGAACTCTGGCACATCATCATCCTGTCCTTCTCTTAAGGGGATTAGGGGTTAATGTTACAAACAGATTTGCTTACGTTCTAGTAGCCCTCAGAGCCTAACAATGACTCATGCAGCACTAAGCTGACTTGTATCTCTGGCGAGCTGATAACAGGGTCTTTCATATTGGGACTTAGTGTGGATGTAGACTTCCTTGTCCTTTTGGTTACCTGATATTCCCCATCCACCAACTTTTATACTTTTTGGCCATTGCTACAGCACATCTTTCATTAAAACTTGGGCTGAAAGCCAATGTCAATGTTTAGTTGCTTGGAGGGGACGTGCTGTTTTGCAATTCTAGATTATAATCTGCTTGGCATGAGACCAGGTGAAGTTTGGATCGTCTGACTAGAAGATGGGATGCCAGCTACTTGCTACTTCCTGCTTGAGACCATTCCAATTGGCTCTGTCCTTCAGCCAGTCCTGTGCTTAATTGGGAATATGTCAATTTCCTTTGTTGAATGTTTCAAGCAGCTTAGTCTACAAGCCACTGAAAATATAATACTTGCATCTGATCCTTATACCTTATCACGTTGTCAAGATGCTTCAAGGCACTTCACAGGATATACTGTAAAGTGGAGTGACTATTTTGTAGACGAATGTGGCAGCCAATTTGACCACAGCAACATCCTATAAATATCCATGGAATTAATGACCAATTTAATTTGGTGGGTTGTGGACCTTGACACTGGGAGAAACTCCCTTTTCTTTTTTGAATAGTGCCATGGAGATTTTTTGAATAGTGCCAAGAGTTGTACAGTATTTTATTCTGTTAGCATTGCGCTAAAAAGGTTTCCATTTAAAATTCCAGTTTGAAAAATTGCTTGTAAGGAGAATTTTTGCCCTCAGGGACAGGAACACTGGCTGATTTTCCACCTTCGCAACTCTTGAGCATAATTGTAGGACCTCCACCACCACCTCACTTCAGATCACAAAACTCAACATAGGCTGCATTCGTTTTAAAGATTGTGAAAGATGCGAATGGAGAATAATCCTAGTGAGTCCCAGAATTTTACTTGGCGTGAAATGCCTGTCAATACCCCACTATGGATAGTTTGGAATACATATACCTTAGTTTAGCGTTAATCAACAATAGATAGATATTTTCCTTTACTTTCAATATGTATGCTGTTATTACTGGGATAGGGATTCTTCCTATCAGCTCATGTTAACCCTGCAAGCCAAAGCTGTAACGGGTCAGGTGGTCATAGCTGGACAAGCAGTGGGAAAGCTTGCAAAATGCTGTTGTTGCTCAAAAGAAGTAAAGTTGTTGGACAGGATATATGTTCTTACATTTCCATGTCCTTTTCCACCGATATTGGTCGCAGTACTGAAGAGATTTCTATTCTTTGAGTTGATTATTCGAAATGGATGCTTCCAGAGATTTTAGCAAATTATCTGGTTAACTCTCCATTTCTCCAGACTGAGTGACTCCCACCCGCTCCTTATAATTGGTTTGCATTAATGTGTAATGAGTATTGGTGGAAAGTGCAACAATAATAATAATCATAGCATTTGAAATGGCGCTTTTCATATCTTCTAGACATTTCAGAACTGTAAAATGAATTGACTGTATATTTGTGGGCAAAACGTGGCAGCCAATCATGCACAGCAGTGTCCCACAAACAGTTATGGATTGAGTGACCTAATCATTATTGATTTTTTTTGAGGGATTATTATCCCTGGAAAAACAATGCGCCAATCGATTAACAACCAGGTTCCTACTTACTGATAGCTAAACAGAGGCATGTGGAGTAAGAAAACTTGCCCAATATTTCACCCTGCTGGGAATCGAACCCAGATCTCTTGCTTGTGAGGTGAGTGGTCTAACCACTGAGCTACAGGACTGAGAAGTAAGAGGCAAAGCTCCATGGGGCACCTGGGAACGACAAATGGTAGAGTTAAGGATTGAATTATCCATGGCTACCTCTATTTCTTGGTTCCAGAAGGTTTAGTTACTTCAAGGCTGTAACCTACTGCAGCGACACTCTCCTGCCGACCCCACCACGATGCAAACTCGGACCTGCTGCATGGCCTCTGCCCTGCCGTTGGAGGACGTGAAAGGGTATGACCTCAAAGCCCAGATTAGCAACAACTCTCCAGGAAGATAACATCTCAAAGCCCTTGACAGAGACTAGAGCGGCTAAGGTGAGAAATGGAGGAGGGTAGGTGGTACAAGTGTTTGGTGGAAATTTTTTATTTTTTTTTTAGCTGTCACGGCGACCAATTTGTAGTTTGGTGGCGTCCACGTCCCACCACCCGGCCCGGCCCACCATCGGCTGTCGGGCCTTCAGCCTCACCGCCCTCTCACTCTGGTACTGCATCCCGGTCCCTTTGCCTTGCTCCCTCCCTTGCCACCGTCAAGACGCATCTCAAGACTCTCCTCGTCCCACTGTCTTCGGCCACCCTCCCCCCCCCCCTCCCACCCAACCCAACCCTCCCCCCCTCCCAACCCTCCCACCCAACCCTCCCCCCTCCCTCCCCCCAACCCTCCCCCCTCCCACCCAACCCTCCCACCCACCCAACCCTCCCTCCCACCCACCCAACCCTCCCCCCCACCCAACCCAACCCTCCCCGACCTCCAACCCCTCCCGATCCCAACCCCCAGCTCGGATCCAAATCCCTGACCTTCCTTGGGACGTCCTCCCGGACGTGAAAGGCTCTGCACAAACGCAATCTGTCGCTGCTGTTCTTGTTGTCCAATTAGCCGCACCATCCGCTTTCCCGCATTGGGCCACAAAATACACACAACAATGTGGGGAGAGGGGGGGGGGGCGGGGCGCCGAGGGGGGGGGGCGGGGCGCCAAACAGGGGGCGGGGCGGTGTGGAGAAACCCGGCTCAGCCCTCCGGTCGGATGCCTTTCGCCGTCTAGTGCGCGTGCGTGCTGACGTCATCGGCAGAGTGGCGGGCTTTTCGCAAACGGTTGTCCGTTCAACGGCCGCCGCGCGAGACCAACCGTCACCCACAGGTAGCCAGCGCGAGCGGCCCGTTCTCTCCTCCCCCCCCACCCCCACCACCCCGCCCCGCTCACCCGGCACACAGCGGCCCAGCCATTTCCCCCCCGGGCTCAGAGCGACGCATTCCTCCCCTCCCCCCCGGGGCTCAGAGAGGCCCCTTGCCCCCCAGGGCTCAGAGCGGCCCTCCTCCTCCCCCCCCCACCCCCGGGGGCTTAGAGCGCGAGTCGAAAGGAACAGGAAACACCGTACACAACTCGGGCCTTTTCGTTCAACAAAGCCCCTAACCCACCAGCCCCTCAAGCGTTGTGGCGGGTTGTCGTATTTATTATTATTATTATTATTATTATTCGGAGAAACGAGAAAGGGTTTTCATTTTCGAGCATCGACTCGCGTTAAAAGCACCGAAGAGTTTCACCGAAGGTCGTCCTCTTGTCAAGTATGTAGTGACTGTGTCGATCAGTGCGGCGGCCATTGCACTCAGCAACAAAATCCATAATAATAATAATAATAGTCCTTGCAGTTGATATAGCGCTTTTCACGTCGGGAGGACGTCCCAAAGCGCTTCACAGAACACACTGTAAAGTGAATTGACTGTATATTTGTGGGCGAACGCAGCAGCCAATTGCGCACAGCAATGTCCCACAAACAGTCGTGGATTGAAAATGACCAATTTATTATTGTTTTTGGTTTTGGAGGGATTATTATTAGGCTCTGTGTGGAGTAAGGAAACTTGCCCAAGGTTTTGCCCTGACCTGCCTGGGATTGAACTCAGGTCTCTCGCTTGCAAAGCGAGTGCTCTAACCACTGAGCTGCAGGACTCCTAAAACAGCTGTGAAGCGAATAGTCTGATGCACCTTTCACACCAGGAGAGACGTCACAAGATAATACCGTAACGTGTAGTGACTTGTGTGTGTGTGTGTGTCTGTCAGCAAATGCACTGTAATGTCCCACAAATAGCCATGGGGTAAATGACCAATTTCACTTGGTGGATCCTAGCCCCGGACGCTCGGAGAAACTCCCTATTCTTTTTGAATGGTGCCGTGGGATCTTTAAAGTCCATTTGAAAAGGCGAATGGGAACTCGATTTTAATGTCTCATCTGAACAATGGCACCTCCAAAAAAAAAAAAGATGCACGCTCGCCACAACACTGCGTTATTCTGGACTGACACTCCCATGTAAGTTCAAAGAACTGACTTGGGGCTTTAGACCACAACCTCTGACTCGGAGTGCTACCGACTGAGCCAGACTCATGCACCAAAAGATCAGTTTTATAATAAACATTTTTTTACCTTTTCTGGTGAGTTTATAAAGTGCCAGTGTCTTGAAGTGCTTTGCAGATTGTATTAATTCTTGCATTTGGTGAAGTGCCTATAAAGTCAATGTTGCTTCATAGTAATTACTGTTTCTCAAACGCTCCGCCTGCTGTCATTGCCCCCTCCTCAAAAAAACACCTCATGATCCTCTAAACTCTCCCAACTACTGGACCATTTCAAACCTTATCTATAGTTCTGGAACGCATTGCTGCCTCACAACTTCTGGGGACCCTAGAATGTGGGATTGGGGTACTGCTGGAGTTTAAGTTGCCAAAACGAAGTAGCTTGCCATTTAAAAGCATTATCTGGCAAGTTCCCCGATGCTTGCCAGCTGGCTGCCTGCTGCTTGTCTGGATCGGATCACCCGAGGACTTTGACAGGAGCTGAGTGGGAAGATTTCCTGTCCCCAGTCTGCCAGTTAAGCGTGGTGATGGGTTTCTGCATGCTGATTGTGAAAATTGGCTGCGCCATTTGGTTACTTCACTTTCAAGTAACTTTGTTAAATGTTTTTTGAGACATTTTGACTAATAAGAGAGAGAAGGGGAGGACTTTTGCATGGCTATGGGAGGGAGCGGGGGAGTGGGATTGATTTGGATAGCTCTTTTAAAAGAGCCGCACACACAATGGGCCAAATGGCCTCCTTCTGTGGTGTATGATTCTATGAAGAGCAAGTAATTCAAGTAGAATGATATATTACCAAGTCTCCACCAGTCATACTCATGGATTAGAAGTTAGATGACATAAAGATCTCCACCACGGTGGATGTTTGTCAAAAGGCTGTTGAAGAAATTCTGAATCTTGAGTGTCAACTCAAGACTGTTGGGAAATGTTACTTGAAGTGTGGACTTCAATATGTGTTTATTATATTAAGGTTCCTTTTGTGAAATTACTAATAAGACGCATACAATTGTGTAGTTCTGGTGTGGGTGTTTTTTTTATTAATTATTTTTCATGCCTTCATCACCTCCAGGCTCGACTATGCAAACGCCCTGTTTGTCGGCCTTCCCACGTCTCCCTCCACAGGCTGCAGATAATCCAGAACTCTGCAGCCCGTGTCCTCTCCCGCACCAAACTCCGTGACCCCATCTCCCCCATTCTCGCCCAACTCCATTGGCTTTTTATCCTTCAAAGGATCCAGTTCTATTCTAAATGATTATAGGGGAATCTATATTCCAACAGAGAGCCTTCAGCCACTCTGCTCCCAACCTCTATAATTCCATTCTTTAATCACTACGCCTCGCCCCTCCTTAGCCTCCTTCAAGTCCCGGTTCAAGACCCTTCTCTTTGACCATTCCATCGGTCACCCCCTTTTCCCTCTCCTCCCTTCTCCCTGCTATACAAATGTAATCTTGTTGTTATTGTTGTTCCCCTCTATTAATAAAGTTATGTCTGGCATATTCTTTGGTTGATCAGCGCTTCAATAATAACTTGAGATGTTCTTGGTATTGTAGAGGTGTTGTGAGGAAACCTGGTATGATTAAACATACCAGCTTTTCCCCCTTACATTTGTGTGCTTTCTCCAACAACAACAAGATTACATTTGTATAGCGCCTTTCACGTCAGGAGGCGCTGGACAGTGTACAGCATTTCAGACCCGAGCTGGAGTCAGTGGGGAGAAACAATAAACCTTTGTCATTTTTTATCTTTCCAGATCTTTGCTTTTGAATTTCCAAAATGGCAATGCAAGCACGGTCAGAGGAGACTGCTGAAGTTGAAGAGGAAAGCTTTGGGCCGCAGGCAATATCTCGCCTGGAAGTAAGTATATTTTAAATATTTTGCTATGATGTAACTTGGTGCCAAGGGATCTGTAACAAGAACAAGCTGTCTCTTTATAGCTGATGGTTATAGATAGCACGAATATTTGGGTGAAATGGGTTGGTATGGGATACTAATGGGCAAATTAGATTTCGTTGAAGCCTTAGCAGTGGAATTCTGTTTTGTCACTTGTTGAATGTTAGCCTGATGGTAACAACATGCTTCATCACAGATTGATAGGATTTGGGTTTTATAGCTTCCTTTCTTGCAACTCATTTTCATCCAAACCATCCTTTTGCTTATGGTTTGTTGGAAGGGAAGGTTGCTGTTAAGCTATGAGCAAAATGAAAGCCGGTCTGAGATATAAGGATAATGGATTAGAAGTTGGGGGACATAATATAAATTCCTATCAAGTGAATATGACTAAATAATGTGCCAGTACAGATTGGACTGGGAACAGAAAATGGGAGGAATTTGCTGTATTTATGGAAATGTTCCTTGCTTGAGAGTGATTATTTAAATTGCATGCTAACTACATTAAGCATAGTTCTAACCATGTCTACTATCCAATGCAAGTTTCTTCCAACACTAACCATGAAACCCTGTTTTGGGGGATTAGTTTTTTATCTTATGTATGTAAATACAGGATGACCTAATCTAGTCTGGTTATCTTTTCTGCTACTGATTTGCGCTGCAGCTTCAGGAGTTGTGTTGAGAACACAAAGTTAATCCGTTCCACCTGCAAAATAATGGGCTGACTTCCTGACTCTGATTGCCAAGAATTTCATAAAGAGATTTGCCTCAGAACTATTGTAATAACAAAATTAAAGTTTTGAAAATCGTAAATATCCTCAGGGTTAAAGTGGACTTGTTGTTAATCTTGCAGTTTTTCAAGAATATCTTACTGTGTAACATTTAGAGTCTCTTCCTAATTAAATATAAAACTATTTTTCTGTAGTAGTGTATCTTGTTACATGTACATATTTGACTTATTTAATTTTTGTGAATGTTTTGGTTCATTTAAGCTTGAACCACGCATAATTTAGTTTTTTGACCGTATAACTTTATTAATAGAGGGGAATACAATTTGGACAGTTTAATTTTAATGGTTTGTGCTTCCTGGTGAAAATTTGAAAGGTTCGGGAAGCAATAACTCGTGGGGAAAGGTGAAGGAAAGATGATTTAAGAAAATCTGTAAGAAGAGGGAATGAGTTATTCATTGTTCCAAATGCCTTCTGTTTTAACTTGTTCAGTGCCTTGGGATGTCCTCCCTACGTGAAAGGCACTATACAAATGTAATCTTGTTCATGAGTAACTTTACAGTGCTGTTCTCATTGGGGTGAGAAATGCAACTAAATACTACTTGTTGGTGAAAATGAACTTTTTCTAACCAGAGGAAGGAAGCATCAATGCCATAGTTTGTTTCATCAGCTTTTTATATTCAGAACAGGTGTCGTAATAACGGCTGGACAATAACCTTGGAATGTAACACCGTTGCAGATTAGAAAAGTGTTAGCATTAAGTGTGATTCACAGATTTATACGTTTCATAGAATCTTACACCACAGAAGGAGGCCATTCGACCCATCGTTCCTGTGTTGGCTCTTTGAAAGAGCTATCCAACTATTTCCACTCTCATGCTCTTACCCCATAGCCCTGCATGTTTTTCCTTTTCAAGTATATATCCAGTTCCCTTCTGAAAGCTACTATTAAATCTGCTTCCACCAACTACCCTTTCAGGCAGTGCATTCCAGATCGTAACAATTCACTGGGTAAAAAATCCTTGTTTCCCCTCTGGTTCTTTAGCTAATTATCTTAAACCTGTATCCTCTGGTTACCGACCCAGCACCCCCAGAGGAAACAGCTTCTATCTACTCTCCCATAAACCCTCATAATCTTGAACACCTATTAAATCTCCCCTCAACCTTTTTTGCTCTAAGGAGAACAATCCTAGCCTCTCTAATCTCTCCACATAACTGAAATCCCCCATCCCTGGTATAATTCTGGTAAATCTCCTCTGTACCCTCTGCAAGGCCCTGACGTGCTGCCTGAAGTGTGGTGCCCAGAATTAGACACAATACTCCAGCTGAGGCTTAATCAATAATTTATAAAGGTTTAGTGTAACTTCCTTGCTTTTTGTACGCTATGCCTCCATTTATAAAGCCAAGGATCCATATGCTTTTTTTAAACAGCTTTGTCAACTTGTCCTGCCACCTTCAAAGATTTGTATCTGTGAACCCCCAGGTCTCTCTGTTCCTGCACCCCATTTAAATTGTACCATTTATCTTATATTGCCTCTCCTCATTCCTCCTTCCAAAATGCATCAGTTCACACTACTCCGCATGAAGTTCCATCTGCCATGTGTCTGCTCATTTCACCAGCCTGTCTATGTCTTCCTGCAGTCTGCTACTATCCTCCTCACTGTGACAAGTTTTGTGTCATCGGCAAACTTTAAAATTGTGCTCCCTATACCCAAGTCCAGGTTATTAATATATATCAAAAGAGCAGTGGTCTTAAACTGACCTTTGGGGGACATCACTACATACCTCCTTTCAGTATGAAAAACAACTGTTCACTCCTCTCTGCTTTCTGTCTCCAGCCAATTTCGGATCCATGCTGCCAATGCTCCTTTAATCCCATGGGTTTCAATTTTGCTAACGGGTCTATTATGTGCCGTAGGTGTGCCTATTTCATTGAGCAGGGGCAGAGGAGAGGCATTTAGGTAATAGTAATTGCTGTAAATCAATTTGCAACGTTGACTTGATAGGCACTGTATCAAATGCAAAGATTATTATGATCCGCAAAGCATTTTAAGACATCGAGTTTATAAGCTCAATATCAAAGTGAGTCAGCCTGGTTCAGTTGGTAGCACTCATTCAGAAGATTGTGGATTCAAAACCCTAAATCTTGTATACCTGTTAACTGGTTCCTTCAAGAATCTGTCCAATTCCTTTAAGGATTTACTGCCTGGTATTCTTCTGTCTAGCTGCATTTGATCCCTTTTCCCTTTGAGTGATTAATATTAATTTCGCTAGGTGGCAGTCTGTTCCTTAAATTGATTCTAAATATGTAGGCATTTTTTTAGCTTGTGTGTCCTGGTTTCTTAACCTGAGCTCTGTGTTCATTTTACAGACCTTCAATATTTTATAATGTAAATGTTGGTTATATTTTAATTTCTCTGCTCCTAGATATATTTTCCATGTAGTTTGTATTTCAAAATTTGGTATAGTTTCTTGCAGTTCTATTGCCCCCTATGTTTGGTGCAGCACAGGGAAACAAGATGTTTCTAAATGCATTACAAAGCCACTATCTTCCAGACCAAATGTTCAATTAGTTGTTCCAAAAAATATGTTTGTTACTTTGTCATGAAGCCAGGACTGAGATTATTAGCTTATCTTGTTGGGAACTGTTGAAGCATCTTACCTCTAAATTAATTTGTAATATAAATAGAGCAATACCCCCACTGATAGGTAATTTAGTAATGTGAGGCATAAATTGAGGATTACCATTAGAAGAAAAAGAGAGATTGGAAGATTTGGATTTTTCACCGAATGTTACTAAATATGAAATATCTTACCACAAATGATTAAGTCCCTAACAACATACAAAAGGGAACTGGATATATAGTTGAGGAAAAATAATAAAGGGTTTGGGGAAAGAAGAGGAGTAGATGGCTCCAGTGAGAGAGCGAGCAGGGAGATACGATGGGCCAGATGTCCTCCTCTGTTCTGATACTATGTTGCAGGGTATTGAATTTCCCCAGCTCAGATACATCAGAGTTTTCACCTGCAGTTATATGATAGATTTTCCCAGTTCAATGTGAAAATTGTGGCAAACCGATGTAAACTTTACCTGTCTTACAAGTCCTTGCAGTATATTGATGTGTTTCTTTCTTTGGATAATGAGCAGTGTTCAAGAGTTGAGATTTCACATTCTCTCCCAGGAGGTTTCTCTACAAAATGCAGTCACTAAACGTTTTGAGACTCAATTGAGCTATATCAAGGATTATTATTATTAATAATATATCGTGCTTTATTCATCTCAACTCTGAACTATGCACAATCAGCTTGTTCTTGACTATTTGGAAAAGTTTCCAGAAACAAACAATGGTATTGTACAGGTATTGTATGAGTAAAAGTAAATGACTCGCTCCAAAATGGTAACTAGCAAATGGATAGGAAGGGGGGAAAAAGGTGAAAGTGCAATGAACATGAACCTACAAATGAAGTGAACCAGAACAAACTGACCTTGGTAATACCCTGAAACAGTAACTTGCGAACCGAATAAGGTAGTAAAGGATAAATAATTTATATCACAATGTCTTAGGATGTGGTCTATGAGGATTGGCTGAGGCAATGCAGGCAAAATTTTAAAAAAAATTCTCACCCATGCTGCGACTAGCCAACTAGGTTATACAGTAGTTGCATAACACAACAAAGGGTCCACAACTGTTTGTATTACTGAATATTGTGTTTTTATTTGCTTTAATAACTTTTTGTATGTGAATGTTGAAGAGGTCATTGTCTATTTAAAAGTCATGGTGTATTTGTATTTACTTTCAGCAAGGTGGCATCAGTGCTAATGATGTGAAGAAGCTGGAAGAGGCTGGTTACCATACAGTGGAGGCAGTGGCGTATGCTCCAAAGAAGGAACTGCTCAACATAAAAGGCATCAGTGAAGCCAAAGCAGAAAAGATATTGGTAAGGGTGGGAGTAAACTAAAATCCTGTAATTTCTGTAATCAGTCTGCTAGCTGGTGGCACTTAACTAATGAGAAATGTACCTTGCTCCCTTTCTTTATCCTTTGCAGATATCTAATTTTGAAAACCATAGGAGTCCTTAACAATTAACTACAAAAAAAATATTTTTAATCATTGTATTCAAACATAATGTAAATTTCAAGTTTTAAGTTCTTGGCCAGATGTGTCTGCCTCCCTTCTTTCTCAAAATCTAACTGGCAGCTTGAATGGTATTTCATCTGGAATCAACCTTTTCAACATTGTTGAATGTTGGTAATTTTCAACAGTATTTTGTTGAGCAATTGTAATCTGTTTACAGCTTGAGAAAGCAGCCTGCTGTTCAGTCATACATTTTTAGAGAATAAGAAGTGTACCTTAAATGGTAGTGTTCTTAGTCTTAGTGTTGTTGAGGAACAGAGCGATCTAGGGGTGTAGATATCTTTAAAGGTAGACATGCATGTATAAAAGGACATGAAAAAGCAAATGGGAACACATTCAGTATGTCACCAGTGTAATGTACAAACGTTTATTGCCTGGAGTTTTGCAACTGCTATAAATTTGAAATCATTAAATGTAAAGTTTGACCCAATGGTGATAAAACTGCTATCATAAAAAGGAGACCTTTAACACTGCAGGTATTTGCTTCCTGGTGTTTTGATTGGTTCACTTATATTACAAATTGGTTCACCTTTTTCCAAGTCTCAGATGACAAGTTTCAGCACAGTTGGAGACTATTTGGTCCATTGTACCTGCTTTACTAACTTGCCTTTTTATTAATTCATATTTCATACTCTATTCCTATATGCCTTAATGTTTTATGAAAGTGCTTAACAAGTTCCCTATTGAATGATCCAGCCTCAATAGTCATTTGTAATAATGAATTCAATACCCTAGTTTCCTCTCAAATAAATATTTACTAATTTCTCTCCTAGTTTTCCAGCTAACAATCCTGACGTATCCCAGTCTCCCCTGCTCCAGTGGAAAAAGCTCCACTTTTCATACTTGTATTGAATATATAGTAACTTCTCTATCTCTCGCGTCCTTCCTGTAATGAGGAACCAATATTCAACATCATATTTGAAAAGTTCAGTACCTTGTTGCATCTTTCAAAGCCCTTTTTGATTGTCATTGTTCCAAGTTATGCAGTTAATGTATTTAGTAGTGTTTTGATTGCATGGAAAATTATTTTCATCAGCTACTGGGAGTAACCGTTGGTTTTCAGAACTGTCAGATTGCAAGTAACATTAGACATGTAAATGTTTCTCTGCTGCTCCAAGAAGTGATTCTTGGAACATGCCGAAGAATATTTTATTCTTTATAGGTCCAAAATTTTGCTGATTATTGTTGCATAATAATTGTTGGCAAGAGGTCAGGTGAGTTTTAAGAGAAATGCTGTTGATAAATGGTGCTTTTTTCAGTCCAGTATAGTTTGTATCCTGTGGAAAATTAAATATCAGGAACTTGCTCAAACGTTTTGGGTGGGATGCAACTCACTAATTTTAAAAATTACATTGTTGTCATTTAGTTGTAGGCCACCTGCCAACACTAATTGCAGGAAATTTAACAATAATTTTTTGCATCCTTTAATTTAAAAAATGATCATGTATGCTACAACTTAAAAATCTTATTCGCTGACGTTCCAGTGGAAGTCATTGAATTGTGGGATTCATGTGATGAAGCTGACGTTAATTGCTTCAGAATTTAAAAGGTACAGTAGAGTCCTGTTATAACAAGGTCCATAAAATCCTAACTAATGTTTATAACTAGGTGAGATTCCTGGTTAGCATTTCAGTATCATGAAATCACTGATCACATAATCAGCTTTGTCACTTCACTTGCACAGAGAGACTGCTTATTTCCTGCACTTAAAAGTGTCCGAATCCCATTTTATCAGGTTGTTGCCAATGTTGCTTCCTACGGGCTGGCACATGTACAGAGAAAACAGTTGGTCTTTCATTACGCAACCTACCCTACTAGCGAGAGTAGATTAGATTGGCGCTGTTTTGATGCGCAATCAAACCTGCCTGTTTGAGTAGGTCAGATTGTGCATTGTGGCTTCCTGCACGTGCATCCACGGAAGCGCACGGGAAGATAAGTGCTCAAGGATTTGAGTGTGGCAGAGGTGGTGCCACTGGTCAAGAAGATTGCAACGGATAAGACAGGAAACTAAATGCTGGTTAAGCCTTAAATCAGTTTGGGTAAATTTCTGGAGGCAAAAATAAGGGATCAGGCTAGTGATTACTTAGATACACTTTTCATGCTAAAATGTGTTTACCACCAAGAAGCTTGCAGGAAGTTACTGGTACTTACCATCCACCTGGTGAGGGTTGTAACCTGTGCTTGTCGGATGTCAAGTTACCAACTAGTGACGATCCTCCTGGGGTGGGGGTGGGGGGTGTAAGTGAGGTCTCCTTGAAGCTCAACTGGCTCTAAGGTGGTATGTTTGGCAACAGGATGTTGGAATCGACCCCACCCTCTGTGGCGGTCTCGGTAATACTCTTCCTGAGCCAGGAGTTCTGCAGTATTCCAGGGCACTGCTGTTGATAGCACAGCCAGCCTGGCTCATCAGCAGAACGTGGAAGGGCAGACCAGTCGAATGATGAGAATTTTTAGAGAGCGATTGGAAGGATGATATAGTGTGAGATCTTCAAAGGAAGGGATGAGAACACAGTGCTGCAGATGCACTGTGACAATTGGGTTGTGGAGGGTAGTGTATGTTGTAGCAGGTTGCCAAGATGGGCAGCGCCATTAGAGGAAAGGTTTTGCCATGGATGAGCCAAGTTTCAGTGTGTCCAAGGATGGCTATTTTTGTGAAAGACAAAATCATGGATGGGGAGGGCTTTGTTTGACAGAGTGAATGTTCTGCAAGCAATGTGTGGGGGACAGGCAGTTGGGGAATTTGCTGGCTGGGTGGGGGGAAGTGGAGGAGGAGGTGTTTTGGGAAGGATGGAATGTGAATGAGTGAGGAGAGGGTTTATTCTCAGGGGACAGGTGGGCCCTCTTGGAAGACAGGCAGATGCAGCAGATTGAGTGAGTAATAATGAACAGAAAATAAAAAATATTTAGCTTTTTGTTTAAAATCCATTAAAATCCATTTGGTTGGTCTGTAGGAAACCCTAAGCATGGAAGAATTAGCCTAGAATTGGAAACCTACTTGAATTAGTGATCCTAAAAAATCTTATTAAAGTGGATTAATTTAGCAGTCAGTCCCCATTATATGGTGGTTAAGTTTGTAACATTGTACCATGGACTGGAAGAACATTATGCTTCTGCAGCATAATGTGCAGGCGTAGAAGACCTCCCAGTATCCCTGAAGTGTATATGGGAGCTGCTGCTCACTTCCTTGTTGATATCACGGTGATACAGGTGATCTGACAACCCAGAAGTGCTGATGGGCAGCTGTAAAACACAACACATTAGAAAACAAGATACAATTTTATGGACACAAACCACCACGTTATAATGGGTACCTGCTGTATTTCCGCTGCATACATTAAACCATTTTTCTCCAATATGTGAATCTTCTGTCAGTCTTAGTCTTGATGTACATGTGACTTTTGTAATACCCAGAATACATTGATTGGCATTTAGTGAATGTGCAGTACTTTGGAATAAAATTGTACCCTTCTTGTGGTAAAATTGTGGAGTCCTGTAGCTCAGTGGTTAGAGCACTCGCTTTGCAAGTGAGAGACCTGAGTTCAATTCCAGTCAGGGCGAAACCTTGGGCAAGTTTCCTTACTCCACACGCCTAATAATAATCCCTCCAAAAAACCAAAAACAATAATAAATTGGTCATTTTCAATCTACGACTGTTTGTGGGACATTGCTGTGCGCAATTGGCTGCCGCGTTCGCCCACAAATATACAGTCAATTCACTTTACAGTATATTCTGTGAAGCGCTTTGGGACGTCCTCCCGACGTGAAAAGCGCTATATCAAATGCAAGGATTATTATTATTATTATTATTGTCAAGTGGTAGAAGGAAAAAAAAGTGCTTTTTACAGAAAGGGAGCAGATATAGTTTCAGTTCCATGTGGTGGTCTTTTTGTAAAGGAGATTTATAGCTTTTACTAACTCTTCATTCTAATCACTATGTTTGAGTTTCAATGTTTTTCCATGTGGCACAGTAGCTGTACAGTTCTTGTGTTTTTTCCCGATTAGGCTGAAGCAGCTAAACTAGTGCCAATGGGTTTCACCACAGCCACAGAGTTCCACCAGAGGCGTTCAGAAATAATCCAAATCACGACTGGGTCAAAAGAACTTGACAAGCTCCTGCAAGGTAGGTTTTCATGTTTCATTCCAATAAACATCTTGAATTTCCATGTATAGATGGGATGCGTGGAATTCTGTTTGGTTTGGATGCTTTTAAGCATGCTAACGGATCATGTGTCAGACACCCAGCTGACCAAAAAAAAATTGATGGGATTCTTGCCACTTAGCTTCTTTAGCAAGCCATGGCTACAGACATAAGGATGTTCTTGGTGATTTTGGGCAGGAGAGACTCAGTTTACCTAATTCTGGAGAGATTAGGTGCAGCATGTCAAGAGCCAGTTTCCACTAGAGTTTAACACTCTAAAAACACATAACAAATAATTCACCATTGAAAACACTGTCTGGCAAGCTTTCCCGCTGCTTGTCCAGCTAGGACCACCCTACGCAATAGGCATTTGGCTTGCAGGGTTAACAGGAGATGAGTGGGAAAAATTCTTGCCCCGTGTCAGCAGTCTGCCTTTCCAAGTCTGCTGAGGGTCCAGTTCAGCTCCAAGGAGACCTCTGCTTGCTTCTCTTCTAGGGAAGATAGTCACTTGTTGGTCATTTGATATCTGACAAGTGTAGGTTTGAGCCCTCACAAAGTCGATTTGTTAGGTAGTGACAAATGACATTCTGTCCATCTGCGACCAGGGCTCCCTCTGTCTCCTCATCCTCCTTGACCTCTCTGCTGCTTTCGACTCCATCATCCACTCTATTCTCATACACCACCTCTCCTCTCACCTCAACCTCCACAGCGCTGCCCTTGACTGTTTCAGATCTTACCTCTCACACCGCCTGCACTTTATCTCCTCAAACGGCTTCTCCTCTAGCCCCCGGACTGTCTTGTGCGGCGATCCTCAGGACTTTGCCTTGGTCCCCTCCTCTTCAATATCTATATGCTCCCTCTTGGTAGCATCATCCGCAGACATGGGGTCAACTTCCACATGTTAGCGGATGACACCCAACTCTACCTCTCTGCTTCCACCCTTGACACCAGGACCACTGCTGTGATGACAGAATGTCTGTCAGACATCAAGTCCTGGATGAGAGTTGAATGTCTTCAGTTGAAAGAGAGGCTCTCTTGATTGGCTTCCGTCAGTGCCTCCACACCTCAGGCACTGACAGCATCAACATCCATGGTTGCACACTCCACCTTACTAAGCCAGTCCGGAACCTTGGGATCTTGTTTGACCCTCAACTATCCTTTCTACCCCACATCTGCGCCATGACCCGCTCTGTCTTCCCCCACCTCTGCAACATCGCCCGGCTCCGACACTGTCTCATACCATAGGCCACCGAAACTCTCATACATGCCTTCATTACATCGAGGCTCGACAATGCAAACTCATTGCTTGCTGGCCTCCCCAACTCCCTCCACAGGCTACAGATCATTCAGAACTCTGCAGCCCCAGCCCCTGTCCTCTCCTGAACTAGGCTTCGCGACCCTATCATTCCCATCCTCGCCCAACTCCACTGGCTTCCCATCACACAGAGGATACAGTGCAAGATCATTTTGATTCAAAAGCCATTGAACTAATTTTGTTTTGCTTAAAATACTCTTGGGGAGACTTTAAAACAAGGCTTGAGAGTTTTCTGAAACTTGTAAGCAGAGGCTTACTGAATGAAAGTATGTATTTAAACAATTGTTGAGAAATGTTTTGTTTTCCAGAAAATGCTCTTGGCAGAAGAGGAAAAGATTAGAGTTGCATATAATATTTATAATAATAATTCTTGTATTTGATATTAGCTCCTTATGACGTTGAAACGTCTCAAAGTGCTTCTGAGGTTTCTGTGAAAAGTAGTGACTAGGCGAATATGGCAGCCAGTTTGGGTGTCGCAATGTCCTGCATACAGTCAAGTTTGAGTGTTTAACTTTAGCTGGGGGATGGTTGATCAGGAAACTGGGGGTAAGCTCCCTTCTCTTTTTGAATAGTTCTATGGAATTTTAATGTCTACCTGAAGAGGCAGATAGAACCTCAATTTAACTTCTCAACTGAAGATGGCATATCTAGTAATGTAATACATCCTCAGCAAAATGGACCTATACTGGAAGCCTAGAATACCTGGTTTCTGGTGCTAGAAAATGGCTGCTAGTCATCAGGTTACTGATGATCAATTCCTGCGCATATGAAGGATGTAATATCAACAGAGCTCACACAAAGCATGTGTGCAGCACAAGAAGTGATGTTATTGGCTCTCCCTGCACATAATGCAACTTGCGAGAAGTGATGTCGGTGGCAAGCTGTTGACCTGGACGTCAACCTTTTTTGTGCTTTGTTTTGATGTGGGGATCTGAGTTTATGGACTCGGTACCACTGTGTTTTAATGGGGTGGTCCTGTCATAAGTTGTTCCTTTTTGTAAATAGAAATTTTCTTCTGTTATGCCATACCCAATTAAATTGTTTTTTCTCTTCTATCGTTGGCAACATGTTTCAATGAAAGTACCTTATTTATGATGATTAGTCACTCCCAGTACCTTCCTACCTTCCAGTAAGATTGTTTGAACACATGTTCATGATTGGGGATGTTTGAGACTGAACATAAAACTGCTCTATTAGTTGATAGTTTCAATGCTATAGTGTTGTAACAAGTGCTTCATATGGAGAAAAACAACCAGCACAAACTTGAAGGTTTGAGTGTTCCATTTCCAACCTTTAATGTTTTACATTTTTTTACCTTCAAGTGTTCCGTCTAAGTTTACTTTATCTCTGCACTTCACGAATGAAATCCTAAATACGTTTTCCTTCTGTGATTAAAAAAAAGCGAATATAGATCGGTCACGCCATTTTATTCTTTGCTTATAATTCACTCCACCAGAAAAATGCTTTTATGAATTAATTGTTTGGAACCAGAAGTGATTGTGCTCCTTTCTGCAGACAAAAGTTCTGTTCATTTCTAATACTCTGACTATTTTGTTGCAGGTGGAATTGAAACTGGTTCAATCACTGAGATGTTTGGGGAGTTTCGCACCGGAAAGACACAGCTCTGTCATACACTGGCAGCGACATGTCAGGTAATTACGATATTTGATAATCTTCATTAAAGTTTTATATCCTTCTCTTATTTTCTACCTTTCTATTGAATTTGCTGCTTCCCCTGCCAAACTTTGCTGTTAAATTCTCTTAGTAGGCAGTAGACTTGCTAAACGCCTCACTTTTTTTAAAAAGTTAAAAGTTTGCTAATGTTTTTCTTTGTAGTTACCCATTGACCGTGGTGGTGGAGAGGGAAAAGCTATGTATATTGATACTGAAGGCACATTTCGTCCAGAGCGCCTGCTTGCTGTTGCTGAGAGGTTTGTATTAAAGCTGCGGTTGTTGAATTGTAATAGCTTTGAAAATTGTTGCAGATATAATTTTGTAAAAACTGTTTTATCCCATTCTCCTATTGACTCCCATGTCCTTTACTATTCTTATTTTTCAAGCGTTTATCTAATTACCCTTTAAAAACAACTTGTTTAACAATACTGTGGCAGAGAATTCACATTCCAATCTTCTATATAAAGATTTTATTTTCCAACCTTTTTAATTCATTTATGATTATCTGTGATGGGTGGCCTCTTGTTACTGACTCACTGAGTCCACTAAAATAGTTCTGATGTATGTTGGATTGAATGAAGTTTGAGTTAAGACTGGATCTCAGTTCTCCACAATGAATAGGTAGGCTTGTCTGGATTTGATTGCTTTAAAAATCATCGGTATAATTTTTTTTGCTATGTTCCATAATCCAGTGCATATCATTTTTTATCAATTAATCACTGTGCTGAAGTGTCATCAAGATTAGGAGTTTAAAGTCCTGTCGCAGTGCTTTTACCCAAACCTTCTGACTTGGAGGTGAGAGAGCTTCCAATGAACTGACTGATATCCACTTAATCTTTAAAGAAAACAAAATTTGTGCCAATCCATTTTCTCTATTTTAAGAAACTAGCTGGCACGCAGGGAGAGAACTGTCCGAGGCATATTTGCATTGAAACAGGCTATCATAATTTTGTTCCTTGACCAAAAATAGTAAACACAGAGATGGCAAATGCAGAGATTAAAATCTTAAATCAAAGCCAAACCTTGTATGTTTGAGTTCAAATATTGTTGAGTAAAATGGAGATTTGAAAGCACAGCAACAGTGAAATGTCAAGAACACATCCTTTCATAATGCCTCTAATAATCTTACAGGCTGGAGTTGCCATCATGGCTAAACATATATTTTTCATTGTTACATTTAGTAACCATTCTTTCCAATTGCAGTAACTGTGCAGCAAGTAATAATAATAATCCATGCATTTGATATAGCGCTTTTCACGTCTTCTGCAGGTCTCAAAGCGCTTCACAGAATATACTGTAAAGTGAATGGACTGTATAATTGTGGGCGAAATGCGACAGCCAATTGCGCACAGCAGTGTCCCACAAACAGTTGTGGATTGAAGTGACCAATTTATTATTGTTTTTTTTCTTGAGGGATTATTATCAGGCCTGTGGAATAAGGAAACTTGCCCAAGGTTTCGCCCTGCTGGGAATCGAACCCAAGTCTCTCGCTTACGAGGCGAGTGCTCTAACCACTGAGCTACAGGATTCCGTGTGAGTGTGAGAGCGAGTTCAGAGAAACAGTTTGTTGGATTCAATAATCAGCAAATCAAAATATACTGGTACCACATGACTTGTTTCCTGCTCCCTCAATCTGCCACTTTTCACCTGAATTTATGAAATGCTAGTTCTAAGGATTGGTGAAATACCATGTGACCCTGGGGACTGGCTATATTTCATGTTGGTGGCTTTAACTAAAATGATAATCAAACCACTTTATGATCTCACAGTCCCAAAGCTTTACTCCTTTTATAGTTTTTATTTTCTGCCAGGGCATTCCATACAATATGCTGGTAGGAAAATATATTTCATGGTTGATGCTCCGCAACCCTTAACATGTTCCAAACCAGTCAGATTTACATCTGAAATGCTGTACACTGTCCAGCTCCTTGGGACGTCCTACTGACGTGAAAGGTGCTATACAAATGTAATCTTGTTGTTGAGTGTCTCCATTTTGTAGGTAAATGTTGCAACTAATTTCCACATAGCAATGCCCCACAAACAATGTAATGTACAATACAGTGGAATCCACTTAACCCTGGATGCTGGGTAAATGGAACAAAACACCGGGCCCCGAATCATTTGTATTGACATCGGATTCCAGATATTCACAAGCTACTGGTATTGGCCTGTCAATCAGTGAAGGGTGGAGGAGAGGCGAAGAACAGGGGAGGGAATGGGAGGAGTCAAATTGTGATCGATTGACAGCTGGCACCGCTTTTGGAGTGCCCACAAGTGGCCCCAAGGCTGTCAATCACCTCAGTGCCGCCACTAATTGGTTCCCGCATTCCTATTCATGGGAACAGCAATGGGAGAGACGAAGCACTGTCGCTTCTCTGCCGGCGGGAAGAGGTAAGAGAACTTTGGCTAACATCGGAAGCCTCTTAAGCTGGACAAACCGTCTGTCTCCGATGCGTCCGGCTTAATAGACTTAACTGTAGTCATGTACAGTGGAAGCCTGTTCTTTTTGGTTTTGTTACAAATTCTGTATTGCAGGAAGGGTTGTGTGGTTTACTTGCTTAGCATGCTGAAGGACCGATTACTTTGCTACACACATCCTCAGTGCCAAAGAAGCACAAGGAGGATGAGTTGTAAACTTTTACGACTCCCTGAACTGAAGAATTATGTATTTCAAATTTATACTGGCATTCATAGCTGAATCACAGATGTCTGGTTTCAGTAATTCCAAGACTATCTTCTGCTCCCTCCCCCCAAACCATTAAAGTAATGATCTTATTAATATATTGATTAAATAGTTTTATAGCTGCATCTAGGTGCAGTAAGTTAGAAAACATTTGTTTCATCTCTAGGCAAGCCCATACCAAATTGTTTATCTGCTGATTGGGGATATCCTGTATCAAATAAGTTGTATTCCTGATTCTAAAAGAAACATGGTGGAAATCTAGTACAAGTAAATCAGCACCTCGAAGAGTAGCTGTTTACTTATGCTTACTTATAAATGAGTAGGAAATGTATCCCGAAAAAAAACAAATATCTTGATTTAACCTTAATTCAACAAATATTTATGTCCCACAAATAGCCGTAAGGGAATGACCAACTTTATCTAGGGGATTGTAGGAAAGGACATGGTGATATGGATATAACTGCTGATGTTTCTAATCATGCACACAACTGGTTGGAAAATATTCGTATGAAATTAATGGCTCAACAATGTGTTTCTAGGCCTCAGCCCCACATGCAGATTAATAGTGAGTTTTTTTTTATGCTTCCAGTGACACAAAGAGTAGAGCAAAAGTCAATATGTTTCAAATCTTGAGTCATTTTTCTGGTTGCTGAGTTATTTGCAGTGGTGCTGGTTCTGAGAAATATGTAAGTGGATGCTAGTGTGTGATATCTTATGTATGCAAACTCCTGAGACTATCCTGTAACGAGCATAGCTGCTAAATAAAGGTAGCAACGTGAAGAGTAGGACCTGATTAATTGCTTAGGTGACTGCTAGGAGTGCATATGTTGCTGAGGTTAACAGTAAATTCATGTTGGTAAACTCTGCCTTGAGTTAGATATGGTCATGTTCAGCAGTGCCCTCAAAATGTAAGCAAAACCTAGCATAAGTGGTGTTTTAGGAGTGCATTGTGCCATCTTCCTCCCTTAATGTGCTTTTCTGTGAAAATAACTTTAGCAATAGAATCTTTTGGGGGTAGTTTGTAACACTGCAGCCTCCTAGTTTGGGGGATAGATTTATTTCATCCTGAGGGGGTGGGGTTGCAAGCTATACATAATTTATAGCCTCATTTTCTTAAAGTGCTTTGTACACACGCACAGGGACGGTCCTTTCCTGCTTGGAGTCTTGAGTGAGTAGATCAACAACATGCTTTACTGTGTCACTGTGTGCTTTCGTGCAGAAGATTGTTTGTTATAGCGTGAGCCAAGTAAATTATAGTCCTTTCCTATGCGTGAGGGAAAAAATAACTTTTTTGGAAGCTTGGTGAGCTATTAAAAGAGGAGTGAAAGAGCTAAGAATCAGCTGGAATGACACAATTACTGGATAAATCAAAGTAATATTGAAATTGACAAGTGTCAGATTTAGGACAAGCAAGAACATTTAAAAGGAAAACTTGACTGGTTTGTTCATTGTTGCAAGAAATTCAATTTGAAATTCAAGTTAGAAATGTTTTACAGTGGAGCAAAATACTGAATATTCTTCTGCTCCTTTTCAGATGTGCCAATCTGAATCTGCTCCATGCCAAGTAGTGTAAAACATGTTTTTAATGTTGCAGTTTAACATTGAACATTGAGTTTTTTAACTGTTCGATTGCTGGCATCTCCAGAGAATCCCTGAGGTGACTGGTGGCTTATTTTAGCTTTCAGCTCACAGTTTGATCCTGAGTCAAGTACTAATTACAGTAATAATGCTACTCAGATGTAAGGAACAACTTGATTGCTATAATTTTGAACAATGAAGACTTTCTTTTTTTATAAAAAAGCCTAACACTTATTCTCAGTACTTTTTGGCTTTCTCCCTCTCCTAATTTCCTCATACATTCACGTTTTCCTCTGTTTAATTTGTTCATTCTGTACTTATTTTAACAGAAAATTAGAAACTAGGCTGTAACACTCACTGGAGGCTTAATTGTGCCCAGGCAAGATAATAATAATAATCCTTGCATTTGATATAGCGCGTTTCACATTTTCCAGATGTCTCAAAGCGCTTCACAGTATATGCTGTAAAGTGAATTGACTGTATATTTGTGGGCGAGGATAACTTATCCAACAACAATAACTTACATTTATATCCAGTAAATTCCCGATGACTCAACTGTGACTTGTCACTACCACTTAAATCATCATGCTGTCAATATCCCGGCCGCATTTACTTATGTATTTATACGTATGCCTAACTCGACATTCCGGATAACTCGTCACTGAACCCTTTCCTCTTGGAGAGACGCGTTATCAGGAGTTTACTGTCATGCCTTCCACATCAAAAGTTAAATCAATTAGTTAATTCTTAGTCTTACTTTGCAACAATATTTTTCTTTGCTCAGTGATTTTCCCATAAAACATTTTAAGGCTCTCAAACTTTTTATTTAAAGGTATTATGGCAGTCCATATCAACTTACACTGAAATAGTGCCTTTTACTTAGTTAAGGTGTTGGGTATCGGGCTCACTCAGTTGGTATCAATCTCGTCTCTGAGTCAGAAGGTTGGGGGTTCGAGCCCCACGTCTAGACTTTGAATCACAGTGCGGGTAAACAGTGCAGACTGACAATCCAATGCAGTGCTGGGAGCATAAGGATGGAGATTATTAGCTTTTAGAGCCCGCTATAGGAAAGGATACAGGCTGCAGAGTCTTGAATGATCAAAAACTTGTCGATAGTTAAGCTAGGAAGGCTGTAGAGAAGTCAAGGTGATGAAGGCACGGATAAAGTTTGCAGCTGTGATGAGGATGGTATGGTGATATTGCAGAAATTGAAAACATTGGACTTAAATGAAATGCTTATTGGATAGCTGAGGGTTGGAAGATTATGTACTGACTCAATGAGCTGGAGTGATCTCTGGCGGGAACCAAGCAGGATGGCTTTCATTTGTTGTCATTGAGTTTAAGGTTGTGACTCATCCAGGACTTGATGTCTGTCAGAACAGTCGTGGTCCTGCAAGTCAAGGTTGGAGGCAAAGATAAGAGTTGGATGTCATCCTCATACATGTAGAATTTGGCCTAAAAAACTTGCAGATAATATCGCCAAGGGAGAGGGAGCAGGTGGATGAGGAGAGGACCATGGTTAGAGCCCTGAGGAACATTGAATCTGTTGTTGAAGCAAATAACATTAATGTATTTAAGAGAAAACTAGATACATACATGAGGGAGAAGGGACTAGAGAGGTAAGTTAAGGGATGGAGTCTTGTGGGGAGTACAAACTCAGCCACAGACCAGTTGGGCCTAATGTTTCTGTTCTGTCACTATATAACAACAACTTGCAAGCATGCAGTGCCCTTCATGAAGGGTAGTGTCTCGGAGCACTTGTAACTCTATGAACACTGCAAGTGATCTCATGGGTGAAGAGGATAAGCCATTTGAGGAGGCAAAGACATTGGGCAGGTAAGAGTGGAACCAGAAAATTGCAGAATCCATGGAGGTGGATCAAGGAGGAAACAAGGTGATGAAGGATGGAGTGATTGAGAGTGTCAAACGTTTCGCCCATAAAATATACAGTCAATTCATTTTACAATATATTCTGTGAAGCGCTTTGAGATGTGATAAGACATTATATTAAATACCAAATGCAAGGATTATTATTGAAGAAACAACAAGTGCAAATCAGATAGGAGGGGCTTTGTAATCAAATTTAAATGCCAAATAATCAGCACTCAAAAAGATAATTGCAGCTTTTAATACATTCAAAATTGGATGATTTCAGGGGTTAATAATTCTTACATTTCAGTTACTCAATAGGTCACTGTTTCCTTGTTTTTCACCTTTTGGTTATTCTGTGGTTTTCATGTATTCCTTTCAAACCACTTCATTCCTGTGCTCTGAAGTGCCTGCTCTACTCTACCAGTGAGGAAGAGTTGAATCAATGCTATCATGAGGAAAGGTTCTTATAATCTAGTCAATCTTTAGGGTATAGAAGTTGTTACCACAAGTGACTACTGAAGCTGAATTAATAGAATCTTTCAAAAAGGAAACTGAAGAGTAAGATCACCTAACTTGAATACTTATCTACATTTGAAAGAGGAGCATCTCGTAACAAACTGACAAGCTGGTCTAGGATTATTTAGAAAATAATTTTCTCCTTTTCCCCTCCCCAAAACCAAAGGGGCTGTAAAGTACTAACTAGTACTTCCCTTCCTCACTCCCTTCGCCTCACCCCCTCTCTTCCTATTTTCAGGTCTTGGCTGAAGACCTTTCTTTTCGACCGCGCCTTTGGTCACCTTCTTCCCCCTCCCCCTGGCTCGGTCCCAGGATCCATTACTGTGAAGTACTCTTGAGACACCATCCGGCATGGAGGGCGCTATATAAATCCAAGTTGTTGTTGTTGTAGTGCTAGACCCAGAAATATGCAATGGTGCCTTGTGTATAAAAATGGAAAAGGTAGGTTAATCTGTTTTTCCTTCAGGAGATTTTTAATTTTCACAACATCACAAGAGAGGCACAAATCAAGAATGCCCCTTGATCCATTTGATCCTTCCAGAATACACAGCCTACTGTCTTTTCATTCCAGTATCATTTCTCCTGTTTCAGCTGCACGTTGTGTAAAGACACTTCCTAGTTTCTGTTCTAAAATTGCTCCTCATAGCCCTCAACCTGTGCCCTGTTGCATTTGGGAGAATCTGAAAATAATATTGTAGATTTATTTTTTGTATCCCAGTTTATATCTCAAGTATACATTTATTAGGTCTTCTTTGCGATGTCTGTTTTCAAGGCTGACAAGCCCTTTCTTACCTAGTTGCTTACTCATAGTTCATCTCTCCAGTACTTATGGTAATTCTTATTTTCTCACTTCGGCCATGTCTGTAAGACCAGTGCAACTCATTATGTTATAGTGATCAGAAATGTACACAATACCTGGGGTAGAGCCTGACCAGAGTACTGAACAGCTTGAGCCTGACTTCTGGGAATCTGAACACAATTATTTTGCAAAATGATTCGAATATCCCATAACTAGGTTTAGAAAGTGGTCAGGTACAGTCTAGCTGCCATATTTTATTAATTAAACAGTTTTATTTTTTGTTTTGGGTCCTCTAAAGCATAATGGGATTAGAAATGTTTGTTCCATTTGTTGCTAAAAAAAGGATTCATACTTACGGTTTTAATTACTTCAATTGTTCTGCTATTAGGTATAAAAATAAATGTTTATAATGCCAGTGCGTCATAGAGATAATAGAGTAATTATTAAAATGTAAATTTCAAAGCATTACCTGAGGCAGTTCTGAGAATTTGAGTAAAATGTGAAAGTCATCCAAATCCACACAACTGAATAATTCATACAAATGTCTTGATTTTGAAATTTACCAGTGCTTTGGAAAACTTAACAAGTGATTTTCCTTCTGGAGGGGAATTGTGCCTTAAGGTAAATTCATGCTGAGTGGCTGGCAAAAGAATTGCACCTGCTGGTTTGAAGTTAATAAAAAGATGCAATCTATCCTCCAGATTTTGCAGTGCACAAGTTTAATGAGTTACATAATGAGCGACTATCACTGCTAAAAACTAAGCTTTATTTTTTGTATCTCCAGGTATAACCTCTCAGGAAGTGATGTTTTGGACAATGTTGCATACGCACGAGCTTTCAACACAGATCATCAAACCCAGCTGCTATACCAAGCTTCTGCTATGATGACAGAATCCAGGTATGCGATCTCAAGAAAAGTGTAGATCATTCAGTGAAGAGTTTATTTTAAGTCTATCAAAATCTAGGCTGCAGTAGTGGAGCTGCTTTAAGGCCAAATCAGAAGTCCAGGTTAATCCTGACAAAATTTCTGTGAGTTAAGACTGTGTGGGAAGAGGAACATGGCATCTTTGAGCAATGAGCATATGATTATTGTCACATTTAAATTAATAATTTAAATATACATATATGTGTTTTGCCCACAAAATATGCATCCAATTCACTTTACAATATATTCTGTGAGCCCTTTGAGACGTCTCGAAGATCTGGTAAGGTGCTATATCAAATGCAAGGATTATTATTATAATCCTTATTTCTTTTTGCACCAATGTCAACTGTGTCTAAGACTTTAAAGTTTTTCTGTAAATTATAATTATTGTGTATTTGTAGACAAAAGCAGCAGCCAATTTGCGCACAGCTTTGAAATGAGTTATCAGTTTTCTGTGGGATTGTTGGCCAGAACACTGAGAATCTCTTTGAGTAGTGAGGTCTTTAACTACAATCTAAACATACCTTGAAGTCAAAATACAAGTAGACAAACCTAACTGTGGTGCTTTCATCTCTGGAATAGAATTGTTCAGCCCATAGAGAAGTCAATGGCCTCTGCTGTCCAATCCTATCAGTCAGTCACGCGAAATCTAATGGGTCAAAATAGTTCTATACATGTAGTTTCTATCTTGAATTAAACTGAATCAGAGGAAGATGGCAAAAGCCATGTTGTGTCTGAACTTTAGAGTATCTTCTGACTACCTTTTATATTAAAATTATTTTCCTTCCTTTTTGTAGGTATGCCTTGTTAATTGTGGACAGTGCCACAGCTCTGTACAGGACCGATTACTCTGGGAGAGGAGAGCTTTCAGCTCGGCAGATGCACCTTGCCCGGTTTCTCCGCATGTTATTGCGACTGGCAGATGAGGTGAGAGAGGGAGGGAAATTGTATACAATAATTTTCAATTCACAAAGTGATTGGAAGATTTTTTTTCCTTCTTTCTCCCATTTGGGGATTTCCTCCTAACATTAAAGGTGCTAATTAAGTGCAATGTGTTCTCACCCCCCTGCTTTCTTTCTGTTACAGTTTGGGGTAGCTGTGGTAATAACTAACCAAGTTGTGGCCCAGGTTGATGGAGCAGCAATGTTTGCAGCTGATCCAAAGAAGCCAATTGGTGGAAACATAATTGCCCATGCTTCTACAACAAGGTAAGATTGAAAGGGAACAGCAGCTGGTATTTCAGGAAGTTAAAGGCCGTATCAAAGGCCCCTGTATTATTTTTTTTCTGTCAATGCTCCAGTGAAGATATCAGTAGATGGCAGGAAGACAGAAATAGGTGTAGTTTTAATACAAAGGGTCATGCTTCAGTGGTTGTGCTGCAAGGTCATTATTGGAAGCTGAAAGAAAATATGCTTTGGGTGTGAATGGTTCAAACATTATGTTTGAGAAGAAAATTGTAGTTGAAAATGATCACAAACCGTTAAACTTTAGAAAAGTGAAACACTCACAAAACTTCAAAACATGAGAATACATCTTCAGCGATGTAATAAAGTTCAAGTACACACCAGCCGAAACCTTTATGTTGCAGACACTTTAAGCAGAGGCAGTGAATGAAGAAGGAAAGAAAAGAGAGCTAGTGGGGAATAGCAAAAACAAGCAAGAGAAGAAGGAAAGAGAAGCAGCAGGAAAGGATGTAGTAAACCAAGCAGTTTTCAAGATGTTACAAAATTGATGGCCTGAAAATAACCAGGTAGTACCAGTGGAGGTAAGATCATACTGGGAGTACAGAAATTAAGTATACCATCAAAGAGGAATATTATGCAGAGGAGATCAAGTATCACAATAGTTAAGAACAAAACAATTTCTGAAAAATGTATGTGAGGGTTGGGGAGTAGAGTGAGCCAAGAGAAGAGAGAGGGAAGCAGTGTTTTGGGGTAAATAGTCTAATAAATTGGGAAATGTGAGATATGCCAGATACCAAAACTGGGACAGACGAGAGCCCATAAGGCGGAATGAAAGACCAACAGAGGCAAGGACAAAAATGGGAATAGATCAGTTCTATTATAAAGATATTCGAGTATAATACACTATTAGAAAACAATTCAATGTCCCCAGCATGAATGCTAATGTTGAGCAGAATAAGGGATCTGCAAATGTGCAATCAAAATATTTTAAGACCCAAGGTGCAGAGAAGAATGGAAAGAGATAAATATGGAAAAATGGAGAAGGAAAAAGAAACTTTTAACCAGGAAACAAAATCTATATTAGGAAGGACACCGCAAACAACAGCAACTTGCATTTATATAGCGCCCTTCATGCAAGGTAGTATCTCCGAGCATTTAAAAGAAGGATGGAGCAAAAGAACTGGAGCAAAGGGGCAATAACCAGTTCAGATAGAAATCTGAGATCATATTGGTTGAGATGAAAATAGGAAAGTGCCGAAGAATGTCAAGATGTGTTTAAAAAAGTGAATGAAGATGAGGAAGTGGAAGGACAGAGATGAAGAACAAAGATGGGAAACGGAAGGTAACTGGAAGGAACATTTAAAGAAATATAAGAGGAAAATGCAAGCAGGAATGGACAAAAGTTAGTTTGTACTAATAATGTCCAATGTGGGTAAGTATTGATTAGGCTACCTTAAAGATGGAAATGTATTAGTTTGCTGTTTAACTGTATACTGAAAGTGAAAAAAATAATAGCTAATAATTGCTGTAACTTTGCTGGCCAAGTTATTTAAGTGGATTGTAGTGTTACAGTTTGTACACTGCCTTCTCTTTTTCTCTTTCAGACTGTCCCTAAGGAAAGGCCGAGGTGAAACACGAATCTGTAAGATATATGATTCCCCCTGCCTACCGGAGGCAGAGGCTATGTTTGCAATCAACGCTGATGGAGTCGGTGATGCCAAGGACTAAGTATGAATGACTCCTTGTATGAGACTACAGATAGCTAACAAACTTCCTGATCCTTATTGCCATGGTGCAGCCTTCACATGAAACTCACAATGTATGGCTATGGCACTGCAGGAGATTTCACCTTAGAAAATATGAAGCTGGGCTAAATTGGTATCTGATGTGGGCTGGCTGGTCTAACAATAAATTGGGACCATAATGAGAATGACTTGTACAGTGCCTCCTCACTTGATCCCAGGGGTATTGTTTTGTGGTGGGGTGGTTGGGGGCGGGGGGGGTTTAACAGTTACCAAAACGAGATTCATTCAGTGAGTCTCTGCTATTTCTAGGTTGAATAACTGCAATTTCTATGGCAATACTTTGAGGCTTAATTGGTTAACACCTTACCAAATGGAATGTTTAAAGTATCTTCGTGGGCACTGGCAATGCAACCAAGGCTATGAATGCTCTGGCTCTGAGTGATACAATTGGAAAAACACACCTTGGGGTGTGTGGAGAAGGAGAAAAGATAAAGCTATATGAACTCAGACAACATTGGCTCACATGCCTCCGTTAGTAGTAGGTCACTGAATCTTTGCACACAAACAACAATACTAAGTTTATAAGTGAGATCCTGAACAAGGAGAATTATTTTAAAAATCTCTCTATTCTTTTGGGGAATTTGTAATTTCCTAATGATTAATAAAGGTCTACTGAAGTGTATACTGGGTATTTTGGATAATTTTCATAAAATGGAGCGTAAAAATAAAAAAGTTGAATATTGGAGGATCTTGAGATTCTTTTCTATTCTCTCTATATCCCTCATGGCTCTAACCTTTTGTTTACAACTAATACCCATAAAACTCTTCCTTGAAAATAATGGAAAATCTGTTATTCCAAAAAATAAATGATTTATATTCTGAGACCTGCTTGGATTTATTTCAGGAGCTGATTTGGTGCTACTTATTAACCCCAAGATGGATTTCCAAATTCATAATGTAACAATTTCTCTTTAGCTTTTAGAATCTGCTTTGAAGCATTTCAGTCATTTTCTGTTGGATGAAGTTAACTTGTTTAGTAAGGCACAATTGGGTATGTTAGAGGGCACTATAGTCCTTTTCAACAAGTTATTCAGTTCCTGTCTACAGACAAGCTGGACGTTCTTATAGTATTGGGCGTGCTCAGAGAATAAGATCTACATTGACAGAATGCAGCTATTGAGTTTTGTTCAGCACAGTGATGACAAATAACTGCAATTTGCTAAGTACTTAATTACGTTCAGCAGTTCTGTTTCATTTTGGGTATTTGATGCTTGCATGATCAAATACTGTAAAACAACCTTTTTTTCCCCCGGATTCCTTTTTGTACTCTTTGTTTAAAAAAAAGTTGCTAAATTGAATTTAATTTTTATTATGGCTTTCTAACTTATCACAATGATTTGCCTGTTCGTTGCAAAATTACATTGGAAAATGTGATTTTTGGACACAACAAAATATTGATGTGCATTTCTAGTTAAGTATTATCAAATTGCTTATTACTGAATTTTCTGTTTTCTGTATAAGTGTCCTGTTAGCTGTACTTTGGATTAAGAGGTTAAGATGTGTGTATACCAATTAAAGCAATTATTGTTAATGTAATATATAGTAGCAGTAATTTTCAGAAATACCAAGTACTTTCCAAGCAAGATATTTAAAGCTCCTTCCACATGTAAAATTGGTGTTCTTGTTTATCACCTCTTTTCCCAGATAATGGATGTTTGGAAAATGTCATAGTAAAGATTAATGTTCTTTTTTTGTCAGCACATGCAGAAACCTATTACTGTGCTTAAGAGTATCCAAACTAAACTGAGAATTCCATACATCCCATCTACACATGGAAATCCTAGAGGTAGATTGTTGGGATGGAGAGTGCCCTCTCTCCCTGGAGGGACGCATCCTGCTTATCTAATTCCGGAAAGGATTAGGTGCAGGTTGGCAAGAGTCAAGGCTTGGGGATCTCAGTGTATGCGTTGCTGTACTGTTGCAGCCTAACCAGCTAAAACTGCATCACTAGCTTGCCATTAACAGCATTGTCTGGCAAGCTTTCTCGCTGCTTGTTCAGTCTTGACTATCCTACCCATTGGGGCTTTGGATTGCGGGTTTAATAGGAGCTGAGTAGGATAATTCCCATCATTGTGTTGCTTGCTCAAGATCAATGGTTTCTACTGTTTACTCCACTTGCCTCAATTTTACAAAAATAATCACTTTTTCATACAGACAGTGACTTCTGGCAAGTTGTTGATTTTAACAGCCTACGTCTTTTATTTAAATTTACTGTTTTTGCTTAACCTTGATATCCTACCACAAATAACTAAACAGTTCCTGATGATGAAACAAGGATCTTAGACATTTTCCATATATTCTAGACCAATCATCTATTTGGCTGCCTGCTTTGCTTCAAAGGTGTTTATTGGATTGCTTTGGAGACGTTACTTTCTGACTGATGCTTGGGTTTGTGACATTAATGGCAGAAAATTCTTCAAGTCTTTCACTGGGAAAAGGGACGATTTCTATGTGTGATTCTGCTTTCATTCGCCCACAAATATACAGTCAATTCATTTTACAGTATATTCTGTGAGGGCTTTAAGACTTCTAGAAGACGTGAAAAGCGCTATATCAGATTATTATTATTATTTCTATAAACACAATGAGCAACCATTTGGTTAAGAAATGTGGAATGCAAAACTTGGATGATACATTTCAGATGAACACTGCAAGGCTATGTATTTAATACCCAAGCTTCTACTTCCTTATTTTCCTCAGGCTGCTGTAGAGATAGCAGTTGGTATCTTTGTTGTCATGGAAACTGAACTCTACCACTGCGATGTTTATTAAGACAGATTTAATTAATAATTTAGCCTCATGTTTAGGTCCCACTTGATTCTGATTCTAACATTGGTCCCTTTGTTGATCTTTTTGTTTACCAGCCTGGGGTAGGACACATGAGGAAACCTATCACCATGCTTAAGAGTAACCAAATCGGATTGAGAGTTCCACTTATGCATGCCACTACACATAGAAATTTCCCTTGGTCTGGAGTGGAATGCACACATTCTTCCTGGAAGGATGCATTCCGCTACTTAATTCTGGAGAGATTTAGTTGCAGGTCTGGAGATTACTAAAATCAGATTGGCAAGAGGTTGGGGTTGGGGATTCCAAGTGCATTGGAGTACTGCTGGAGTTTAACCTGCTAAATCTGCATAGTTTTCTATTGCGAGCACGGACTGGCAAGCTTCCTTTGCTTGTCCAGCCAGGACTGCGTGTTCCGTTAGAGTTTTGGCTTGAATAGGAGCTTAATTGGAACGATCTCTGCCCTAAATGCTTGGTCTGCCCCTTCAAGTCCTGCCAAATGAGCCAGGCTGGCTGGGTTGTCAACAGAAATGCCCTGAAATAATGTGCATGGTATCCATTTTATGGAGGTAAAACAATTGTAGTTGACCATAACAAGGAGGTGTTCGCCCTTTAATAAACCACTTGTTCTTAATGCTTGTTTATAAAGATAACATCCAACGGGATTTTACATCTACCTAACTTTGAGCTTTGTTCTTCTTTCATCATGATATCCATATTTCCAATTCTTCCTTGTACCTTGTGAGAAAGATTCACAATTTATTCGTGTCTGGTATTGAGTACATTTGAACCTGTATCACATAACAATTATAACTTGTAATGCTTGTAACCCTTTCTGAATGCTTTGGTGAATCTAGAAGCCATTCAGCACAGGAAGGAGCGAAGGAAAGGGACTCGTGCACGTGCTAAACCTTACAGTGACCTATTTTGATTTGCAAAGGTAACTTTTGAGAAAAAAAAAGACGAAACTGGGACTGGCAAATTAGTTGCAGAGAGCAGCTTTAAAGTTTGTAACATTTAATGCTTAATCTTTCTTCAGATGTCATTCTGGTGATTACCTGTTGATATTTCCCTGACACAATGTTCAAGCCCAGTAACAGGTTGTTGTGTTCATATATTTTCTTGGCCTTTACCTTTTTTTTGGAATTGATTTCAGTTTCTCATGTTCCTTTAGTTTGAAATGAATCGTTGCCTTGAGGTTTTTAGAGTGTGGCTCCATTATTAAGCTTGAATATTATTCCTTTAAAAACAATCATTATTCAAACGATACTGCTGTATTGCAGCAGTTCTGTTTGAAACAACAACAATAATAATCCTTGCATTTGATATAGCACCTTATCACATCAATGAGACTTCTCAAAGCACTTCACAGAATATATTGCAAAGTGAATTGACTGTATTTTGTGAGCAAAACAATCATTTAAAAAAAATTGCAACCTAATACGCTGTGTTACAAGCTGATAACCTAATACATTTGCAACCTAAATGCACTTTGTTACAAGCTGATAACAGTGTAAGTTTGAGGGCATAGTCTATAACTTCCTAAATTCATTTTTGGCATAGTAGGAAGGGTGGGAAGCCAAGGTGGCTTTCTAGGAGAACAAAGGAAAAATTTCCTCTTGGACAATTTTGCCTATTACTCAGAAGTCAATGACAGTCTTTAACAAGAACTTGAAAACACTTAGACTCCTACTTGTCCTCTATGAGGAATGTTTGTGTAATTGGGGAAGGGGCAGTTATTCCCCCATCCTCCATTTTATGTTCTATAGACTTGTGCCAAGTATTCCAAAAAAAATATATAGATCTGGTATGGAGGATTAGAGTTTTTTGCTAGGTATTGTAGTTCTCTTTTACTTTGAACTTTGGTTCCATTTATAACATTAAACCAAGGAATCAGTTTGCCATTCTATGTGGGTATTGTCATTGGATCTTAAACCTGTTCTTGGACGTAAACAATAAGATATAATAATAATAATCCTTGCATTTGATTTAGCGCCTTGTGTTGAGACATCTCAAAGCAATATTTGCCAAATATATTGTAAAGTAGATTGACTGTATTTCGTGGGCAAAACGTGGCAGCCAATTGAGCACTGCGGTGTTGCACAAACAGTCAGGGATTGAGTAACCAAATATTTTTTGTCACCTTTGAGAACATCACCCCATTAGCATTTATTACTTAATAGAAGCAAGTCTCCTGTCAGAAATGATACCCCTGACGTTGTAATTAAATATTATTGCTATAAATTAATTTCCCAATTGTTAAGTTTGGTTAATTATATGATACAAAAGAGGATAGCTTCACCAAGGGTAGCAAATATACCTTTGCCCTAAATCATATATAAGATTACATTCAGCATTGCATTTTCAGATGCATAATGGTCTTAATCCTAGTTTCCCAAGTTAAAACCTTATCCCATATTTTTTCAATTTCTTTATTACTCCCCTATGATTGTCATGCTTATTAAATACAGTGTTTGCTTCTTTCCTGGTTTGTATGAAAGCACTGACATGCGGCCAACTACTTGCAGGAACCCCCTTTTCCTTCAGTGAAGCACATCTTTGATGGTAAATTATTATGTCACTGCTAACTTACTTTTGAAGCCTCAATAGTGTAGTGTTTCATTTATTTAAGTTTCTAAAATACTGAACTGAAACATGGATAGGCACCCGAGCTTGTAACAGAGAATGTTTATAATGGAGTAAAGTAGGTTTATGGGTAATCCTCTTGAAGTCTGGATGATTCCAATGGATACAGCTAAACTGAATCTAAATAATATTTAACACAAGCCAACAGTGTGGGGCACAGCCTCGAATTCAAAAGAGGAAAGTTTAGATTTAATGTATTTACAAGAAAGATGGTGAATAAGTGGAACAGACAGCAAAAGGACATAATAAG